TCAAGCTCTTAAAGCAGCCTGTATACGTGTTTAGAATAAGATTTTAATAGAGCAAATCAGGCATAGGATATAGAGTATACTATAGAGGTATAGACAACTTACTTTAAATAGTAGACAGCGTATAAAAGACTCTATTTAGTAGAGATTGTATATAGAGTGGTATGCCAAGCAACTAGCGTCAATCTATCCTAATTTGCGAACCCCTATGCGAGTATTTTGATCTCCGCAAACTTTAATCACTAAGCGAGCTTGGCATTCCACGCTAAGCATGTGATCCGAGAGAAACATTACACATTCGCGAGAACTATGTTCAAGACGTCCATTATCTATCACATCTATTTTACAAACCATTCTTGTGCTGGAATGAAGTCCTTCTAGGCTGAATAGAAGCAATATGCGCATGCATCCCTTGTAAGAGATTGATGGTCGAGCAGATCGCTGAAGGCCAATGCTGCTGGGAATGCTAGCTAGTTGGCAGCTTGGAGATCGCTCGAAGTCACTTGGAATCCTTTCGCTCAAGCGTGGCTCAAGAGTCGTGACTAAACCTCGAATCCCATTGTGTCGGTGCCCGGAGCCAGGAGCTCCGGTCTCAGCGCCCATGCCAGCATTTCCCTAATCCATCCAGCGCCTGCTGAATGTGATACTAGCATACGATGCGATCAAAGAAGTCGCGCTCCCTCATGAAGCCATCGGTGTCCGTATGATACCGTGTCCGTTATGTCCGTCACTGGGCCGGAGATAGAGTAGGATAGAGCGGATTTTATTATACCCGAAGGATTCTGGAGATCTCAGACACCAGATATAAAAATTTACGACATCAAAACCCTTTTCAACAAAGGAATATAGCGACTTCAAATGCAAAGCAGCAGCCCGCTGGCTTCCAGAGTCATATCTCAAACGTAGGTATCGTTGGCATCGGAGGGAATTCTGGAACCTTTATTGGCAACGCCCTCATCAAAGAAGGCAAACATCAGGTCACCGCCATCACTCGAGAGGGAGCGCCAACAAGATCCCAGGCGGTGTTCATGATGTGAAAAGAGTCGACTACGACAATCATGTCTCCCTCGTCGACGCACTACGGGGCCAAGAAGTCCTAATCATCACCATGGCAGTCATGGCTCCCCTGATAGCCAAAAGAAACTGGTCGAAGCCGCGGTCGAAGCTGGTGTGAAATACATAATGCCAAACGAATGGGGAACGGATGAATTCGATCAAGCAGCGAAAGACACATTCTTCCATGGCCGCGCCATGGCTGTTCGCAACCATATTGGAGAAGAAGACGGCGAGAAGACGCATTGGGTCGGACTCACTTGCGGACCTTGGTATGATTTTAGTTTGGCCGGTACTGAGGCGAGGTACGGTTTCGACTTCGACAAGTAGGAATTGACGCTCTACGACGACGGACACACGAGCATCAATACTTCCACCTGGCCCCAAGTTGGTCGTGCCGTTGCAAATCTCCTATCTCTAAAGATCCTGCCAGAGAACGAGAACGACAAGACACCATGCCAAAGCCACTGGAATAACAAAACGGTCTACATCTCTTCACTCTTCGTCAGTCAGAAGGACATGTTCGAATCGGTATTGCGTGTCACTAGTGATAAGGAGTCAGACTGGATTGTCGCTCATGAGCAAACGAAGAAACGATATGCATGTGGCAAAAGATGATGCATGAAGGACAGATGGTCGGATTTGGCATTTTGCTCTACGCGAGGATATGTTTTAACGACGGAGCGGAATATATCAAGGACGAGCTTGATAATGACAAGCTCAGTCTTCCAAAGGAAGACTTCGACGAAGCCACTAGAGTAGGAGTGGAAATGGCGAAGGTCGGGGAGACAAATGCTATCCACAAATTTCGCGAAAGAAAGCATGAGCTCTTTTGATTAGATTTTCTCAGAGAGGTCTTGAACGATGGAGCTTGGGGATATTCGACTCGACCGCATAGTCGGAGCTGATATTAATAGCTGGCGAAGGTTCCAGCCCCTTGCTGACAGGGCGTTTCGTGGTGTATCTGGGCAAAACGATCATCCAACAATATCCGCATTGATTCTGGTCTTCGCTTGCTGTATATTTTCACTGCTGCAGTCTCAAAGAGCCTTCAAGTTCGGCCGAGCATCTCCGATTCATCGCCCAGTTTAATCACCAAGACCGAATCCTTAAAGTGGCTGTAAGCCAAACATGCCGCCATTCGTATGTTACGCGCCACAAACGCAAGAACACGCATATGGGTGTGAAGATCCTGACCATCTGCATCGAACACTGATTTATCTAGTAGTTCCAATCGCTTGTCATCCAAATCGTGCATCTCTGGGCAATGGGACATGGAATCAGCAGCAGCCATGGACCCTGCCTGTCCACTTTGCCAATCTCTCATGTAAGTGAGTTTCAAGATCCTAGAAGCATCGATTGTTAACCGGTCTTTCAGGCTTTCGGCCTCGCAGCGGTATCGTTCTCTACGAACGTTGGCATGCCGCTGGTCCTACCTCCGACATCCCTAATTCCAATGTAAGCCTTACGCTGGACCTACTGCGTGATCCCGGAGCACGATCGCTGTTCTCCGTTCCTTCGACGCTAGAAGATATCGTGAGTTTGGAAGACGACAGATGGCGGAACAGTCTCGCCAAGCTTGACCTCATCTGCTTCGGCGGCGGAGTCCTGAAAGATTTCGTGGGAGTGAAGCTGAAAGGAGCAAAAGTCGCGCTCTGCAACTCATACGGATCTACAGAGACGGGTCCTATCAGTTCGGCCTTCGTACCTTCTTCTGACCAGGACTGGCGGTACGTGCGTCCTCGCTCGACCGCACGCGCAGAATTTCATCCGATCGACGTTGATAGAGACGGCAGACAGCTGTACTCTCTCACCGTCAAGCCTCCTGGTTTCGAAAGCCCATTTGAGATGCAGGACCTCATCGTGAAGAACGATGCCGGGGAATTTGCCGTCATCGGCCGTAACGACAACTTGATCATCCTGGCGAATGGAGAGAAATTCTCGCCACACATATTAGAAGCAACGCTCACTAGCAGCCCAATGATCAAAGAAGCGATTGCTTTCGGACAAGGCCAAGTCGAAGTTGGCGTGTTGATCCAAACGGTCCATGATGTTGTTCACGGCCGAGAGGACGAGTTCCTGGAGCATTTTTGGCCAATTATATCCGAAGCCAACCTGAGCAGCGACAAATATGCTCAGATCGCTTCGAACGATTCCATAATCCTAATTCCACACGATGCGGAACTACCTCGGTCCGCCAAATGTGAGATACTCCGGAAAGAAACATATCAAATCTTCCAGGATGACATCGAGGCTTTCTATCTCGGCGAACAGTCCGCAAACACCAGCAAGGAGTTCTCCAATAGCAATCCGGAGGAGAACATACTGAATCTAGTGCGAGAACGGCTCGGCGAGAAGGGGACAGACGCGGAATTGAATCCTGACAACGACGTATTCTCCTTAGGACTCGACTCTCTCCAGACTCTTCATCTGCGACGCCACATCACGGCAAGTTATCGTGCGCCTGACGGCCACAAGTTCTCCAACGAGGAGCTTCCAAGAGATTTCATCTACCAATATCCGTCGGCCAGAAAGAGGGCGGACGCTCTGAGGAAGTCAAAGTTCTCGCAGGCAGCGGCTGGGCAGAGCTCATTGGAGGAGCTCTTGAATCGATACCGAGTCTCCCCTGGTGGCTCGCCTCCTCCTCGAACTTCTGTGGTCCTCGTCACCGGGGCCTCTGGCGGTATCGAGTCCAATATTGTTGCCCATCTGGCCCACTTAGAAAATGTCGCCGCTGTCGTCAGTTTGAACCGCCAGGTGGACGGCGAACCCAAACCGAAGATATCAATGACAGCGGCCGGTATTGATCTCGACAAAGAAGCCGAGAAGAAGATCGTCGTCATGACCGGCAACACGACAGTGTTGGATCTAGGCCTATCAAGAGAGCAGATCCGGTTCATTCGTGTGAATGTTACCCATGTAATTCATGCCGCGTGGCCCATGGACTTCAACAGAGCCCTCGCCTCCTTCGAAGATGCATTTCAGTCCCTGACAAATCTGATCAAGCTTGCGCAGCAGATTCATCAATAAAGGCCGCACGAAAAATGTAGACTCCTGTTCGTCTCCTCCATTTCGGCGGCTGGCCGATATCCGGAAGAGACAGGAGAGGCGATTATTCCGGAGGACGCAATGCCAGACTTGCTTTACGCAGATCACATGGGGTATGACCAGGCAAAGCTTGTGTGTGAAAAGCTGCTGGAACAAGCTGCATCAGACTTAGCGGGTGGAGTGGAACTCACGTGCGCGAGAGTTGGTCAAATCAGTGGCAGCACTAAGACCGGAATCTGGAATGAGACTGAACATTTCCCTGCTCTGCTGAAAGGTTCGCAGATGATCGGCAAGCTGCCTAAGGTCGATGGCGTAAGTGAGCGATTGCTTTCTCGAACAAATGGGTGCTGACGTGATACCACAGATGTTCTCTTGGATCTCAGCAGATATTGCGGCAGAAGCCATCTGCGACATCGCCCTGCAAGAGCCACCTCCGAGACTGGTATACCAAATCGAGAACCCAAACCGCCAATCCTGGCGGGAGACAATCGAGCTTTTTGCAAAAGAGCTCCAACTGTGTGAAGTCGTCCCGCCTGAGAAATGGGTTTCAGTAATCCGCAAGGACGATGAGGAGCGTGAAGCTACTCTCGATCTTCGAGAATGACGTTGCGAAGATGGCGGAGGGCAGTGTCTCGATGGACATGTACTCTGCACATCAAATTTCTCCGGCCATGAGAAGGCTCGGTCCAATTTCGGAGCGAGTAGCGCTCAATTATTTGGCTGCTTGGAGGAAATCTGGACTTTTGTCGTGAGCGGGCCACAGGAGAGGACAGTTCGAATGCCGCAGATTTTCAGTACGATAGATGTCATTTGTTGGGCACTCTGTCTCTAAACTTCGTATGCTTCGTATGCTGGGATCTCGGAGCCTAAGTTCGTAGATACTTGGATGGTGCACGCTCAGCGCAAATAGTCAACGAGATACTCTTCTCATATTCTGGTTGAACGGAACTTCAAGTCCACCAGCTCCAGTGTCCTTCGTACTGTAGCGGCTTCTGCACACTCGACAGAGGAGATCGGGTTTCGTCATTCCAGACATTGACGTCCTGAGGGCCTTCTTCGCTCTTGATATATCCCATCTGGCAGGAATCGAAATTAATCTTGGGCTGGCTACTGTAGAAGTCGTCAAAGCTAGCGTGCAGAGCGTCGGCCAGTGACTTCACATTTCCATCGGGATGCAAGACGCTCCAAGGACGACGGCAGCTCTCTCCTTTGCAAGATTTGAGTACCATGAGCAGAGCATCTGCACGATTCAGGATGTGTTTGAAAGAGCGATCCGAAATCTTGTAATCTTCAATCAGATGACCTTGGCCCTCGCCGAGAAGGTTTTGCATTTGGTACGGGTCTCTCTGTGCGGGCATTAGCATTTGGTCGGCGTTCACATATCTGTTTGGAGACAAGACTTTACCTTAACGTCGTAGTATTCCTTTTCACCCGTGCACCACACCGTATACAGAAGGCTGTAGTGCTCGCCTGCAATCCTGAGTGCCTTGTATGTATTGTTCCTGGCTGCGATTGGTCCCAGTCCAGGCCATGGATAGTCTCCGATTACCCCGTACTGACCTTCGGGTAGCGCGCCACCCCAATACTCCACATTGACATGCTCACCGGACACAGGTTCTGAGAGCTCTTCTGCTGTCAGTGGGATTGCCAGGCCGTCCAGATCGGGTCTTTCAACATCCGCCAGCTTCAGAACGGTCGGCGTAAGGTCTGTATGCGAGCTTACAGCATTTACTATATTTCCTTTCGGGACCCCAGGGCCCCGCACGATCAATGGTACATGGATATCTTCTTCGAAAGCACATTCTTTGCCCGGCGGTAGACGGTGTTGGCCCACGTGGTACCCGTTGTCGCTCGTGTAGAAGATGTATGTATTCTCCATCAGGCCTTTGGCTTCCAGCGTTTGAACCAAGGTTTCCACCATTTCGTCGACGCTCTGCAGAGCTCTCAGCCTCGATCGAACGAGCTCATCATGATACTCGATCACTGTGCTATTCAGCTTTGGCAATTTCCGGACCCAGCCAACGCCGCTTGGTCTGTCCGGATTGAAGTTTTTAGTCCGCGGAATCTTGTAGTCTTTGAACAGATGTTTGTGTCTCTCCGCGTATTTTGGCATATCGCTCACAAGATGCTCGCCTACGTGCATGTTTGAGTGCGGTGCGATAGGCGCTACGCCTAGGAAGAAAGGCCTTCCAGTGTCTTGATAGAGCTGAGCAGCTTGATCGAGGAACCCTTTCGCTTTGTCTGCTACAACGTCGGGAGAATAATGGCCTGCGTAGCTCACTGGCTCCTCGCCGTTCCGAGTCATCCAGGCGTTGAAGTACTCGTAGGTAAAAGGGTCCAGAAGGAAGTCACTCCCGTTGAGGCCTTTCACGAGAGGATCGTTGTAATTGTGGACGTTATGAGCGTTAAACAGCTTGCCAGTGTAATAGCTTTACCGATGGTGTTAGCAGGATGCCTCACTCTCACGGGTTCTACTCACGTGTTGTAATTCTCCCTCTGTAGCCATATCATCAACCAGTCCTCGTTGAGACCTTCTTGGACAAACTTTGGGTAGCCACCGTAGGGTGGTTTCAAATCTGTGACATTGGTATTATGCGCTGCCCTGCCTGTCCACAAGTTGACGCGGCTAGGACAGCAAATACTGACAGTGCAATAATGTTTTTCAAATGACGTTCCTCGATCGACCAAGTGCTTCTTCAGCAGCGGCATATAGTCCAACGATTGCATATTGTGGTCTTGGTCATCGGTGAGGATGAAAACAATATTTGGCCGCTTGCTTTGGAGTCCATTTTCATGGCTTGTGAGAGGCACTTGAGTGCCAGTAGCGAAGGACAGAAGCGAACAGCTCGCTGCAGCAAGACACGCAGTCTTCATTCTTGCTTCAGGCTGATTGAAAAATGAACTAGTGAGTGCATCAAAGATGTAGAAGGAGGACGAAGAATTTACGAATGCCCACGCAACCAGGAGACATTGGATTAAAGAAAGCACGCCATTCCGAGTGGAGCTAAGATCGACATCCGGGATCAGGCATTAGCATTAGCGTCCTTCGCCAAGCCGACGACGTCACTCGAGGCGTGGACAACTTCCGAAAGTCCCATTAAGAAACACCACAATACAATGTTTTCTAGGGACTTGATCGACATTTGCAATTCTTTGCAGCTTGATGTCGTGTCTGCTCGGCAACAGGAAACTTCGGCATGTGACTTAGTGATCCGTGCGTAGGCTATTCCTCATTGAAATGTCGACTCCCCTCCTGATATCCACCAATTCTTCTCCCACACTCCCTAAACCCTCGAATTGCATCCAATAACACAATTGCCATCTTTCACTGGCAAAGTTCAGCTCGAGTTCTGGACCGCGAGATGCTAGGTGTGACCTGCAGCTACATGCCGACGAGTGGCTGGTGATCGTGCAGCCAACAGGCAGCGATAGAAGATATGTTCATCGCTCCATATTCCTTCGCCACCGTCTTCGCCAACCATATTTCCACTATATCTCCCGACGAGGACCAGAGACGATATGTCTCAGCGTGCGTGTGTAAGCAAGGACGTCTCAAGAAACGGAAAACATTGTTCGCAAATGTGCAATAGCGAATCGAGAGAATGTTAAAGAGCAAATCTGCGAAATATCAGGAGTCAGAGATTGAACAGCTTCCTAAAAAGATTGTCGAGCTCGGGGAATGGCGGAAGGACCATGACGAAGAAACATCTTGAAAGAATATTTGTTACACAAACGCAACCATTGAATCCCTGGCCTCGAGCAACACAACAATCATGACCTCAGCGCTGTGATTTGCCAGCGAGAGAGAGAATCTAACGATATAGCTGTGATATATATAGAGACCCTCGCCCGGCAATTGGACGCTGCTCTTTCTTCTCGATCAACATCGGCTTCGCTACTTCTGTAAGAGCCTACAAGACGATTTCATGGCTGCCGAGAGGTCTCAGGGGCTTGGAAGCACCATCAACCCCGCGTTTGCTCTGACACAATCACGTACTGACTCGGAGGTTCCATATCCCAGCGACGAACCATATCTCATACAAGGTGAGCGTTCGAATCTTAACCCTGAGAGTCTATCGTTCACCTACCGTGTCATGAGTACTGATCGATCCCATCAGAACAAAATCGGGTCGAATCACAAAGTCCGAGCGAGAACCAAAGAAAAATAGCCGCTGCAGTCAGGACCGTACTGACCAACCTCGGCGAAGACCCTAACCGCGAAGGTCTACTCAAAACCCCAGAACGCTACGCACGCGCCATGAAATTCCTCACCCACGGCTACCAGCGCAACGTCGAAATCGAAACCAACGGCGCGATCTTCAACGTCGAAAGTAACGGCATGGTCATTGTCCGGGATATCGAAATCTACAGCCTATGCGAGCACCATCTCCTCCCCTTCTTCGGGAAGATTCATATTGGATATATCCCCCGAGGTCGTGTCCTGGGGTTGTCGAAGTTTGTTCGGGTCGTGGAGATCTTCGCCAGGCGATTACAGGTGCAGGAGCGCGTGACGAGTCAGGTGGTTCAGGCGATACAGCGGCTTCTGGAGCCTGAGGGCGTGATTGCGGTTGTGGAGTGCACTCATTTGTGCATGGCAATGAGGGGAGTGCAGAGGAGCGGGGCGACTACTGTTACCCAGTGTAGTACGGGAGTCTTCGAGAAGGACGCGGGGACAGTAAAGCGCTTTCACACTTTACTGAAGTAGATCTTGGGCATCAGACTGCCGAATCGAGTAGTACTACTCTATCATACCGCAGTACCTCATCTAGCTCATGTGCATCCAAATACAAGCAGGCTTTGAATCCGGACCTTGCCGAAGCCCTGCTCACGCAAGAACTGGCGACCTCTGTGCACGGGAAACTCAACGACCACCATGACACTGGTATTTTCAACACTAACGCCGACCTCCACCAGCAGTTGTAGCACAGCACAGAGTGTCGTCCCAGTAGAGAGGACATCGTCAATTACCACCACGGGCTTATGCGTAGGAATAGCGTCTGCAGCCATCTCGAACCTCTTGGTCTCCACGGGCTCTATTGCCAGAGAGGATATAAAGGAAGGCCTTTTCGCTGCCGAGACAGTGGGTGGTGGCAGTTTCCCGGCCTCCCTGATCAAAGCCAACGGAAGGCCCATCCGCGTTGCCACTGCTGCGCCAAAGACAAAGCCTCCACTTTCGCAACAGACAAGCGTTCCGATCTTGGACCAGTCGCCTGGAAAGTGACTTTCCATCAATTTGGCGCACAGAGACAGTCCTTGTGCTTGCTGAGCGATATTCAGAACGTGGTGAAACTCCACGCCTTTCCGCGGAAAGTCGGGCACGGAGCGCACCATATCGCCCAGTCTGTGGAAATCTCGATGGATGAGCGGAAGTAAGTGCGAGCTAGCGAATAGATTCGCTTGCTCTTCACCAGCGGTATAGTTGTCAAAGATAAGATCAGGTTGCCAGTCACTCTGTTTGTCATTACTGTTGACAGGACAAGAATTTGGCCTCGCGTGGTGTTCTCGGGTCTCTTTGCTGCCGCGGACACGTAGTTCGATAACTTTGCTGTGTGGAACGAGATGCGAGAAAGTCGCTACAGGGGCATCGTCTCTCATGCCGGTAACGAACAGTACATCGGTGTCAGACGCGCCATGTACCAACTGCAAAAAGTGGTCTTCCGGGAGCCACGGTCGATCTCGTACCTGCTGTCTGAAGAAAGTCGTCAATGCGGTCCGATGCTCTTCTTTATAAGCACGCTCGTGCAGCAACCGGTTGAGATCAGCGCCGGTCAAAGAGGCATACTCACGTTTAGTTGCGTCGCTGATGCTGACAGCACGAGCTGTTAGTCGATGATGATGGCTGAGAAATTCGACCCACACATCCGCACAAAAGTCTTTCCCTGCGCATATCTCTCCTGTCACGAGGATGATGACTTTAGGAGCTTTGGGTATCTGAGGCAGCGGGCAAGCGTGAGCAAGAACATTGTGTGGATCCAACTTCCGTTTCAGACGAGCCAAGCGCGGTCGATTCGGCCCAAAGGCATAGGCAGCAAGACTGGCATCTCTCGGATCGGGACCAAGATCCGCACCATACACACCCTGACAGTAGATCAAAAGTTCCTTGACAGTGCTGTAGACCCATGCAGTGGCGGAGCGAGAAGCGGCGGTGCCGTCTTCACTACGCTTCCAGACGCCAGTCACGACGCACGCGAATTCCCAATCTCTGCAGCCAAATGCAGTAGCATCGTCTTCGATCTCAGTCACTGCTTTCCCGGCATGTAATAGATGAAGATAGCAGAGGGGTGAAGGTCGAGAGTCCATGGCACCTGTCAAAGCTAAGAGGACTTTCGTTGCGTCGATGCTTCTCAGGAACACACAGCGTTTGAATGAGGAAGTCTTCCCACCGCCATGACCGCCATGCATACCGGAAACATACATTTCTGTATCAAAAAGATCAACGGCGTCGACGACTTGAGAGGTCTGCTCTACACCCAGCGTAGAGCAAAGACGCAGAGCAGCAGATGTTGTGCTGTCAGACGTTCGATCTGCTGACTCTCTTGCCTCATATAAAATTGCTCCCAGGTTGAGCTGATCAGCTTCACTATACAAGTAGAAATCCAGAGAGCTGCTCGGAGGGAGATCAATAGCGTAGGCGTTGAGCTCCTCGATCCTACTTTGAAGTTCGAGATTACCGTTCAGCGGGATTTTCCAGCTCCCAGTCAAAAATTTCGATGCAGGGAATGCCTTGAAGGTGACACTGACGACGATTCCAAAGTTGGTACCTGCTCCTCGGAGTGCCCATAGGATATCATCCTCATTCGCTGGTCGTGTAGCACCGGACGGCTGGTGAGCTTCAGGTACGTGGCCGACAACGAATACCCCGCCGGAGTCCACGCTGACCAAAATCGCGCCAACAATAGCATCGCAAGCTAGTCCATGCTGTCTGGAGAGATGTCCGATCCCGCCTTGCAACCACAGTCCAGCTCCTACGCTGGGACGTGCCCCTAACGGGACAGTCAGGCCTTCTACCATTGTCCCGCGGATGATATCTCCAGTATCGCATCCAGTCTGCGCGACGACCAGACTCTGTCCAGCACTTTCAGCGTGTCCTACACCACCGCTGCGCGGAACAATTTGCATCTCGTTAAAAGCGCTCATGTCGACGCACACTGTGTGATCCACGATACAGTGGCCGCCGTGGCTACCGCTGAGTACGGTGAGGCTGTGGCCGTGGTGGAGAGCCCACAAAACACACTCCCGGACATGTTGGATCCCTTCTGGCCGGACAATGGTCGCCGGAGAGCAAGAACGAGCTTCAGGGCTCTTGATGGGCTTTCCATTGACTACAGTGGGCACTTTAGCCAGCAATTCTGGCAGCGAGGTGGCGCCGTGAGTGAACGCAACCATCACCTCAGGAGAGCTGAACTCGATTTGATCAGCATGTCCGATCGATATGCGGCCATTTTCGCGGCAAACCCTCTGCCATTCATCCAGAACATCATCCACCAGAGATTCACATGGCATGAATCCAGCGATGAACGGAGCGAATTGGTCCAACTTTTCATCTTCATTTGGCACTCGCACGACACCAGTCGGGAAACTGGCGGTGGCATGACATACCAAGCCGTCGAATTCGAGAGAACCGCTGCGATGGAAGACCACCACCATTCCAGCTTTGGCGAGGAAGTTTAACGATCTCTCAACGAAGGCTCGTTTCGGTCTCATACCGGACATGCTGTGACAGAACAAAATCAGGTCGAATTTCTCCTCTTCTGATCCAGGGGCGTCTTGATGGATAGTGAATTTCCCAGCACGAATATCTGCCGGAGTATGGAGACGTGGCAGGGGTTTGTCTTTCTCTTGTTTCGGAGCGAGGAACTCTGCCAAATTCGCAGCGAAAACGGCGTTGGGTTCAAATGCCACATATCTCTTGACCCTTCTTCTAAGATGGTGAGGCAACAAGCCAAGCACCGTCTTTGGACCGGGGCCGATTTCCAATATGGATATCGATGTCTGCGAAATGGACAGTCGAGCAAACAAGCGAGAAAGTTGAGGAACGATGAACTGTCGATACGTATCGCTGTGTGTACCTTGCAGCACAATATCGAGGCCAAGGCTGTATTGTTCGTCAGACAGCGCGAGCTTCTGAACGTCCTCCGCTACCGCTTCCAAGGATGATTTGAGGAAGTTCAGGGTAGCCATGTGAGCTTGCCGCAGGATCGCAATGAGGAGCCATTCCAAATCGATGATGAAGGAAGACTTATGTTTCCGGAAGGTTTGCTGATTCTTTCAACATTTGCATGCTTACGAGGTTTGTTCAGGAGGAGGCCACAATTCCCTTTGAAGCGAACAACGATCAAGCTCAGCCATTGCATCAAACGTTCCGGTAAAAGAATTGTCATTTTCTTATTCGGAGACTTGATTTAATGGTTTAGAACGTGAATCTGATGAAGGCATTAGAGCGTGTGTCACAGTTTCGGGCCACCGATGGAACCACGGTCGTGACGCCCATGCTTCATGGGGGCTCCGATCCTGCTAGACAGCTCCGTAGACCGAAACACATCTAGTGGCATCTTCTAGGCTGACATGCTCTCGACTTTCAAGCAGACTCCCCGACTCTTTCCGGGTTGACAGATGCTAGAGAATAAGTATTTCTCGAAGCTCTTCTTGCCGCTTGGGATCAGAGATGCGAAACAATCTATCCTTGGGATCAGAGATGCGAAACAACCTATCGTAAGTAGATGATTGGAGCATGATTCCTTTTTTTCCACTTCGAGTTCCTATGTTCGCTCCTCTCCGCTGCTTCCACATTCCGCATCCGGCCTGCAGATAGAGTCTCGACTGCAGGGGCCCATACGTCGTTTGCGCGAGATCTGATGGGGAGAAACAGCCGATTAGGGTCGGATGTGATGACCCGAGGTACTCTGCGACACGCACAATCAAGCACCCAACGAGCCTTTGAATATTCGCCTTGGCGGTGCAGGATCTGCATGGTTTGGATGAGAAGATGCAAGATCCGTACGGCACTAGGATGAGATGTTGGAATCAGGTGAGATTTTGCGCTCTCGAGCAGCGGTCCGTCCCACATCTCATCCACTCGCTGGAGGACTTCAAACGCGGGCATAGCCGACGCTTCTGTCGGATGATACAGAGTAAGCCGTGTCTTAACAAAGGCTTTCTCATGCACGTTGCTCCTAACTCTTGGCAGATAATCTATGGACCACGAAAAGTCGTGAGGGGTCTCGACTGACCAACCCGGCGTCGTGAGATATCGCTGGAGCTCAGACATAGCAGAGTAGGTATTGATGTGAAACGGCCGCCCAGTGACTTCGAAATCCCGACATCCTTTGATTGCGAAGCGAAACTGATTCACAGCCTTCATCAATCCTTTCGATTCAGATGAGTCCAAATGAATGGACGACAACACCAGGGCTCGAAGGAAAGTACCCCTCCATCGCGTCCAGTTCTTAGCGGTCCGGTTACACGCGAAAGCTGGAACCAAGTCCATGAACAGCAAATCCCCAAGCTGCTGTTCGCTACGCTCAGCAACGATGCAATGTACCAGTGGTCCGATAAGTGGTATATTCACGACCGGATCGACGCGATCAAGGTGCTTGCCAAGCCAGCGAAAAGCACGCGAGCCGAACTGAGCATCGGCAACGTATTTTCGAAACGAGTCTTTTGACATTTCCGTCGAAGATGCAAACGCAATGCAATCCTCCAAGATCCTTGGCACCTGTTCCAGTCGCGTGTTGGGATCATCAAGCAGCCTCACCCTTGCAGCAGCCGGATCGTCATCCGGCGGCTGTAGATGCAGAATCCACGGACACGGGTCCAATGGCGGGCGCCGGAGCTGCTGCTTCAAGTATGCGCTGAAGAGCTCTTCCTTGCGTTGCGGACTGAGAGTTTCTCCGGGTTGCAGACTGAGGTGTATGCTGGTCGTCTGCGAAGTTTTGTGACCAGGTTCGGTCCCAATTCTCCGATCTTCATTTGCAGAGTCCTGATATTGATCTTCCCCAGGACGATCGTATCGGGGGGCCATGAAATTCGGTGAAGACGGACGGCCGGGATGTGCTTCGTCCAGCCCATGCCAGGCGCGTCCATCCCAAGTAAGTCGAAGATTTGGCCGGAGCCAAGGTCATCGTCGATGTTTTCCTGCGTCTTCGTGAAAGGAGGAAATGCCTCCCGGGTTGAAAACAAGTCTCATAGCGAAGGAGAAGGTCGAGAAGATTGAGAGGAGAGTGAAGATGAAGTGATGTGCGAAGAACGGGGACATGAGGTTGTCGTGTAACAGTGCACTGATCCCTGGCGGGTCCAGCCGCCGTCTATGTAAGCATCGATTTCGACGTGCTGAATTGCTGTATTTATTGGCTCAGTAGCTACGGCCAAATCATATGAAAGGCCAAATGTGTAATTCAAATACCCCTCAAGGATTTCTCCCATTTGCTCTGCGAAAGAGGAGCTCGAGGCCGTGACGACGGAGGTCAGACCCGTCATAAGGTACTACCTCCCCCCTGTCACCGCCCGGTCCAAGCGCCAATCTTATCAGTTCTGCCATGGAAAAGCCCCTCCATTAATTTTCCGTACGATACACCTCACACAACAACCACAAACACACCTACACACCAACTCACCAACCCTCACGAAACACCACCACGCACCCACCCACGCACCCACCCACCAACAAACAAACACCCAACCAACCACCCAAACCAAAAAAAAAAAATAAAAAAAAAATGTCCCCCCCATCCCCCCTCCCCGCCTGGAAATCAACCCTCATAGCCACAGCCCTAAAATCCCAAATCCTCACCTTCGGCACCTACACCCTCAAATCCTCACGGAAATCCCCCTACTTCGTCAACTGCGGGCTCTTCGCCACAAGCAAAACCATCCGGTCCCTCTCGACAGCCTACGCCCACGCAATAAACACCCACGCCCAGGAAAACCCAGAATTCACATTCGACGTCCTCTTCGGCCCCGCGTACAAGGGAATCCCCTTCTGCGCGACGACGGCGTCGGAATTAGGACGCTTGGACCCCAGCAGGTGGGATGAGGTCGGATATGCGTATAATCGGAAAGAAGTGAAAGACCACGGCGAGGGCGGGTTGTTGGTGGGGCAGGCGCTGAAGGGGAAGAAGGTGGTGATTATAGACGATGTGATCACGGCGGGGACGGCGATTCGCGAGGCTATAGGGATTATAGAGGCGCAGGGCGGGACGCTGGCGGGGATTGTGGTGGCGATTGATCGGCAGGAGAAGATGCCTAGTGCGGCGGAGAGGGAAGGGAAGGAGGATGATGATGATGAGGATGATGGCGCGCCGCGGATGAGTGCGATTGGGGAGGTGAGGCGGGAGACGGGGGTGCCTGTTCTGGCGGTTTTGACGCTGCAGGATCTGATTGAGGGGATGAGGGAGATGGGGAGGGGCGACGAGGTGCAGGCCATGGAGGAGTACCGGAGGCAGTATGGTGCTAGTGATGCGTGAGAAGCGAAGGCCAGGAAAGTATGGGGGCATTGGGACACTTTGTGCGATTAGCGAGGAGTTACAAGGGTAGAAATTGGAGACATGGGCTGTCGTGGACATCACATGCCTTCGGGCACGACATGGAAATACTTCGAGTCTCGCGAGTCGAGAGACGAAGATAGAAAGAAATCCATATCTTTTCATCAATCACTTCCATACCTCATGATATCTATGCACAAGCAGAGCAAAAAAGAAAAAAGAACTATACAACTATCAGCAGTCCCGTCCCGTCCCAACCGCGGGATCGGATCTCCAAAACTCCACGCCTGATCCCATACCCATAGATATCCAGAAAGAGAGAAAAGAAAACGCCAGAATTTGCCGTCCTGTCAAAAGAGCTTTCCCCCCTACCGCAAAGAGAGACAGAAAAACCCCAAAAAATCCCGACATGCAAGCGTTCAAATCCCTGTCGTTACGTCGTAGACCCGTGACTTGCTCCCTCATCAATCCTCTTCTTCTCCTCCCCCTCCTCCACCTCCTTCTCCACCACCGACACGACTTCCTCGGAGACATTCCTCTCCTCCTTCTCCTCCGCCTCCCCCGGACTCCCCAGAGCAGTATGCCAAGAAGCGGGAGTCGGCGGCAAGCCCGCGTCCTCCTCCACTGCCGGCGGCGAAGCAGCAGACTCCTCGGGCACCACATCGCCAGCATCAGAAGGGTCGTCGTCGTCCTCGGGAACATACATGTACGTCTTCTTGAACCGTGCCCGTTCCAACAGCACCTCGCTCCGATCCGTGAGCTGCGGGAAGCTCACGTCCAACCCATCATCGTCATCATCATCATCCATCACCTCATCAAAGCCGGAATCGCAATGGACAAGAAGAGAGGCGGGGTCCTGGTCCTGCCCTTCGCTCCGCATGGCAGCGAGCCGCCGATCCACCAGCGGAGGAGCAGTCTTGTCTTCTCTTCTGGGAGACGTGGTCCCCACAGAGACCGAAGTGGCACTCGAGATCGTCCGGCCATGGGGTGAACTTCGTCTTCGCGATCTCCGGGAGACGGGTGACCTACCACGACTCCGTTCCCGCCCAACGACCCAGGATCCCGAGCTTTCGAACCGGTAGGTACTCGAGGCAGGGTTAGAGTCCGGATTCACATATTCCACCAGATCCTGCCGCTGCTGCTGCTGCTGCTGGTGATTCTGGTGCTGCTCCGGCGCACGTCTCCTTCGCACTTCATCAATCGTGACAGCGAGTTGAGGATCGATATATTCCTTCGCAGACCGATGCGTCGACTCGCTACAACCCGACACCTGCAGATTTTCCTGCCACGAAGCGCGGCACGGAGAAGTTCCGGAAACCTCGGGAAACCGGCCCAGCAACTGCTTCGCACACATACGTCCTTGCGGACGCTCACTCAGGCAGATGCGTACAATCTCACGGAAGTAGTCCGAGATCCCGTCAGAGACGTCCGCAAGCGGCCTTTCCTCCCGCTCTGGTTCGTCGCTTTCCTCCGCAAGCGCCCATAGCACCATGCCGAGTTGGAAGAGATCGGTCTTGACGCCAATGTGCATACCAATCCTCTGATCGCTGTCAATCAGCCTGCTCAGCTCGGGAGGCTCCCACCCCACGGGACATCCCCGTCGGTTGATGTCGATGATGTACGCATCGTCATGCGCATCGATGACAATGTTGGAAAGCGTGAAGTCACCCTGGACGAATCCCGCCTCATGGACGTTCGAAAGTCCATTCACAATCTGCCTCGCCCACTTCTCTCTTCTCGACCAAGGTAGCTCTCGTGTCCCTTTCAGATCGTAGATGAGATCCACCAGCGCTCCCTTCTCCGCATACGAGATGAGTAATCCCTTGACCACCTCTCCTCGATCATCCGTGACCAGACCCTCGAGTTGCGTGACATTCTCACACCCCAGAAGCGAATCAAACGCATTCACCTCGTAGAGAAACTCATCCACCGTGTCCGGCCCCGGGATTTCCTTCTTGATCACCACCCTCCTTTCCCTCCCCGCTCCAAGAAGCACTTTGTACACGAATCCAGAAAGATGACCCACGAATTCCAAGCTTCCCTCCGCATACCTCGGACAGCTCACATGGTCAAACAGCCCAAGCCTCGGAAACTGAATAATCTCATTCGCATCCTCCCTCACATGGACATGCAGCTGTCCATCCGACGGATCCGTCTCCAGTTTGAGATTTGTAACGGTATCGTAGTACTGAATATCCGGTAACGAATCCCTGATAGCTTCATATATCCTCAGCGACTTATCCCTCTGAAGACACAAAGTCGAGAGATCCGCTTCGAGAGATTCGGGCGGTGCTTCCCGATAGTCCAGGGAGACGGTCACTCGACGCCATTGATTCGGTTTCTCGGCAAACGTGACGAAGAATTTCTCCCGGTTGGATTTATCGCGGAAGTGCATGCTCAGATTCAGGATCCAGCGGGATTCGAATTCTTGCTCGAGAGGGGATCGGAAAGAGCGGGAGAAGCTTTCGCCGTCGTTGTCGTCGTCGTCGTCAGAGAGGTCTAATTGGGAGAGGTCACTCGGGATGTCTAAGGGCGGAAGGTCCTTTCTAGATGCTTTCGGTTCAGCAGTATCTGAAGGCGGAGGAAGGTCGGGAGCAGGAAGTATAGAATCTGAGCCATTCGATCGGGAGACTTCGGGGGCAGATAATGGAGGAATGGTGGCAGGCTTCGGAGAAGCAGGTCGTGGATGTAGGCCCGCCGCACTCAATTCACGGCTCCTTCGACGCTCCGCGCTCAACGTTCTCCTCTCATTGTGCGAAGGCTCGACCTCCAACAACCTCTCCCGCTTCTCCGATTCTCGCCTTGTGAATGTCTGCGGACGAGGTACGGAGGGAATAGCTCTCCTCCCACCACCAGCAGGCACAATGTCCGGCAAGCTAGGCCTCCTCGTGGGAGGGAAGTACTCCGGCAGACTCGCCAGTTCAGGCGGAGCCGTCGTCGGCGCCAGGTCGTCGGCAGCATTGGTATCCCCAGCATCCTGCCTCCGCGGCGAATGAAACTGTCTCCTCAACAGACCCAATGGCTTCCTCAGCAACGACTGCCGCCTCATCCGCTTACTCGGAGGCAGGTCCTGACCCATCTCTTGCGTCTCAGCAGCAGCAGCAGCAGCAGCAGCAGCAGCAGCAGCATCGTCGTCATGGCCGGCGAATGAGAAGAGATGCGGCATCGTGGTGGTAGGGGTGTACGTTGGGAAGAGGGTACGTTGGAACGCGGTCTCATGTACTGTTGTATATATTACTTGGCCGCTGTCATATGCAATGCAAGCAAGCCAGCCAGCCAGCCAGCAGGAGCTCGCAGCAGGGAGAGAAAGGAGAACGAGTGCTCGCAGCAGCTGCTGTTTGCCGGGGGGGGGGGCGGGCTCGTGCTATCGCTGGTCTGCTTCCGTCGACTCTTCGGGTGACACCATTCGGGAGGTTGTACGACGTTCACCACAGCAGAGCGCGCTGGTATCCATCGAAGTCGTCACATGCAATGCAGCTCGTTGCGAGAGGGAAAAGGCGGGTGTCGTTCGGAAATCGAAGGGCGTGAGGATGGATTGACGATTGATGTACAGGGACCAAGCAGGCGGTATGACTCGCGGTCTCGCACCGTGCTGGAATTTGGACGGCGGAGTTGACCGGGCTCAGAGGCTCAGCTCTGGCCGTTTGGGGATGTCGTTGTTGTTGTTGTTGTTGGCGACAGATGCGATTTGTTTGATTGATTGCCGGCGGTAACCTGAAGGTGAGAGCGGTGTACTGCAGCGGCCTCGGCCAAACCAACCGAATGCGAGAATCGATCGACGTGGAGGCAGGAAGGTGAAGGGAAGGAAGGAAGGAAGGAAGGAAGGAAGGAAGGAATCGCTGCGCCACCTCGGATGTTGGCCGCGAATTCCGCCAAAGCAGAAAAGCACAACAGCAGAGACAGCGGCAATGGAAACGAAGGATGAGATGAGATGATTCGATTGGAAGCGCTGAGCTGAGCTGAGCTATCATACAAGTAACAAGGTCTGCGCAATGCAATGACGAGGCGGAGGAGTTCCCTCCCAACAACATGCAGCACACAGTGAGGTGAGCATGTTCGATAATACTAATACTGTACCTAATCATGCCATGGGGGGAACCGCTCTGCTACGCTGGCACCGCTCGACCAGCCTCCGAGGCAATGCCTACCACAATCATGCACCATGCACCATGCACATGCATCCCCTCGCCTTGCCCAGCCTTTTCTCTCTCCTTATTGAATGCCTCAGGCGCACCGAGGCCCAAATGCTGTGTCGGCTAATGCTATACCACCCTCCCTCCTACTTACTTGGGATACACAACCCCCTCGCAGGGAGGAAAATGCAACCATCTGTCTTCGTTTCGTGGACATGCTTGGCAGGGGCCTTGCGGTGAGTGCGCTGTCAGCAGTACCACCGCGTGCGCCGCCATTCAACAAGAGGCAGCCAGCTCATCATGTGCAGATGGAGGACACCATCTGCTCAAAAGACGTCGCGCATACAATTTGTTGGTAGGGCGCCGTCTCTGAAGCTTCATAGTAAGGCGCCGCACTCTCAAAGGTCTAACGGGTGATGGTCGCGAGCGAGCATGCACCTTCTTCGTTGGCAGCTCTGTGCTGCCTCCATGCCTTCGCCCTTGCAACATCACTGGCGAATTCGCCCTCTACGATGCAATGAGCTTTCAGAGCAATATTGATCGGCCTACAACTGTGAGATCGGGAGCCGCCACGATCGCTAACCACATCCGCTATCCCCGGTCGACGCATGGAAGCGGATGTGGACAGCCAGCCCTACGCATGGAAACGGCTTAACCTGCATCTTCGGCAAACGTCAGCGCACATTCTCTCGCCATACCTGAGTCTTTCGGGTGGAGAAGCCATTCGTGAGTGTCATCATCAGACAGGCCTTGGAATTCTTTCCTTCACAATGAGTAGGGTTTCAACAACGTTCATGGTGTTCATCAGACAGCGTAGAGAGACGAGAACATATTGCAACTTACAAGGAGTCCCGTTTGAGCTTCCGTCAATTCTGCTTCGTACATCTCACGAGTCCGACGTGTACGACAAAGCCAGTGCCCTCTTTCAAGCCGTCAGTGAGCATCTCATCCGGTATCCTCCATGTCCGGAAGTGCTCATGAAAAGCCTCGAGCCACTGTTCGAAGACTTCTGGTTGCCTGAGCTGCTGAGCTATCACGCAAAGCGTCGGTCGCGGCGGATCCGCATCGGCACCTTCGCTGCCGATGCGAAGCTTGCAAATGTCCACGCAGCTCTCTACGAGCGGCTGGATAAGGGCATAATTGAAGATGCAGTCGCAGGCCAGGACCGCGTCTACGCCCTTCTCCAATCCATTGGACGATAGTACACTTGCAATGTCATCGTTCTCCCAGTCCAGAGAGAACACATCGATATCGCTCGGCTGTTGTCGCTCGCTGGCTCCTCTCTTGGGTTTTCCGTGTTTTGAGCCCACCGCGTTCGCGGCTATGTTCTCTCGGATGGACTTCAGTACGTATGACTGATCCGTAACGACCATTCTGCGGACCCGCCGACGTAGAACGCATGGAACGAGACCAGAGATGCCGGCACCGAGCTCAAGGGCTGCCGATTCCGAATCCAGGGCGCCAGAAGAGAAGAGCGGGTTCTTCGGCCAGGCGAGCCATTCAGCAAAGCGGACGGATGCCTGCCAGACCGCAGCTCCCGTGGTTCCACCTCCGCGACTAGACTGTAGTACACCGGGCGACTGCTTGACCTCAAAGTCTCGCCCGGCGATGGTAAGGTCGAGGCTTTCTGCCCTCGCGTCGACCATGCCAAGGTCTTGAGAAGGCCGAGGTTGCGAGAATACATCATACGTTTCTGTACTTACCTGTTACCAGCTGATCCCGACTCGCTTCTGCAAGAGGCTTGACTGACCTTCGTTCGGGTCTTGGATCTCATGTCCAAGCTTTGCCAATAGCGACTCCATGCTGGACATGCGTGTTCATGCCAACCGCGTAGTTTGATGATCACTCAACTGTGCTGCTCAAAGCTTGGAACTGCCCCTTCTGTCACTGCAGCTGGTATTGGCTGAACGGCGAGAGCTTCGAGGTCTACTTTTCAAAGTAACGAGGACGATTCTCCGGGAGAGACTTCCTGTCGTTTTGGCTTTAGGATACCTTATCCAAGAAGGATCCAGGTCACGGGGTTGGTGGCTGATGATGTAGGTGGTTGGTGGCCGAGGATCGAGGTCACGGGGTTGGTAGGCGCGTGTTCGAAGGAGATGCGCTCCATGCGACGCGACGGCCGTGTCTTTACTCTATGCGATGCAGTCGTGAAGGCGGATCGGAGGATACGGTATCAGAGGTCCGGGTCCGAATCGTTGCGGGAGATAGTAAAGACATGCGCGGTTGGCAGATTGAAGATAGAATTTGCCAAGAGGCGGCAAATGAGGTAATGACGCTGGGTGCTGCCAGTTGCCCCACACGCGCAAGCTCCCGGCCCAGCCCAGATCCTGCCATGTCCAGCAACGTGTGTGTGACGCTGACGGCTACCTTACACGAACCTGACAGCTCTTCCGAAACATCCACACACCCACACACCCACACATCCACACATCCTCACATCCTCACATCCTCATCGACCTGGTCCGCCCTGCCCGCTCCCAGTACCTCCACTCCCACCTCCAACTCAACCCTCCGTCTCACTCCCTCCATCTTCCCGGCCTCGCATCCTACTCTCCCCCGACTCCGAGCGCGAGTGCATGTCATTCGATACCCTCATCGCCTCCACCAAGAGCTCCACCGTCCGAGAAGAGCTGCAGGAAAACACCGCTATGGGCGACGTCATGAACCGAAGAGATATCAAGACCTTTGTGCCCCAACCGCGCAACTACAAGACGCCTCCCTTCACCGTCGAAGCGCCCGGCGCAGAGATCAAGGCTGGCGAGACCGTGCCCCGACGCAACGTCAAAACCAAGGATCAACTCAAGTCGACACCCGTGCCGGAGGTCAAGACTCTCTACGATATCGTGCGCAGAGCGAGCGAGAAATATGGCAATGCGAAGGCGCTAGGAAAGCGCAAGCTGATCAAATTGCACGAGGAGAACAAGAAGGTCAAGAAGGTCATCGATGGCAAAGAGCAGGAAGTCGACAAGAAGTGGACCTACTACGAACTATCCGATTACGACTACTTATCTTTCAGGGAATACGAACAACTCGTCCTCAATGTCGGCAGTGCTTTCCGCGCTCTGGGCTTGCAACCCAAGCAAGATCGCGTCCACATCTTCGCTGCTACCCACCCCCACTGGTTGGCCATTGCGCACGGCTCGCACAGTCAAGCACTCTCGATTGTCACCGCATACGACACACTTGGCGAAGATGGACTCAAGCACTCTCTACTGCAGACCAATGCCAAGGCCATCTTCCTCGACCCGCACCTCCTCACCAAGCTCATCAACCCCATGAAAGAGGCCAAGGACATCCAGCACGTCATCTACAACGACGACGATGCGCCAACTTCCAAGGCCGAACCAGAGAAGATCCAAGCTGACGTGAAGAAACTCAAGGATGCACACCCGGACCTGAACGTGCTCAGCTTCAGCGAATTCGTTAAGCTGGGTGAGCAAAAGAAGGTGGACCCCACTCCGCCCAGCCCGGAAGATCTCGCCTGTATCATGTACACTTCCGGCTCGACCGGCACTCCAAAGGGAGTTCTACTCACCCACAAGAATGTCATCGCTGCAATCGCGGGCGTCGATGTCATTGTTGGTCCCTACCTTGGACCTGGCGACGGGCTATTGACGTACCTGCCTTTGGCTCACATCCTGGAGTTTGTCTTTGAATCCGCCTGCTTGTACTGGGGCGGTACCATGGGATACGGCAACCCCAAGACCATCTCGGACGCGTCGATGAAGAACTGCAAGGGTGACATTGCCGCGTTCAAGCCTACCATTCTGGTCGGTGTGCCTGCGGTGTGGGAAACGGTCAAGAAGGGCATCATGGCCAAGGTTGCTAAACTCAACCCGATTTCCAGGAACATGTTCTGGGGAGCTTACACGGCCAAAAACTTCATGATGTCGAACGCCAGCTACCTCCCGCTTTCGGGCGTTGGTACGAGCATCGTGGACAATGTTGTCTTCAAGAAGATTGCCGAGGCCACTGGTGGCCGACTGCGTATCTGTCTGAACGGAGGTGGTCCTATCGCCAAGGAGACACAGCGATTCGTCTCCATGTGCATTGCGCCCATGATTTCGGGATATGGCCTTACAGAGACTGGTGCTATGGGAGCGATCATGGATCCCCTTGCCTGGACGGACTCTGCTTTGGGAGAGATCACCGGATCGATTGAGATCAAGCTCGTCGACTTTCCGGACGCTGGCTACTACTCCACGAACAACCCACAGCAAGGCGAGATCTGGATCCGAGGAGATTCGGTTGCCTCCGGCTACCTTGACCTGGAGAAGGAGACCAAGGAGTCGTTCACAGACGATGGCTGGTTCAAGACCGGCGACATTGGCGAGTTCGACAGCTATGGTCAGCTACGGATCATCGACCGCAAGAAGAACCTGGTCAAGACGCTCAACGGAGAGTACATTGCATTGGAGAAGCTCGAATCGGTCTACCGCTCATGTCCAATCGTCGGTAATATCTGTGTCCACGCTGCCCAAGACAAGAACAAGCCGATCGCGATTGTCGTACCTGCCGAGGCTGCACTGAAGGACCTTGCTAGCAAGAATGGGATTAACGGCAGCGGTCTTGAGGACCTGTGCCGCAACAAGAAGGTAAATGATCTCGTGTTGAAGGAGATGCAAAGCGCTGGCAAGAGCGGTGGGCTTGCTGGAATCGAGCTGATCGAGGGACTCGTCCTGGCGGACGAAGAATGGACGCCGCAGAACGTAAGCCTTATCTCGCGTGTACCTTCGAGGCTTCAGCACACTGACATGAATCTAGGGCCTCGTCACATCTGCACAGAAGTTGAACAGAAAAGGTATCACTGAGAAATACAAGAAGGAGATCGACACTGCGTATGGCAAGTAGGCGGGTTGGCTCTCGCGGTAAACGGCTTCCGTACCAAACCAAGGGAGGCATGATGAGACACGCAGCGAGCGAGCGATTTTGTCTTTGCCTTGAAATGCAGGAGTAGTGGTTGATGGTTCTGTTTAATGTGTTCATTGCCAGTGCAAACACGTCCGTGCCTATAGTTTTTCACTCGGTGCATGCATGCTATGAGATACCATAGGTAACTCTTCCATTCACTCTGTGGCGCGTGTGTTCACGGTCTACCTTACCGAAAAAGGTATCGTCATCGCTCACGTGTCACATGCTTTCGGCAAGATCTGACGGACGGTTCTTCTACTGGAACCTGGAAGTCTCGGGAAGGGGCCGGATGGGCAAGGTTCTGCGCTACCCCACGATCATCGCTGACGCAGGTGCATGCGCAGCTCTCTTCGCATGCAGCTCTTCCAATCTTCAACAACAACAACCACCAACCACACTTCACATCACATCACAATTCATATATCGACTGTTCTTGGGAAACTTCCACAACACACCACAGCATGGCGGCGGTCTCCCGCCCGCGGGTCTTCCTCGACATCTCCCACGGAACTGAACCCATCGGCCGCCTTACCGTCGAGCTCTTCACGGACAAAGCGCCCAAAGCATGTGAGAACTTCAGACAATTATGCACCGGACAGAGGAAGCAGGAAGGGTTATCTTACGAAGGAGTGCCATTCCATCGGGTGATTGATGAGTTTATGGTCCAAGGAGGGGACGTGGAAAATGGTGATGGAATTGGAACGCGGAGTATCTATGGAGGGGAGTTCGAGGATGAGGAGTTGCAATGGAGGGAGATGGATGCGAGAGGGTTGGTATGCTGTGCGAACCGTGGCAAGGGGACGAATGGCAGTCAGTTCTTCGTTACGCTGGAGGCTTGTCCGCACCTCAACGGGAAGCATACGATCTTCGGTCGATTGGTTTCGGGAGAAGAGACGTTGGAGCGGATCGCGAAGGTGAATGTGGACAAGGACGATAGACCTGTCGAGCCGGTGCTGATATTGAGCTGCGGGGAATTGGAGCGGAGGAAGAAGGTTACGAAGAAGCATGATTCGATGCAGGAGAATGTCGCGCCGGGCGATGATCGGGGGAGACGGAGGAAGAGTGATCAAGATCAGGGCGATGAGGATGAGATGGATATCACACCACCTCAGAGGGAGCGAAGACGGAGGCAGAGCGATAATGTGGTCGACGAGGGCATAAGAGGCAGACCCCGACTACGTTCGCATTCTCGTTCGTCATCCCATCCGATCGAAGAAGACGGAGAGGACATTTCGGACCTCTCGCCCGCAAAGATGCACAAGCGCAAGCGTAGCCCAAGTCCGAGCAGACACCTCGATCGCCGGTCCGAGCAGGCCGGTGAGGAACGTAGGCGAAGAAGTCTCCCGAACCAGTATGGAGACCGGAGACGAGAATACCGCGACAACGACAGATATCGACCGAGCCCCAAGCGGGACGACTATCGACATCGTGGCAGAGGAGGAGGAGGAGATGACCGACGATATCGTCCGTCACGAGACCGCCGCTATGGTGATGACGGCCGATTGGGCGATGATGGGCGTCTGGGCGGCAGTGGCGGAGGGGACATCGATCCCCCCGTCAAATTCAAAGGCCGAGGCGTGATGAAATACAGAGAGTCGGATCGAGCTTGGTAAGTAAGGACCTCGAGGGACCCCCGGAAAGACATCGAAAAATATCCTCGGCGACAGAAGAAATTTTTTTCAGGAATGCTGGGCGTTCTGCGGGGGACTCGGGGGGGTTTTTTTTTTTTTTTGGACTGTTAATATTCCCTGCTGGGAGAAAAAGAAACTCATGACTTGATGCGATGGGATGGTTTATCTCTACCTCCCTCCCGCATTGCATTCCCTTTGGACTTTGGACCCACCCCCTTTTTGGCCGTTTGTTTTTTTTTTTTTTTCTGCTTCCAAAAAAACTTCCATGGCGCGGAGTTCATCGCCGTGCTGGTTGGCTGGGACGACGAGAAGAGCATGTGTTGTGGTTTTTTTTTTTTTTGCGGCGGCGGCTTCCTGAGTATCATAATAGTGATGATGATGATGAAGGACCAAACATAGCAGCCCGAACCAACCCTTCCTTCCTTCTTCCTGATTGATGATGTTGTTCTGTGTCCTGTGTCCTGCTCTCGCGCGGAATTTTTTTTTTCTTCTTCTTCTTCTTCTTCGCGGTTGTAGTTAGCTAGCCCGTGATCTTGATGAACAGGTTTGTCGGTCATCTGCCAATTGTGTTGTGGTGGACTGGGAGACTTTGTTCGACTGTCTGTCTCTCCAACTACTGGCACAGCATGGCAATCTTCGTTCAGCAATTTTCGGGTTCTTGCGTTCTCGTTTTTTTTTTTCGTTCAGTCGCTTTTTGGGATCTAACTTGGGTGTATGACCGCGTGCCATGCGTCCTTTATGCTAATAGGGGTTTGGACGGTGGATGGTTGCGGAGGCGGAGGGAACGCTTCTTCGTTTGGTGAGGAACCCGTGTGCTACCGTGGCACACTCATCTTCCAGCCGCAAAGGAGGCGTACAAGCAGAGAGAGTAATACATGTGTTTCCCACCTCACCGATATGACCACTACCGCGCGCCGCGATTGGGACCGAACCCCAACAGTACTGTCTGTCCATCTATATAGATACTAGTAGTGCAGCACATGAAAAGTTTTGAGCGAGCGGAACAATATATATCGAAGCACGCAAAGGTTCCAGGTAGGCCGGGCCAGGCAGGGATGGTCAATCAATCCATCAATCATCCAAAAACTCAATATACACTCTACTCCCTCGCCCCCAAGACAGACAAGGGGGGGTTTTTTTTTTCTTTCCAAAAACATGCACTTCTTCTCGATCACCTTGTTCGTGTCTCTGCCCGTGGCCATGACGGCCCTCAAAGACTTCCAGCGGCGAATCGAACGCCCAAAGCGATGCCGTGGCGTTGGAAGGACTGCGTTGCGAATCTTCGGAATAATCACCATTACCTCTTCCTTCAAGATACGCAACCTCCCTCCCTCCCTCTCTCTCTCTCTCCCTCCCTCTTTTTTTTTCTTTCTAACCATATATCATATACAACCCCGCTGGACCGGCGTCTCACGCTAAGCTAAGCTACGTCTGCGACAAGGCAAGGCAACCACAACCATGTCTTCTACCTCAAAGGAGGGCACCACGCGTGGTCGTCTGTCTGCGCAGGACGGACGGACTACATCGGTGCCAGGTGTGTGGATTTTCTTGTATGCGGTGGCCGGGGAGGGGAGGGCCGCCGAGTGGGCCTGGCGCGGTGCGAGCTGGGAGATGGGGTGGAAGTGAGGAGATTCGCTTCAGTGGGAGTGGGAAGAAAGAAGGGGTTGGGAGTGTTAGGGGGGGGGGAGCTGAGGTGCTGAGGTATAGAGGTTGGAAGGGAATGCCGAGTCGTGGAAGGTGGGATTAGGAGGGAAGAAATCTTTCGAGATGATCGAGCGGTGTTCGAGGGTACTGTGTTCTCAAATGGCTTCTTCTTTCTGGTGCCTTCTTTTTCTTGGCTCCTTTCTGCTGTCTCCTTTTTACTGTATTCTGCTCTGTTCTGTCTCGTAGACAGGCTTTACCACCCTCGCTTCTCCCCTCCCCAGTACATCGCCCACCTGCTCGTGCCCTTCACGACATTGACAAACTCCCTCGCAATGACCCGTTCCGTCTGCTCGCTGGGATGCAAGTCATCGTACCACAGATAACTATCCGGGCTCGCATTCGTAACGCAGTGGTTCCCCGTAGCATCGCAGCGATGCACCACGCCCGTGACATTCAACGGCGCGGTGCCATTCAAGTACTCCGCGGGAGAATTGTAAATGTCCGTCATCTGAGAGGAAAAAACCCGCCGTCGGTCAGTAAGCTCCTTTCAATTGACAGGAAAGAACAGCAACACTCACCAACCCATTCACATCATAAACCGCAAACCTCGCGCCCTGGAACCTCGTCGTCAACTCCACCTCAAAAGGACTTCGATAGTGATGAATCGCATTCGTAGTAGCCACCTGCTCCATCATGCGATACGAGATTTCCGTTAAATTACTCGGCTTATCGGGCCAGTAGGCATAATTACTCGTCACGCCGCCCTTCTCCGGCAGTGCATACAGCGGAGCCAGATTCAAAGGCGGGACGTTTTGCACGACGAAATAGCGCCCTCCATTGTCGTAGAGCCGTTGGATTTGGGCGTACACGCAATCGGTCGAGTTTACGAGATTGGTGCCTTGGACTTGGGAGTCGGTGATGAAGGCGTAGGATCCCAGGTCGTTGGCTCCAATCCAGATGCTGTAGACTGTCTCGTTGGGAGGCGCGGTCATGAATTTCTGGCCGTTGGGGTCGGTGTAGTTGTAGTCTGCCAGGTAGGCGGGGATTTCGTACTGCTGGACGGCAGGGAAGAGGATTTGGAGGTAGACGTATGTTTTCGGTGTGATGTCGTTGGAGCAGACGGCGCCGGCAACGGCATAGTTGTAGAGGTTTGCGCCGGTGTATTGCTTGACGTACTGAGGCCAGACGCGGCCGCCGTCTGCTGCGGCGTAGTTCTGGTGGAATGTGAGGTTTGCCCATTGTTGGACAGATCTGCTGGACTCACCGGCGGGTTGTCGTATCCGACAGGCGGCAGAGATCCATTGTGAGCTGAAATGTAACTCAATCTTGAGTCGTCCGTGTAACTGTCTCCAAAGGCCACCAGTGTCGTGAATTTCTTCAGGTCCCACGATGATGAAGAATCTCGACCTTCCCAGCCCCAAGGTCCATCAGGACGACCAGAAGGAGGTCCCCAGGCACTCGCCAAGCCGAGAGCGCTCAGAAGTGCAACGCCTGTGAGTGTCATTTTGCAAGCAACCAACGAGATCCCAGAGCGCTTGCCAGGTGTTTTAAGAAAGAGCTCCAAACTAGGAGATGCCCTATATATGCTCACCACCGCCCAGAAGATCTACAATAGGTATTCCGACGTAGCCTGGTTGGCATGAGATTTAGCAAAGCCTATGTGGCTTCGGTGAAAGCTTGTCCGTTCTTCTTCCTTCCTAAAGCGGGGTTACCCCAGAATAAGGTAGCCTATATGCACATGAGAAGATCGCTTCGGGGTTCGGTAACACGATATTACGATAGTATTCATATACTCATGACAACTTTGCGGCATTTTGCCCGTCCGTCATGCTACGGAACTTTCGCAGCAAGCTCCTACATCGGGAGTTGCCACTGAACGCGTGCTGCTCTGCCCTTCGATGCGCTCTAGAGTATCATCGATGACTTGTGGACGCGACGATTGTCTGCGGTTGATGCAACCGAACATCTCATCAGAGCGGTCGAAGTAGTTTCAGGTCGCGCTGCCTCCATGTTCGGTAGAAGCCGCTTCTGCCTCTTGGGGTTCAGTTTGCTGGGGCCGACCGGCGTGCCACCCCTCGTCCCTTGACCATGTGGCAAGCAATTTCTCGCTGTCGACAATCTTCTCAGCATCGAGACAGCGTTCATCAGACCTGTAGATGTCGACGCGGGAAAGCTGTTGGATCTCTTCGACACGGGTCTTCAGCTCTGCCACAACATTCTCTGCGTGCGGGGTCTCGGGCCAATTGCGATTCTCCTTTTCTTTCCACCATAGACCCAACTTCAATTCGACTTTGGCATCGGGTGGAGTCAACAAGAGCTTGCCAGCGACGAGGCCGAGTGTTTGTCGCAGATCGTTGGCGGCTTCACAGTGGGTCGCATTCCCCGGGCAGGTGTGCTCGCAGACGACAAACATTCGAAGCTCCACTATCTTGACGTCGACCAGTCTGCAAGGAAGAGGAGGCAGTGTGAAGTTGAAGTCTTGGTGGTCCGAGTAGATCAGCCTCATCTTGGGCTCGGCGACGTGCTCGTACTCTTCCTTGATCTGCTTGGAGACACACATAATGTTCGCCAAGGGACAGTCTTTGACGGACATGGCTGCTTCCATAGTTGGCGAGGCAATGACGGTCTCGTCGCCGCTCAGGTTGTCGTACACCCATTCGCGGAGTTCCGGTGGGAGGTCGAAGAAGGGGAATGTCTTCTCCTCACACGGAGCGTGTCCCATTTTAATTCGCGGTCTGGAGTGAGCTCCCGGGCGATGATTTGGGGATTATGTCCGTCTGAGTCTGTTGGTCGTTAGTTGATCGAGTATGTGGAATGTTGGTGGAGTGATGCCGGAGAGAGTTGAAGTGGTTCAAGTGACACACTCGGCTGCGCACGTGAGGTGTTGCCAAGACGGTGACGCTAATCCAGCTAGTGACGCGCCAGCGCAAAGTTTGCGGGGATGGGCTGAACCGATCAAACACGCACTGACGCCCACAAGCAATTTTCTTTCCATTCACCTACAACTCGCACGTGCCGACATCATGTAAATGCGCCTGGCGCGGCCCATTTACACGCGACCCACTCAACTCCATTCCACGATACCTGCGCAACACCAGAATGGTCTCCTTCGCCGCGCCGACGAGCGCGATGCTGCCACCACCCACACCGATCCAGAAGCGCCCCACGATAGGACTCAAGCGCAACAGCTCATACCTCGACACCGACGACGAGGCTGGCCTCTCGACGACTACGAAGAAACTAAAGGTTGCCTTCGATGACCATGTCGACGTCCGGATCATGGACGACTGGAACGACAAGAGCTTCGAGCTGGTGAGAGAGGAAGTCCGAATTGGCATACAGCGTCATCTCGCCCCGAACGAACAACGAGACGACGCGCAATACGTCAAGATCCTGCAGCTGCTCGGACAAGATGCCTTCTCCAGTGAAGCACCAAGCACCAAGCTGCTGACCAAGTATGTGCTCGCCATTGGTGCCAACATCAAACACTTGGGCGAGTGCGGGAAGCTGGTCCTCGCAGTGCTCGACCTCTCTTGGGTCGGCCGCGACATGGAGTTCGTAAAGGCTTACACCAAATTCCTCCTTACACTGGCGACTGCGCACGGAAAGTACATGACACCAATCATGGAACGCCTTGTCTCCCACTTCGAACGTCTCCCGGCTTCGACCGGCAGGTTGCCAGAAGAAGCAATTGTCTCCCGGACCACCATGTTCGACAGGCTACACACCGTCATCCAGACCATGCTCGGCTATCTACCGTCTGCCGGGAATGCTCTCCTCCGCGTGCTCACGCAACAGTTCCCGAATGATTTGGCCACAGCGAAAGGATATTTGCAATATCAGAGGAACGCGCTGCGCGTCGCGGATGTAGCACCAGAGCTCAAAGCAGAGATTCTGTCTCTGATAATGCAGCGCTTGGTCGACATTGACGTTCAGATCCAAGAAGATCTCGAGGAGCTGGATATCGATGACGAAGATACGCTGCTGCAGCGGCCGCAGCGGAAACACGATGAGGCGGAGCCGGAAGAGTCTGATGATAGTGACATCGAGTCTATCTCCGAGTCCGAGTTGACCACGACGGAAGAGGAAGAGAAGATGCGCGAGCTTCGACTCAAGGTGAGGAAGATGGACCACACTCAGGACCTTCTCTTCGAGTACTACGAGCCCTACTTCAAGGCGGACGTATCGCCAAAAGACAACGAGGCATACCAGGACCTACTCTCGCAATTCACCAACCGTATCATGCCGAGCCGTACGCGACATGCGCAGTTCCTGCTATTCCACTTCACCCAGATATCCCCCAGCTATGCGGAAGATTTTGTGCAGTCGTGTCTGCGCATTTCCCTGGACCGCAACTCCGCGCAGAGTGATAGGCTCACCGCCTGCGCGTACGTCGCCAGCTTCACTGCAAGAGCATCGCATGTTCCCGCGGACACCGTCAGAATCGTGTTTCACGTATTGAGTCAGTTCTTGGAACGGATGCGGCACAGCTACGAGCCCAACTGCCAAGGACCAAGCAGAAAGAAGTACAGCCAATACTATGCTGTTGTTCAGGCACTTCTGTACATCTTCTGCTTCCGATGGCGGGACCTTGCCGTTGGATCTCTCACGCCGGAGTCGGAATCCGAAAACATGCTGGAAGAGGACGTGCTGGACGAGGGTCGCGACTTGGCTTGGCTTCCTGGCATCAAGGAGATTCTGAATGCGAATATCCAGTCGAAGCTGAATCCTCTCAAAGTCTGCTCAGCCGCGATTGTCGCCGAGTTTGCTAAGATTGCCAATCACCTTCGCTTCCTCTACGTCTTCTCCATTCTGGAGCGAAACAAGCGCATTCGCCTTGGACAGATCTCGACTTCGTACGGCCGCGCTCGAATGAACGATGTCGCTCGACGTGAGACAGCATGGGACCAGAAGACCGGAGAGGCGCATCACCAGCTGGAGGCATACTTTCCATTCGATCCGTATCATCTACCGCAGAGTAAGAGATGGCTGGAGGGCGAATACATTGAATGGAAACTACCTCGAGGCATGAAGCTGGATGATGAGGATGAAGAGGAGGAGGAGGAGGAGGGGGAGGAGGAAGAAGAGGACGCTAGCGAGTCTGAAGGCGAGTATGAGAGCGATGACGAGTCGATTCTCGAGGACTTGACCGGGCAGCCAGCACCGGATGTAATTTCAGTCAGCAGCTGAGCAAAGCAAGAGTAGGATTTCGAATTGGGACAACAGGACGAGGAAAAGTGATGTTATTGTACAAGCGTTTTCAGCGTGGAGTTCAGGGAGGAAGAGACGCTTTCATGAACACAGCGTTTCGACTCGAGCATCAGCGCAGGCGTGTCTATGGGGGAATGGCATAGATACTACAGGGAATGACAAGAGAGGACCTTTCCACGTCGACATGCCAATTCTGTACTCCGTACCTTTTGAGACAAATTCTGATTCCGCTGAAGATCTTCTCTAGTACATCCGCCCATCACAACCCGACTGAAGAGATAGACACCCGCCATCCGGAACGGAGGACGAAAGCAAAACAAAACTTCATCAATTCCACCCCATAATCCCCTCCCCAACCACCTCCCCGCCTCTCCAAAAACTCACCCGCCGTCCGATGATGCCCTTGCCGCCCACCCCGAGATCCAGAATCTGCGGTAATGTCCACGTCCCTCCTCCCTGCTGCCGGTGGACGGGAAAGCGATACAGCACCGCCTCCTCCTTGTCGTCGTCGCCGCTTTTCTTGGATGAGAGGAGGTTGCCGTCTTGACTGTTGATGAATGAACAGAGAGAACGGATTAGCAGGTTCGGCTGATTTTCTCGTTTTTTTTTTTGCCGATTAGAGCGAGCGAGCGAGTAGGATTGGATTGGATTGGATTGGATTAGTGTGGTGACTTACTGAATCACAATCGACGCATCCTCCTCCTCCACCTCCACGGAAGAAGAATCCGAAGAAGAAGGAATCACCCCCGAAAGTGTCGCGATGGTGGTCGTCTTGCCGTTGGAGAGTTTCAAGGCCATTTCCGGTTTCCGATCGCGAAGAGCAGAAGAAGAAGGAGGAGGAGAAGGACGAGTAGGTTTGAGAATGGCGATGGTGCCGCCTTGTGTGGTGCGGGTGGAGAGGCCGTTACAGCACATCTTTTTCTTTGATTTTCTTTCTTGGTTTTTCTTGGTTTTCTTGGTTTTTCTTGGTTTTCCTGGGTTTTGGTTCTGGAGAGAGGGGTTCTGTCAAGTAGATGAGTTAGTTAGTTAGTTTAGTCAGTCCGTTTGTTACTTCATTACGACGGCGCAAGAAGAGAAAGTACGGAAAAGAAAAGGGAGGGAGGCAGACGCGTGCAATACATTTTTCCTCATAACGTACTTGAAGATACTTACTTTCCGTGTGAATGAATGAGATGTCTGTCCCGGATCGAGAGTTTGCTGGATTTGGCAGGCAGTATATCTGTATAGATACTGATATCGAAAGCTAAGGTAGGAGGGAACAGTGGAAGAGGTAGAACAACAACAACAACAACAACAACGAAAACAATAACAACACCTTAATGTCCCAACCCCGATATATCAATGGAACCACCCACGGTCGTGAAGCAATGGCTGGCTTTTACACGTGATGCGCATGGACTCGGGAATTGAGCAAGTTTGCGCTCCCTCCGAAACAATGAATGTCCGCAAACATGCTCATCATCTACACATTGCAAATTAACATCTTGGAGATTTGGGATATTCCAGCATCGATCGTAGATATTTCTTCATTCTTCTTCTTCTTCTTCTTCATTCTCCTCGAACTACGTTTCTATCTTCTTCTCCATCATCTTCACTCATCATCTTCACTCATCATCAACACGTTGAGATGCCATTTCCCCCATCTATCCATCCATCCATCCATTCATCACTCCATCCACCAAGAAGGGACAAACTTTTACATCCCGCTTTCCCCAATATAAAAATCCTTTCCCTGGTTCCCGGTTGAATGGGGTATCTTTGAAAACGCAAAATGCCAGAAACGCCACATGTAAACAGGAAGCAGCAGACAGAACGCTTGACACACTTTTTCTCTCGTAGTCTTCTTGTTGAAGAAGACTCAAAATGGCAGGCCAGCCAGAAGAACACCGCGCTGGTAATGCCATATACAACTCCGTCATCGCCACTTGCCGTTTCCCCATCTTTCATTCAGTTTTTAAGCGCCGTGTTGGACGTCGCATCGGCTCCAGAGCCCGCATGGTCACCGTTCGTGACACCATTAGGGACGCCATTCGCTACTGGCTTGCCATCCGGCTCGTCATGATGGAAGCCGTTGGTGAGCGCAGCACCCTCCAATCCCGGGACTGCCAGACCCTTGAAGATCTTGAAAATGCCATTGTTCTGGCGGAAGTCGTTGTGCACAATGTTGACCAGGTACCAGCTCTGCGTGATCTCCTGAATCACCTTGCGGCTGTCGCTGCCTTCATCGTAGCACTTGCTCCATTCCAGACCGAGGTGGTAGAACTCATCTCTCCAAGCCAGGAAAGAGACCGTCTCGACAATGGTCGGCTGCACGATCTCCTTGCCTGGGAAGACACCCCATGTGACGGCATTGGGACCACCATCCGATGGTGAATTGGTTTTCAGCTCGCCATTGGAATTGACAGCGTAGTATGTGATGTTGGGATCCTGGTCCATTCGCCGGATGACTTCTTGGATCAGATCTGGCGAGACGAGGACTTCCAGATACTGCTTCTGGTAGACGTAACCGTTAGGTGGTCCCCATCCGTGGATCTTGTCAGTGGACTTGGCGCCGTCGACAGCAGGCTGAGAGTTGATTGTGAAGAGGCCACGGCTGTTCAGGTCGACCAGATCTTGCACGAGCACGTTCGCTTCTTCGTTGATGGGAGATTCAGACCACGGCAAGGTCTCCACCTTTCCACGCATGAAGCCGACGAACAAGTCCGAGATCTCCTTGAGACTCTTCGGTTCTCCCCACAGCTTGCGGTTGTGCTCGTTGGTGCCTTTGAGTCCAATACCGTACTCATCCAAACCACCGAAAGCTGGAGATCTGCTGTCACCCCAGCGCCCGTTCGGGAACTCGTCCCAGTCCTGGGTCCGCTGCACGTATGCCCGGTTGCGGTTCCTCCAGAAGATGGGTCGCACATTTTCCTCTCGCCTGTTGAGCCCAAGTGACTGCCGCCATGGCAGAGGCTTGAGTTCGGGCTGTGGACTTTCCGGAGCAGGAAGAAGATCAAGTTGCTCGAGCACCATTCTCGAAGCAGCTGCCAGATTCATGGTGTAGAAATGCAAGTGCATGATTCCGGCATCCAGTAGCTTCCGGCAGAACTCCACGATGAGATCACGTCCGACCTCCTTGACGGCGCCATCGTCGTTCTTGATTGGCTCCAAAGCCTCGTGCCATTCTGGCGGAACGCGAGCTTTGACCCAGTTGGCGCGCCGTAAGAAGGCCGCGTGTGTTGATATCGGCATGATGCCCGGGATGATCGGTACGGATTCCGGGATACCAGCAGCTCGAACGCGATTCATCCATTCGATGAAGAGCTCCGCGTCGTAGCACATCTGGGTGACAACAAAGGTTCCACCGGCGTCGATCTTTTCCTTCAAATACTTGATGTGCTCGTCCGCCGAACATGTCTCGTCCAGACCCTCCGGGTATCCGGCGACGCCAATGTCGAAGTGGTCGCCATATTGTTTCTTGATGTACTTGATCAGGTCCAAGGCATAGCGGAAACCACCTTCGGTCTGTTCCCACTTCTCCTGCTCTCTGGGCGGATCTCCGCGGAGCGCCAAGATGTTTGTGCAGCCGGCATTGTAAGCTTGTTTCAATGCATCATCAATCTTTTCCACACCCATATCCGTGCAGGTCAGGTGCATGCATGTCTCCAATCCATAGGCCTCCTGTGCGTTCTTGACCATCTCGTTGGTGAGACTGGCGTGTCTTCCACCGGCACCCCATGTGATATCGATGAACGCCGGACCCAGACCGTGCATCTGGTCCATGCGATCGTACAGGTTCTGCACACCCTGGGCGGTCTTGGGCGGGAAGTACTCGTAGGAGTGGGTGATTTTGCCGGTCGAATGCGCGGCGGCGAGTTTCTTGGAGATATGCATGTTGACGGCGAAGTAGTAGAGGAATGCTCGGGAGTTGAGAGATGTGGACGACGCTCAAGGGGTGGGTCCCAGCGAATGTGCAGGCTGCTTGGCAGCAAACTATGCGAGGCATTATGTCAGTGTCGATGCATGAAAATCGCTCAGCGATGTTTGCGAGTGTTCCGAGGAACCTTGAAGTCGCCGAGAGGGAGAAAAACAATACCAGCGGACGGGGTATACAGAGCAATACGTACAGATCTCTTCCGTGGGATTGGTTTGTATCCAGTGGAATCCAATGCAGACCGGTATGGGATCGATGTAGATGCAGCCGGCGTGGCGTGGTGCCTAGTAGGAGGTGACAGAGAGGGTTGTAGCAGTAGCAGTAGCGGCAGTGGTGGTGTTGGTGATTGAGATTGCTTTGAAGTCGACGAGTTCCCGGCCGTTGTACAGGGCCATTACGGGTTGATGGGTGGGAGGATGGGCTAGCAGGCGGAGGGAATCGACATTCTGCGTGTGTGCGGGTCAGGGAGAGTGCACGGAGGTTGAGAGATGGAGGAAGAAGTTGCAATTCCTCCGAGATGCAGTAGAGAGAAAGACAAGACCCCACGATCCCCCCACCACAGGGCAGCGGCTCACCCCGACGCCGTCCGTGCGCTCACTGCCAGATTCGACGTGTGACGGGAAAGTGTCCGATGACGGCGATGACGATGACGATGTCGATTCTTCCACTTCACCTTCTCTTTACTTGATCATTACTCTACACTGCCATTGGAGAGAAGTATCGCGTCCGAAAGCGCTCGGGAGAATCTCCAAGCATGCAGCTGCGAACCATGAGATGAGGTGGCAAACGGAGACACAATACTGTACACAATACCCCGCTACGGCCACAGCCACGGAAAAGCAGTGTGCAGGCTGGCAGGGTCGTCCCTGTGAGCGATGCCAGTGCAAAAGGCCCCGGCCACTCTGCTAATAGCGGCACGGCGTCCCAAGTTGCCCGAATCGTCGGTGTCCGGTCTCCAACGGGTCAGACGACCGACCAGTCGTGGCGTCGATGCCTCCGTTCAACTCTTCGTGTCGTACATGTGGCGTTGTAACCCAAACACTGGCTGAATACCTGAGATGCCGTGGAAAGATTGGTAAGGGGCAGGCAGTGTGCCGCTTCGTTGAATACTGTTTGCCTCAACGCTGGTCTGCTTCCGAAGAGTACATGTAATTACGATGCTCGATTACTAACAGATACGGTAACATCACATGAAAGCGGCATGGCTCGGCTCGGCTCGGCTCGGTATTGCTCGGCTCGGCCCATCTCACGGCTCGAATGCGACCGCCTCGCTAAACGTAAGCGTGCTCTCCTCCATCTTCAATCCCACCGTACGGGGCAGAACACCGGGCCAGAAGTTCTGGAAGAACTCGTCGCCCACCGCATTCACCCCCGTCTCTTCTCCGTCGCCGCCAGTCTGGTCCATGTTCATCGTGCCGAGGATGGTCTTGTTACTGTACTCTCCCGGCACAACATCCTTCCAGACTGGTCCACCGTTGACCAGCGCGCCGAACGCGTCCTTGTGGGTTGGGAGCGGAGGTTGTGTCAGCGTCGCATTGATCCCCAAAAGGCCGTAGAGGGCCGACGAGAACGGAATCTTCGGGTTGAGGTCGCCAGTCTTGAGGCTGAGAAGGCCTGGAAGCTCAATGTCGACCAGGTTCTCCGGGAGAAGGGGAGAGAAGGTCATCTGGAACCATGGCTTCTCTGAAGGTCCAGATTCAGTTGTATCGCCGGTGGTGTCGAACGGATAGACCTTGACAGATTCGCCGCCATCTGCATTGGATGTCCAATTGAAGCGGGCGAGATGTTTGGGCTGGTTCCAGGCTGTTCGAAGCAGTCCGTATTAGCCTTCGTCTGGAAGAGGGCGTAGACCTGACTTACTCGAGCGCGCATTCCAGACACTGTACTTCTGGCTGACATAGATTCTGCTAATCCTCAGATTCCTCTCTGTCTTGCCCCCTCTCTGGTAGTCGTAGAATCCGGGAACGATGAACATCTCATCATAGGGTCCAACAGGAGACTCGGTGTAGCGGACGAGTTGAATGATGCCGATCTCTCCTACATACGTGCCCGCAGTCGAATTTGGATACTGGCGCTCGAGGGGAGGAAACGTCTTGTTGGGTAGGGTGAGGTCGAGCGGAACCCCAAGACCGGGCAGGAGGAATGTCGAATAGATGGTTCCCTTCAGCGTCCATGGTGCCGGGACGAGCACGTAGGGATCGGTCGACTCGTTGGTGCAGTTGTTACAGCCGGGCTCGGCCACTACACTGGCGAGCAGCGCTGCGAAAGCTCCCCAAAGCAACATCCTGTCGATGTCGAGAGAAAGGCAATCTCGTCAAGGTCAAGTCGACTTGGACGGCAACGACGAGAAACATATTTCTTTCTCCTGGCCCTCTTCCTCCTCGGTACGACCGATTCCCCCGAGGTGACAGCGGTAACCGATATTAGCGCGTATAACACGATCTCGAATGTCTCACTTCGGGTCGTCAAGAGGTCCGTCCTGGCGTAGCCTGGCGAGCCATGAATTCGCAAGTCCGCCGGACGAGCCGTGGTTGCATTATTCGCAATCGGGATACATCTCCGTGCTGAGTTCCTGGACGATGCTCGCGGCGGCGACGTCATGCTCACGAGCTGCTTAGGCTCGGAGGGATGGACGTTTCCTGGGCAGACTCAGTCATGGCTCCTGGCTGTGAATAGGCATTGCGAGGGCTGCCTCTACCACGCATATTCCATGCCGTACACAGTGTTAGGAAAGCAGGTTGGATGTCTGCGAAGGAAAGTAGAAGATAGGATGCAGTTCAGGGAGCCGTCCTCGGCTTTCCCGACTCGGCATCCCCCTCCCCCTCCCGATGCACTCCACCTCGACTTCTCCAAACGATCCAATATGATCGGAGTCTTCCATACAGAACTGCCAGCGGATATAAGTAGACGGAAATCCACTCACCTCTCCCATTCCACCGCTCAACCTCCAGAATCTCCGTTTCCAGCACATCCCCTTCAGTCATCCCCCGCAATGCCTCCCCTCCCCGCCAAGCGCGAGAAGCGCATCGTAGGCACCTCCCTCAAAATGTACTTCGATCTCCCCTCCACTCTGCGCTACATCGAATCCGTCGCCGCGCTCTCCACGACAGCAGACGCCGCCAACGTCGACCTCTTCGTCATCCCCGACTTCGTCTCCGTCCTGCCTTCCAAAGAGCGTCTGTCCGGCACCAACGTCCTCCTCGGAGCGCAAGACACGTACAGCGAGGACAGAGGCGCCTTCACCGGCGAAGTCAGCCCTCGGACACTGAGCCAGGCCGGTGTCAAGATCGTGGAGGTCGGGCATGCAGAGCGAAGAAGGCTATTCGGGGAGACAGACGAGGATGTCGGCAAGAAAGCCGCCGCGATTGTGAGGAATGGCATGGTTCCTCTCGTCTGCATTGGGGAGAAGAACAAGAGTGAGATTGCTTCGCAGGCTGTCGGCATCGCCGTGAGCGAGTGCAAGCCGCAGATTGAAGCTGCACTTTCACTGCTCCCGGATGATGCGGAGGTGATATTGGCATATGAGCCTGTGTGGGCGATTGGCGCGAGTGAACCGGCCGGTGCGGACCATGTTGTTGCTGTCACGCAGAATCTGAGAGCTCTTTGTGCGGGTCGCAAGGGGAGGACGAGGATTCTGTATGGTGGAAGTGCAGGGCCTGGGACTTTTGAACGACTGAAGGAGGGCGTGGATGGTTGTTTCTTGGGCCGATTTGCGCATGATGTGGGAAACTTGGAGAAGGTCATTCACGAGATGAGTACTTGAGTGATGCATCGCGAGCCGTCCTAGGTATACGGAGAGTCTGGATCGTATCGCAGATTTCAGCATCGAGCATCGGCCTTGTCAGCTAACGCGGCGTGGCTGTTGGTATCCTGTACTACCACAAGGTCTCCCGTTCGAGTCCAATTAGCCGAGCTGACCACCATTCACCAGCCCAGGACCTCTTGGAGGATGCCCGCCTCCCCGACAGTCACAAGCTGAGCAGGAACGGCACAAGCTGAGTCAAAGCTGCCAGCCACCGGTGGTACAAGAACGCCTCATCGCTTTATAATCCTTGAAGCCATCGAGGATCGCATTCATGAGACTGGACAGCACGACCGCTCGGCCCGAGTTTCGACGTCGAGAAGATACCACTGACCGCCTCGGCCTTCTGGGGTTCGTTTGGAATAGCGATTACGGTCTGTCGGCCGTTCCTGCCATAAGCTACGGCATCACGGCGGCCTAAGAATATTCATGCACGACGAAAAGCCACCAAAGTGGTGATTCCAGCCAGATCTCACCTGGCACCATTCTCGCTCAGAGAACCAGCGTCCTCTTGCCTACTTCAAGCAACATGTATCGGGGCTAGGCCTATCTGAATCCTTCAGCATGAAACGCAGCTCTTCGAGCCCCGGGATGGAGCGTCGACCGGAGTACAAACCTGGATACATACGACATTGTTATAGCCGCATGCTCACGGCACCGTTGCCCGCCCGGACGGAGAATCTTCCTACCAGCGCGTATCTGGATCTAGAACCAGGGCGACGATACATAATGGCTGCCTGGTCTCACAACAATTTCCTAAACGAGGTCAGAATACAGCATCCACAGGGATCCACAGTCTTCACGAATAACGATACTCACAAGAGCGGTGCTCTGAGCGTGGCCACCAGCACGAAATCATGCGAGCATTGTAGCAACACACCGAAAGCTAGCACTTTCATCTTATCCCCTTCGAAAAAGAGCTCTGTCACAATCACCGGAATGGGCTGGGAACAATCTGACATAGGCTACGCATGTCGAATCGAAAAGCAGACACAACCCTCCGTGGGCCCTCTGAGTGTTTCTCTCTGGAAGCTCTACTACGAAGGAAATGACCACTACTTCGAGGCAACACACGGCAATCAACCGCTCACCATCACCTTGATGATAGCCGATACGACTGGAACACCCATCTGCCCCGTCTCGGACATTTTCAAGATAGAAGACGGCATCTTTGGCAAGATAGCTCGGTTTGACCATTTCACCCGCAATCCCGATGTCCCAGTCTACGAAGCCGAAGATCGTGTCTCTGTCGATTTCGATTATCCCAGACGCGACCCGGAGAGGCAGTACAGAAGCGACGCGGAAGACCCCATTACGATTTCTACGGGCCGCAAACACAAACTCATCTTCTCCTTTCCCACCGTCAGCAAGGAGGTGGAACATGATGTTGTGGCGGTGCATTCCATCATGCCTTTCAAGAAAATGCCAAAACCCGCCCTCTCACATCCTTACGATGGACCGGGGATGGCACCCCGGTTTGATGTTGTGAGGATGAGCAGTTCTTCCTTTTCGACAATCACCGAGGATGGATGTATCCATTCGTCGGAGAGGATATGGCATAACCATCGCTCCACCACGGTCTGGATTCCGAATCCGATGCTGGACGAGGCGGGGATCTTCGTTGTTCTGGTTACGTTGACGAACGGCGCGCATGCTTTTTCCAAGGATGTTGGGAGGGAGGAGGATTTTCCTTTTGCGAGGGCGAGGATGGAGATTGTGGGTGCGAGGGAGGGTGTGCCGGTGGGGGAAATGGCTGGGTTGGTATGGTGAGTATACGAACAAGCGAAGAACAGGAAACATGCACACACATGCTAATGGAGGAGTTTCGTAGGGATGTTAAAGTTGAGGATTGCTGCCTTAATGTTGCGGAGGTGGAGCCTTGGTACTGAGATGAACTGGAACTGACCCAATAGAAAAGCAAGGAACAAGAAGTCGTCGTCCAATGCTACTCTGGCGTTTGGGGAGCTGAAACGACGCGGTGAAAGTGAGGTCTGCGCTACGGATCCTTGACATAAGAGTTATCTCGTGGATGCTGCTCCATGGCGAGAGGATTGTGTATATGCTTCCCAAAAAGCAGGTGATTATGACTTCGACTTGCGATCACGTTACCTTTTGGAGTCTTCTGTCTGGCTGCTGAATTTATGCACACAGCGAGTCCAATTCCATTTCCAGAGCAGGTAATTATTGATTCCGCTCGTGACATGAGCCTTCTACCGACGAACCTGATCGAGATGAACACTTGGTCCCATCATTGAAGGCATCTTCCATGCGCGGCGCGCGGACGCGGATTGGCGGACTACAGTCAGACCTCCGCAGCCGTTTCAAGGTCCATCCTCTCTCTCCTCTTCCTTCTCTCAGCTACAGTTCTTACAAGCGAAACGACCTCCGTCATCATGTGAGAAGGTAACAGTGCAGTCATCCGTGATCCACGATGGATTTGAACCGTGCGGTCCTTGTACACGGAAACTTCGGATGGATGGATGACCAGGATACCGGGATCTAGGAAGCATGACAAGTTGCGCGCACTTCACAAGGAACGTAAGTAAGTAAGAGACCGAAACTCTTTCCTTGCTCTTGAGCTTTATAAAGGACGGTCCGATTCCTCGCGGGTTATCCAGTTATTGCAAAAATACGGAAAAAGATCTATCATACAGGTTCCGTCGGACAACAACAAAGACCGGTAAATTCTCATCCCGCAAAAAACCTCCCATACTTCATATGAAAACGAAATCTGGATAACGATGACTCTTCCCAGACAGCCAGCCAGAACGACCAACAACATGGGTTCCCTCATCCTGCCCCTGACCGCCCTCCTCCTCTTCTTCCTCCAAACAACAACAGCCTGCGTCTACTTCAACGCCACCCTCAACAGCAACAACGCCCTCACAGTCGACATGTGGGACGACGCCAACCAAGACCGCATCCGCCAATCCTCCGACCCAACCTGCACAGCCAGCAACCTCGCCTGCTCCGGCTCCAACCACTGGTCCGTCCCCTGCGTCAGCAACACAGGCGCACAGAACACTACGCTCGAAGTCTACCTCGACGCGCAGACGAAGCACTTCCTCCGCGTCGTGTATCGCTATCTCAACCCTTCAGCGGCAGACCGGCAGGTCAACCACGATCCGGAGTTCATCTTCACGTGGGAGGCGGGCAGTGTGGATGGGGAGCATTTCAAGACACGGCAGTTTTGTGATGATGTGTTGTATGATTTGGGGCTGTTTCATGATGGGTGTGATATTGGGAATGCGAGGAAGCTTTGTGCGTGAGATGAGGTGGGGAGGGGGGACGGGGGGAAAGTGATGATGGCTGATCATGTAGCGCAGATTTTCCTCCCCTCCAGCTCCCCGGCTGAGAAGAGAGATGGGTAGTGGAGGTTTGACAATTGGCTAACTTACTTTTGCTCGTGCCGATATGGATACGTCCATGCCCGTTTTTCAGTCTTGTCTTGTCTTCGCCCACATCAGTCTGTCAATATCAACGGGAACCAAGTGGTGAGGAGGCCCTATCCAATCCATCCAGAACTTCCAGGAATCAAAGGGTACGTGTAAAGATTCCTAACCCGAGGTCTGACACGAATCTCTCGCCGCGACAAGCAAACGGGACTTCTACTAGCGACTCGACTCGGCCACAGCATAGCTTTCCGCGGGTGACCAAACGAACGACCTTCAATCCTGACGTCCTCGCGCCCTGCAAATTTCGTGCATGCACAGCAGCAAGGACACCGAGAATTTGTAGCTGTTGTTCCATGTTCGAATGGTCTGCAAAGAATTCCTGTACCTGTCTGAAACGCCGAGGCGTGGACTGGCTGGCCAAAAAATCATCATTCTCGGCATCACATGCAAAAAGCACGGGCCTTCGAGTTTTCCTGCTCTGCTGGGTCTTTGTGAGGCATCACTATCACTACTACTAGCTGCTGCTGACTTGGATTCGTTCGTTCTCGTCAACGAAAAGCGAAATCTGCGATGAGAGAACATCGTGTATCCTTCAAGTCGTTCATTTCTTCGCGATCGAATTCCCCTACCACGATAGGATAACGTATTCCTGGTGTTGGACACTTAGACAGTAACACATACATCAAAACTTGCCTCAAGCCAATCCGCCTCCACCCGGTGGGGGCTCTCTCTCTCTCTCCCCCTCCATACTAACCTCAATACCCCCTCCTCCGATTCACAACATTAATCAACCCCTCCCCCTTCCTCCTCCGCTCCAAATTCCCCTCCAACACCTCAAACGTCCGGTCCACATAATCACTCCCAATCCCACTCACATGCGGCGTGAGGATGACATTTTCCAGCTCCCACAGCTCGCTCTCCCGCGGCAGGGGTTCCGGGTCCGTGACGTCCAGCGCCGCGCCGCTGAGCCTGCCGTCCTTCAACGCGTCAATGAGAGCGGGTTGATCGAGAATCGCGCCGCGCGCGATATTGGTGACGAAAGCCGGGCGTTTGCCCCCGGCGCTCAGAACGTCGAATTCCGCATGTGAGAGGAAATGCCGCGTTTCTTTGGTTAAGGGGACGGAAACGGCCAGCCAGTCGAGATCCTGTTGTAGGAATTTCCGCAAGTCCTCCCGTGCGAGCCCGCTATACCACTCCCGCGGAATCTCGCCCTCCGCATCCCCCGTCCCGGGCACGATGTATCCCCGGTCCTTCTTCTTCTCTTGCGTGTCCTTGGCCGTCGCCGTGTACGCGAAGACTTCCATGCCCATCGCGTGCGCCACCCGCCCGACTTGTCGCCCGATACTCCCGTAGCCTAGAATCCCAATCCTCCGCCCTACCCAGTCCCTCACGTTCCTGTAATCTTGCTTCTGCTTCTGCTTCTGCTTCTTCTGCGACCCGTCGTCGATGTTGCTGCCCCATTGTTTCCGCTTCTGCAATTCGTAGAGTTGCCTATAGCCATGACTCCCCACGAGGCCCGTCATGAGCACCCATTCGGCAATCTGCGGCCCGTGGATCCCGGACGACGTGGTGATGACAATCTCCTCGCTGTCTTTATAAATCGGCGTCTCGCTCATCTGGTTGCTCCCCGCGGATACCAGGTGCACCAGTTCCAGTTTCGGCGCGTCTTCCACTTTCTCCGGGAATGTGAACAGCGTCACGAGGATCGTGGCGCGTTGCCATAGCTCGCGGGGCACTTTGTCTTGCAGCTCGGCGTAGGTGGCCTGGGGCGAGGAGGAAGTGTCGAAGTATGCAATTTCGATTTCGGGGAATCGGGAGCGTAGTTTGGACAGGATTGGTTGGGGTTCGGAGAAGGGGAGGATGGCGAGGAGGAAGTCTTTGGGTGGACCGCCGCCCATCTTGTCGCTCTACACGTCCGTCGGTCGGTCTTCAGTCTGCAACAGTCAACAGTCAACAGTACCAGCGATTGTGATTTGCTTGGAAGTCTTAATAACGAGACACTTGAAGTCCTACTGTACAGCTGAATGACGCGATCGGGCGGGCGATGATGCGCCTATCATCGGCCAGAGCAAGCAAGGTATTGAACTCACTCCCGCCAAGAGAACATCATCTCGGTACAGCAATACAACAAACACAACAGGCGATCGATAGACACAACACGCAGCGGAATTTCCAGACACTAACATGACAACTGAAAATGAATCCGACCACGCATTCTCGTCATACACAGCGAAGAGCGACCCTCTTCGTCGTTTTGATATTGGATACCATTGCCTTCCTCCCCAAAGGCACATTCATTCAGTGTCGATGATCACTTCCGCACGCCCTCCTGTCGTATGAAGAACTTCCAGACACTCTCCCGCTCCTCTACGCAAAGCAATACGCAAAGCAATCAGAAACGAGCTTGATATAATCCCTCAACGCAGTGCTGCTAACGAGCAGTCATAGGACACAGTACCATCTCTCCGCACGAATCGCCGCCGAGACCATGCACTCTCTGATCACTCAAGCCGCGGCTGTCTGAGGAGCAGGCTGCATGCTCACATCGCCCTCGGCATCTTTCTCGGCAGCTGGCTCGGTGCTAGTCTTCTCCTCTGCCGCCGCCGCCTCTGCAATCACAGCCTTCGCATCAGGCGCCGCGCTCGCCTTCTCGTCAACCTCGTCCGCATCTTTCTCCGCCTTCGTCTCGAGCTCTTTCGCCCCCTCGACGGCAGGAGTGGGCTCAGCAGGTGTCTTCTCGCCGTTGATGTCGGCCTTCTCAACCGTCGATGCTGGCGCGGCGTCTCCCTCGGCCTCCATACGCTTGTTCCAGATGTCGAGCAGAGCGGTGCTGCGCTTCTTGAAGTTGTACTGCTCGTCCTTGGGTACCGTTGCCAGCTTCACAATCGCCTTGAGTACCTTGTGAATCTTGGTATGCCGGATGATAGACGGCTCCAGATCCTCGTACGCCTCCAGCTGCGTGAAGAATTCGGACATGCCATGCATCTCGGCTTCCTGTGGAGCCTGGTCGCGCGCAAGAAAGCCCTTCTGAAGGCGATGGCGCAGGTAGAGAACGGCCTTCTGGCGCTGCTCCAGCTTCTCAGCCTCGGTGAGCTGAGGCTTTGGACCATCCTCGTCTTCCGGCTTCGGGGCGGTCACGACCTTCTTCTTCGGCTTCGAAGCCGACTTCTTCGCCGCAGGAGTGTCGCCGTTTGGAGTCTTCGGGCCGTTGAGCTTGGTAATCTTGGGTGTCTTCTTAGGCTGTGCGCATGTCAGGTGAATTCTCTTGTCATGGCGAAGAAGTGGAAACTTACCTTGGCCTCGGCATCACTCTCAGCATCCTTCTTACGTTTCTTGCTAGACTTTGGCGCATCAGCATCATCCATCTCGACGTCAGTGTCCGCGCCCTTGCTCTTGCGAGGAGCCTTCTTCTTCGGCTTGTCCTTGGCATCTTCGGTGGCCTCGGCCTCGGCCCTGGCAGCCTTCTCGGCAGCGATGCGCTCAGCCTCAGCCTGTTGTTCTTCAGCCTGCCTATTGATAGCGTCAATCTCCTCCTGCCACACGACGAGCATCTTTCTGTAGTGATCGATGCCGTGGTTCTCGGCTGCGATCTTGTACGCATCTGACAGAGCCCGAGTCATCTTGGTCTTGGGCAGTTCCTCGCAATCCTTGGGGTTCAGAGGCTTTAGATTGGTGTTGACCATCCATTGGCTGTGCGATGTCGCGTTAGTGTGAGGGTTCTAGTGGATACGCAGATTTGCGTGCACTTACAACTCGTTGGTAGACAAGAACATGATAGGGAAGGTGCGTTCCTTGGCGTTCTTGCCACCTTCCTTGAAGTCGTCGCGGATGGAGCCATCGGGGCGCGCAGTGCTCACCGGACGAGTGGCGAGGAGGGTCTCGGGCAGCATGTCCTCGGCACAAATGATGGAGGGCCATGGCGGGTATCCCTTGAGCCGCGCCCAGTAGTACTCGCCTGGCTTGCAGTCGAGGTGAAGCTCCAGCTGATTCTTCTTCTTGTTCTTCTTGTTCTTGTGCTCCGGCACGCCTCCAGTGGACTTCCGCTTCTTGTCCTTGCTGCCTGACGCAGGCGCGTCCTCTGAAGCAGGCTCTGCGGGCGCGCTGCCGGCTTCCCGCGCGTCGGTGTCGACGACGGTAGTGTCGTCCAACTCGGTGTGCTCGGCCATGGTCTCGTCGCCCTTCTCCTTCTCTTCTTGATCAGTCGTCTCGCCGTTCGTCGTGGTAGGCTCAGTCGAGTCGTTGTGGACGGCAGGCTGGGGCGTTCTCAGCATCGACCACATGGTTTCACGTGACGCGACAACGGGACTTACGGCTGGCGCATCTACTGGCGCGTTGGTGTTCACCTCGTCGGCCATGACGACGACGTCGTGCCCGGTATGAGTCGTGGCGGGGTGCACGAGCAAATTTGCGACGCTGTGAACGTGGCTGCTGATACCGCCGTGACGCGTAGAGGCGAGCGATAGCCTCAGCACAGCCTGCGAATGGACGGCGTGTGTGCTGGGAGAAGCTGGGCCGCGTTGTGGTGATAAGCCGCGGACGCGTGGTGATGTATTGATGGGTGGTGTGTCGGTGGAGTGGAGGATGTCAAGTTGAGAAAGGAACTGGGACGAGCTTTCTTCTTCTCAGTTGGGTCGACGCACAGACCAAGTGTGACGGGCGGACTTTTTAGATTCACTTCCAAGTGTCGTCTCAAACACACCTGACGCTCTTCCAGAATCGAATGAGGAGCTTGTGATGGTCCTTTTCATACTCCGCCCATGTATTCAGCCTGCACATGCCTCTGTTTGTCGTGCGTTCGGGCATTTTCGCCGTCGCGGTGCTCGGATTCCAAGCCTGGCTCAGCGCCACTTGATTGGCTTGAGGCTCGATTGCCCGTCCAGCCGAGATCCCCGGCGCTGTCTGCGTTTTTCCACGCCAGCTCCCGTTTCCCTGTGCGTGATGCCATGTTGTCGTCGTAAATTCGTTCGACACCGCGGCGTGTCCCTTCTGGGGGCAACGAGTCGCTTCCATCTTGGCATCCAGCGAAAAGTCGGGCTGCTTCACGTACCCGTCCTCCTTGGCTCTGGTGGACGCTTTGCGCAAAGCTAACCAGGGACCCCGCCACGCGTACGGAAGCTCGTCCATTGATGAGCAGTGTGCCATCTCGAGGGAGACAGCAGCCAGAGTTGGTTTCCCAGAGCCACGGGCCTGATCCAGCGTCGAAATCACGGAAGAGAAGGTCTTCAGGGCTGAATCTGACCTGAATGAACATTGAGATCTGCAGGGCTACATATCTCGAGGAGGCCGTGGTAGTTTGAATCGAGCTTGACGACCAAATAGACCTCCAGAATGCACAGGTATCGAACGTTTTTCTTTCCCAGAGGATCGCTTTTGGCAGAAATTGTAGATTTCTCATTCAGAAATTAGCCGTGTTCCAAGTTTTCAAAGGAACGCACGTACCATTCGTCCTGTCAAACCAATCGATACAGACGCGCATAAGATCTCCGGCATTGTACGAGAGTATAGGTCCAGGTATGGCCATATGGGCATCTTTCTCATGAAAATGTGTTGAAAAGAGGAACGGAGAGGTATGACCTACCTTCGGGAGGTCTAGACCTGATTTTGCGGTATCATTGGAAGGTCGTCGCCGATCAGAGATCTTCCAATTCTGGCCACGGCCTCCCGGTAGCCTTGGTCTTGGACCAGCTCTTTATAGACGATGCGAATCCGTCCTTCATGTCCGCTGGTCGAACTGATGGCTTGCAAATCTGCCGTTCGCAAGTACGGTACACCCGACAGAGAGAGCAGTCGCCATGTCTCTTCTCGTCCGTGGCAGATGGTCGAGCGGTCTCTGTGTGCGCAGATAACCTGCTACCGTAGCTGATCGACTCATCGCGAAGCGAAGGACATCGAAGCTCCGCCGGGCATTCCATCTATTGAACCATGTTGCACATCGCAGACCAGTATGTCAGCCGCTTGCGATATAGCCGTTGGGTCCGTTGAGTATTCGTGCTCGTGTGTCTGCAATGAAGGGTGCTTATGGTCATGCGACCATGATTAAATCGTCGGCATCGTGCGGCGCGCTTGGGCGGGCGCGGGAAGTCGACTTGTTGAGCCGTATGGAACTACATCATTGTGCGTGAGGACTCCGGCGACCGCGGTGATGGTAGCGGCGTTGATGGGGTTGTTGGTTGCGTTGAGAGAGCGGAAGAGAGAAGGATAAAGTAGCGGAGAGCCTCTCGTCGCAGGTTCAAAGCTAGCGGCACCGGCACATCCCGCCGGTACCGAAACCTCACTCGCTAAAAATCCACCTTGCCCGAAACAACAGAATATCAACATATTCGAACTTATCAAAATGCTACGATCGTCTGTTCATAAGTCGGACGCATCGGATCTCTATTCTCGCTAGGTCGTGCTACGGTGCAGCAGAAGAAGGCAGGCTACATGTACATACCCCAGACGATGACACCTCGGATTGCTCCTCGTTCATAAATAGCCCTCAGCCTCACAGCGTATCACACAACAAGGACTTCGAGCGCTATCAAGCATGCTTCTAATGACCACTAGAACCATCGCTGGCCTCGAGCTTAACTGGCGGATACCACGTTCCGCAGGGCAAGATTTCAGCGTTTTCAACACAAGGGCAAACAATCAGATGGTTGTGGCATGCCGCGCGCTCTGTCGCTGGTCCTGAGTAACTAGGAAAGGGATTTTCATGAGCTTTCGCAGGCCCAACAGACGATAGTATAGGGTATCAAATACTGCCACGGAATCCAAAAGACAACAGTATCACCGTCACTATCTCTTAGTCTTCTTGGCCTTCTTCCCACCAAACTTTTCAGCCTCTTTCTGCGCCTCAGCCAGTGCCTCACCCGCTTTCCGCTTCTTCTCCTCTCCGCCCTTCAAATTCTTCACGCTGACAGTCATGCTATCTCTGCTCTTCTTCCCCTTCTTTCCCGCCTCTCGTACCTGCTTTTCCGCATCTTCCCAGCCCGCATCGCCGTTTTGAATCTCGTAATTGCCCAGAGGCAAAGAATTGATATACTCTCGCTTTCTCTCTCGTTCTTCACGTTCCTTCTCAGTCGCCCGGAATTCTGTCTCTCCCTCTGCGAGGTCGTCTGCGAGGTTCTTGCGCACAGCCTCCGCGTCTATCTCTGCTTCAACATTGTCGTCATCAGGCGCAGCGCCATTCTGAGCTTGCGGCATTGACGCCGAGATAGCACCCTCTTGTAGCTGTCGGAAGTGTGTGCTGACTTTTCGAATCACCTTGACGAACATTGCCAAGAGCTGACTGGTACCCAGACCAAGCTCCTTTTCCAGATCCTCGAGCACCTTTCGCTGGAGTCCGATAGCGCAGAGCAGTGCTTTCTGGATGCCCGATAGATTAATCCCGTTAGAGTCTCTGGTTCGCCCAGTGAAGAAGAGCTGGGCAATGCTAGGCATAAGATCGAGTATCACATGGTAGTCCAGCATGTTGTTTGCATACGAGTCCAGACGCTTCAAATCAAAAGGTGTGAAGGAATCGTCCAGGGTTGCTTTATCCAGAGCCCTCGTCTTGTCCGACTCGTCCAGAAGACTGATGCCCTTGTTCGCAGACTCATCTATTGACAGTGCTTGAACAGCCCCGAATGATCGGAATTGATAGGAGAGCAAGTTCAAAAAACGCCTGTGAAAGTCTTTTGCATATGCTCCAAGCCAGCTTGGGTCGCTTGATCCTGTTTGTAGCGTGCGCAACATCACGCAGGTGTGCTCACCGGTAAGCTCATTTGCTGTTTGTCGCAAGTATACTGGCACGAAGCCAGCTCGTTGCCAGAATTTGTGCAGAGGCTGCGTCAGGCCGTATGATACACCAATGTAGTCCAAAGCTGCGGGTCTACGCTCGGATAATCTGGCGAAAAGAGGTGGCATGGATCGGATGTCGCGAACCTTGATGTCGTCGGTCATGAGGGTACTCTGCTCGAGCTCGGCATCAGTGACACGGACCATCTCCTGCTCGTGCGCTGAGGTAACGTCTTCAGACTCTGAGAGATTGATGTGTTTGCCTTCGTAGAACTCGTTCAGAAGCTGAAGTGCACGCGAACCGTATCCCATACTGCCGTAGTCAGGATTGGTCGCAATCCGCACAACTCTGGCTCCGCTCAGCCCAGCAAAGTCTGAATCTTGAAACTGCTGACTGACGAGCCAAGGTATCAAGTCGCCGCCGGCTCTCTGTCCTCTTGATAAGCTGTTCAGGACGCTCTCCCTGCTGATCTGCCCCTCGAAACAGACCTGCAGAACGCAGAGAATTTCTGGCAGCTCCTTCGTATCATTTGATACTGGTGGAACCAGCACGAAGAGCTGGTGCGCAGGTGCATCTGACATCAATTGCAGGTCGTTCGGTGTGTTCTTGTAATGTGAGGCAACATATAGCGCCATCATTCGCTGCAAGAACTTTTCGCTGACTGGGTGGAATGAGAACAGTGTGTCGCGGTTGACCTGCAAAAGCTGACACTGCGACGGGTGCGGTGTGCCGTGGATATTTGATCGCTTCGGAAGGGTCGCATCTAGACAGAGCAATCGATTCAGCCATTTCTCCACGCCATCTCCCTGCGCGTAACGGATGGGCTCTGATAATGTAATCTCTCGCAGTGATCTCGACGATCTCGGAGTGTAGTCTGTATCATCTGCTCCGTTGGCCCGTTTGGTCACCTTCTCGTCGCCGTTGATTTTCGCCGCACCTCTCGACTGCTCCCGCAGTTGTTGGATGAGCTTCAGTGAAAGTGATCTTCCTGTTCCTTCGTATCCGTTGATTGTCGATGCCATGAATACCAGGTAGGGGCCCATGAGCTTTCGCACAAGAGGCAATGGTATCGCAGCAGCCTCGTCAATGACGAGCAGCTCGGCCTGCCCAAGAGTGTATGCATCTTGGGGCTGAATGTATTGGATCGTCTGACGATGTTGCTTATGAACGTTCACCCGGACGATGGCTTTGTTGAAGTCAGGGTTGGTGGATTGTATGATGGTGTAATCTTGGTGGTCGAGGTATCCGAGAGCATCGAAGCCCTTGAAGACAAATTCGAAGAGTGTCTTCAAGTTCTCCGGAGACGGTGATGTGAGGAAGATGTTGCTGTAGCCGTGGGCGATTGCCGCCGCAATTGCTACACCAAGCGCCGCCGACTTTCCTCGTCCACGTCCTGCTGTCAACGTGACCGTACTCGCCAGAGTCTTCTCTTTAATCGCTTCCACAAAGGTGAGAAGTGCTTTGGCTTGATCCGCTGTTCGCGCCAACTTCACAAGGTCGCCTACGAGAGCTGTGTCCGCCAAGTCCTCCTTGATCTGCTCTAGCTCTCGCCTTGACTTCGCCTTTTCTGTATCCTCTTCTGAAGGCTGCTTCTCGACAACATTCTTCCCACCAGAGATCGGCAAAACATTCATCTCGTCGTCGATCACCAGACATGATTCGCAGCTTCCCAGACTTAGTATGAATCGCTCGTTGAATCGCGCCACTACATCTCCATGCGCTTCTGTCCGATATCGCGAGTGAATATCCATGCTCATTGTATACAGCTGCTTCAAGCTCTTGACATCCTTCAACAGGAGCAGCACCAGCCCACCTCCTTCCACGGTCTCCATCGTTCTCGCCAACAAGTTCGGCGTGATCGCTTCGAAGTCCTGCAGAATACACATGCCATATGTGTTTCCCAGAATCTTGTCCGTCTCTTTGTAGTACACATACCGTATATTCTGTGTGCTCACAAACAGCTCGAATGGATCGTCTACGTCTGCATCTCTTGTGCCTCGCTTAATGTCTTTCTTGATCTTCTTTTCCCGCTTCTTGCGATGTGATGTGAAGCCCAGTAGCTTGTTCTTGTACGCCCACAGAACTGACTTGTTGAGTTTGATGTCGAGGTTCAGCAGGATATGGTAGAGATTGACGATGACGTCTTTTTGGCGATCGCCGACGACGAGGAAGAAAGATCGCTTCTTTTCTTGCATGCCATTGCGTATGAGGGCGGGTATCCGCGCGTCGATAGCCTTCTTTGGCATGTTGAAGATGAAGACTCGGCACAGGTGTGTGAAGTTTGGAGCTGTGCTCGCTCTGCTGCTGGAATTCGCGTTATCGGCCGAAGTCTCTCATTACTTCAGCGCCAAAGAGTAAGAGTTGCGAAGAGATTCGGTGATGTATGCGATTTAGCAAGCGTATGTTGTTGACCCGCGAGAGCTCCAAGTGAGAGATGGACTTGCAGAAAATCCCGGCGAACTTTTTAGCCTTTCGCTTAACCCCGGATTGCGCCACGTGCGCCCCACTTCACATGCCAGATTCGAAAGGTAAGCAAGACGGGAAGGTTAGACCAACAGGTATGTCGTTGCGTTTCAAGATGATATCAATAAGCATCAAAAACTGCTTATTGCTGTCTAAGTAAATACAATCCATTCAGCCGCAACCTTGAATACTGTTTGAGTGTGAGACGCGGTATAGAAGCTGAGGATTTGTCAAGAACTCGTGACTAAGCTATGCAAGCTGAATGATGAATTCTCTTGCTGGAAACCACTTTACCCAGGATCGTCTGCTGCTCAAGACGCCTCAAGAGTTGAAGAGTTCCTTATTTGCCTCCACCCACTCTTCAAACTTCATGGCCGGGACACCAGTGTACCTCTTCGTATTCTCAACGCCCTCGTCGTACAATGGACGATCCTCCCGGCCTGTGTTTCCCTGAAATTGCTTCATCATAGTGGTCCAGTAGTCAATCATTGGTGCCGGAAATCCCATCTTCTCACAGACTTTCCTTATATCGGCCTCGTCGGTGACTGGTGTGACCTTGATCTCCTTCTCCAATGCCTTTCTCCGAATGATTGACAGAGCGTCCTCTTGTGCAATCAGCTGCGGACCGAAGAGGTAGACGTGTCTTTGGCCGTCCTTTGGACCGTTGGCAAGTATAGTTCCCGAGACTCGACCCATGTCGTCCGGTGTGATCATGTCTTGCTTTGCATCGGGACTGACCAGCTCGACTTCGCCGGCTTTGATGCCACTACCCCAGAACGCCATAGCGTTCGTTGCGAAAGCGCCTGGGCGGATAGCGACGAAGTTCTCGGGTCCAAAGATCTTCTCGAGATTGATCTCGACTTGTGCATGGATGAAAGGAATAAAATCGTCGGGCGGAATATCGGACAGCTCTCTTTCCTTGATGGTGAAGCTGCTGAGGAAGACGACAAATTTAACGCCCGACTGCTTCAAAGCTTCCACGGTCGACTTCATGTGATCCGGCATGCCGTGGGCCAGGTAAATGAACGCGCGAGTGGCGCCAGATTTGACGACTGCTGCGGATATGGTATCTGGCTTAGTGAGATCTGCCTGAACTCGTTCGTAGCCGCCTTGCTTCTCCTCCTCAGCGCTGAGGCCTGGAATGGATTTCGAAGGGTCGCGCATCGCAAGCCAGACCTTTGAGCCATGCTTCCGAGCAGTCTGGGCTGCGATGGAGGCGACCTTGCCAGTTGGTCCGAAGACAATTACGGTGTTGTTTGCCATGGTGATGTCTCGATGTCGAAGAGTTTGATGTTAGTGGCCTCGATGGGAGCGTCTGCCCTCCATATTATATAAGGTAGGGCTGAAGGCCAGAGCTCAGCCGCGAGCGTCATACCGGCCTTTATGAGCTCTTCTCCGGCGCCAGGGTATGTGCTCCTGCAAAACGGATTGGAATTGCTCCATTTCCAAGTATAGAATGCCTATGGGCATTGCGAGCGCTCCTAACTGCGATGGCTTTTGTCGGGTCAGCAACAGACACTCCGCCTCTCATGACATGTCGCGAGCTAGCGTCTCGGCCGATGGCATCTTGATGAGGTAAGCCTTCAGCTCTGGCCGTAGCGAGGTTGTCTAGCAAAGTACCAATCGTGAATGTCCGGCGCTGCGGGCAAGAAAAGGAGTGCCAGGTGGTGCACAGGTGGACAAGGTAAGGTACATGTAAGGTAAGGAGTCATTTTGACAGGCTCCAGCCACAGAATGACGGAACCTTCCTAACCCCTGTCTCTCGGTTGACCTTCCGAGCAAGCGAGATCGACCTGCGTCTAGCAACCAACATTCCTGCCTCCCAAACCAACCTACTTCCCACCATGTTGTTGTGAACAGAGTCGCAACGAATCGCGAATCCCGTCTCAGCACCGGGGAATCGATATTCAAGTAGAATTACGAGCATTCTCCGCCGCACGAACGGCTGACTTCGTGTCCGGGCGCCACAGCAACATCCTCTAGTGCCTGTACCCTCCAAGGCATTGCATGGCGCATCTTACAAGGGCTAGCTTATGAACCACGGAGATGACATGCATCGGGCAAGATGGCCTGCCGTGAGGTACGAGACACTGCACCTTCATACAGTCGCGCCCTGCCACGATGTTGTTGTTGCCGAGTTGCATGAGGTCTAGTGCTAACATGCAATAGCGGCCTTGTCTTGGGCACAGTCCTTCTATCACGCTCCGCACAGACGACATTCGCATTCGATAAAGCCGTCCACACCGGAATCGTCACATTACTCTGCGCCGGAGTCGCAACATTGGGACTGAGCAAGTGGCTGGGAGAGGGAGATGGCGCACAATCGCACAAAGGACAGCGGTATGAGGCAGTGCCTCTGAATGACGTGGGAGAGCCACACGCTTCCAGACAGCCAAGCCCAGTTCGTAATGAGGTGGAATACCCAAGCAGTCTGCGCAAGCAGCAGATATACATCGTCCTGCTGTCTTTGCTCCTGAGCCTGAGGGTCGAGCTGATGCGAGAGGTCCTAAGGAACGTACAATGCTCTTCGTTGAACTGGGAGCCTTGGGTCCCTGTCGCGATCGCGGCTTGGGACTACTGGACCGTTCAGAGGAAGAAGAGATGCCCAGACTTTGACGATGAAGGCGCCAGTGTCTATGAGACCCTGGAGCAGTCTGTCGTGCGGGCGCCGTTCTCACTCCTGGCTATGGTTTCTTTGTCCTGCGCTGGTGGCATGCTTGCTCTTGCTTCGACCAGTAGCCCCAAGTCCACCTTCATATGTGCTGCCGGCCTTCCATATCGGTGGATGGTCCCACTGCTACAGCACCTGGGGACTGTTGTCGATGTCCTCGTCATATTCTGCATCGCAAAGCTGTTGACGCAGCAGGACAGCCGAGGACCTCGTAGCCCGTCCTCCAAAATTGCATCGGTTGGATATGCACTGCTGGTCCGTCTCCCGTTTCTCCATTTCACGGCATTCGCTGACTTCTACTCAGCTTTCCGCGGCTACATTGCTCATCATTGGCATTGTTTACTTTATTGTACAGGACTCGGATCGCGATTGGATTTTGACGATACCCCATACGTTCTTCTGGAGCGTTTTGAAATTGGAATGTTATGTTTGTTTTACGGCACTTTGCGCATTTTTACTAGTAGGTCTTGGGCTTGAGACTTCCCTGCCGCAAGACAAGAAACTAACTGATCTGCCATTAGATTCTGGACGTTGGCGTCATGACGACGACTCTGCTGACGGCTTTCACGGCTCTTACGACCATCACAACCACTGCCGCGTGGCAGAACGCTCATCCATTCCCTCCAGCACCCTTCGGTCTTGCCTATCTTGGCGTCTGTCTGGCCATTCTTGGCTTCATGAGCTATTTCCATCTGGAAACCATTTCCGACGGCAGAAACAGCAGACCGGGTCGGGTGCTATTCCAGAGAGTACCGTCTCTGTTTTATCTTGGAATGCTGGTGCTCTTTTTCCTCTGGAGCGGCATGTGGGTGTCTTATAAGAGAGACGTGAGCTTTCACCCTATCGACATGCTGATCTACGAGGCCGAGGAACAGCATCAGGCATATGTCAACGCGACGGCGCGCAGCATAGATCTCTCTGGTGCTGTGAGCGAGTATCAGAACCGGTATTCGAGGTTACCACCACCCGGATTCGACCACTGGTATATGTTTGCCAGGCAGCGCAACTCTACTGTCATTGATGGTTTCGACAGCATTGACTATGATCTACTCCCTTTCTGGGCACTCGCTCCGGCCGAAATCAGACAGCGAACTTGGGAACTGATCTCGAACCCCTGGAACGACGCAGCAGGCATCAGCGTTCGCAATGGCAAGGTCTCTGTCATGCCCAATGTTGTTCCAACGCACATGTGGATGCTCGAAGGCCTAGTAGAGATGATTGGAGAGTTCTCCAGATGGCTACCCGATATGGATCTTGCTTTCAACATCAACGATGAGCCGAGAGTAGCATTGCCGTACAAAGAAATCTCGACCTTGCGTAGCATCGGCTCTGAATCAACAATTCAGTTGAGCGTTGAGCCAGAAGACCGGAACTTCTCAACAGATCGAGCGGGTCAATGGAGGCCTGTCCCGGAGGAGCCAAACCCAGAGACTCCATTGCAAGAGCTTTCGTGGGCACCGACTTTTCATCGATACGGGAGCATTGGATGCCATCCAGATTCTCCGGCACGAAGCCAGCGACGGTGGGATGTAGGCAGCCTGTGTCTGTCTTGCATATACTCGCATTCTCTCGGCGCATTCATATCAGACTGGAGCAAGGCTTCAGATGTTTGTCAACAGCCGGATCTTGCAGACATCCATGGTTTCTACATGTCGCCTGCTGCCTTCAAAGGGAGTCGCGAGCTCTACCCTATCTTCTCTCAGTCGAAAGCGAAGGGCTTCAACGACATTCTATATCCCAGCGCTTGGAATTACATCGATAAGGCAACCTACTCCCCCAGCGATGAAAACCCCGACAAGGCCTTTAAAGAAAAAGAGAACAAATTGTTCTGGCGCGGAGCGACGTCCGAAGGTGTCTCTAGTGGCCGCGGTCAATGGAGAGGCATGACGCGTCAAAGATTTAATCATCTCGCCACCGATATCAATGGAACTACAGCAGCTCAGCCGATTATGATCCCGACCGGGAGCGGCAACAAGCTTGAATACATCAACCTTCCCATCTCGACGCTCCAGAAGCTCTTACCAACCGACGTGCACATTGTAGACGCCATTGCGCGCTGCGCAGCTGAGGACTGTCCCATCCAACATCACGAATTCTCGCCGCTCGCGCCACCGATCGATTTCCAATCACATTGGCAATACAAATACCTCCTCGATCTCGACGGCGCGGGCTTCTCGGGTCGCTTCCTCCCATTTCTGCACTCCCGTAGCGTGGTGTTCAAATCTGCCCTCTTCCGCGAATGGTGGGATGACCGCCTGACGCCCTGGGTACATTTCGTGCCCCTGGACTTGCGAGGCCATGGCTTTTGGGCGACGCTTGCATACTTCACGGGTATCAACAGTACGATCGACGGCATCGGCAAGGTCGAAATTCCGGCGAAGACGCGGCAAGGAGAGAGGATCGCGGAGCAGGGACGTGAGTGGGCCGGCAAGGTCTTGAGGAAGGAGGATATGGAGATTTACTTCTTCCGGCTTCTGCTGGAGTGGGGACGGTTGACGGATGACAAGAGGGATTCGTTGGGGTTTGAAGGGGCTTGAAACTCTTAGCAATGGTGGGATCGATGCGTTTTTAGCGAAGGTGTTGCGGGTTGCTTCAGCCTGGTTGTTTGCTTTTCTTCGAGTCTCTCGCCGGATAATAGAACGTCAGTCGCAGTGCCCGTGGAGGAAAAAGCTACCAGTGCAATGAGATGCTACTACCACAGCTGAAGACACAAGACTCAAGACTCAAGACTCAAGCATGTGTCCCTTCACTTGCCTTTTGCACCCAACCCGCAACTCTCTGAGCGAAATACCACCTACAGCTACCACGAAGCAAGCCCTCCCCTTCCCATGGCAGGAATGCTCATGAAAAATCTCCGAGCAGGCGACCCACCCGATCATCATCCATCCAATATCCCAACAGGTCAAAATTTTCCAGATCCGTGAAGCCTGGATTTAATGATAGCTACGGTAGCTAGCTAGCTCCGCGGACATACCTCACCTTACTCTAGCCGTCGTCGAAGTTGGTTTAAGTAATAAGCAAACAAACAGAACGGAACATGTCCGGGGACTTGCCATTGGCGTTGGCGTTGGAATAGGTATTTAGCTGTCTTGAATTCATCATAGGTAAAGTTCTTTTTAGCGTTACTACAAAGAGGAAAAGGGAAGTAAAGGAGAAGTAAAAGGAGAAAGAGGACGGAGAATCTCTTGAGGTATAAGGTCTTTAAGTTCCCTTCTTAGTATCTATATCTTTCCCCTTTATCAATAGACGTCCAAGAAAACATGACTTGCCTCACTTACCTCACCTTACTTCCCGAAGAGGAAAGGCACAAAAAAAAACAAAAAAAGAAAAGGAGCTTAACGGCTATCGCGGCGAATCTACCTTACCTACCACCTTACTGCCCTTTACTACTACCACCACCATCACCACCACAAAACAACTCCCGATCCCTCTTCTTCGTCTCCTCACTCCAATAAACCCCCCACCAAGCCATCTCCCCCTTCCCCCCCTCAGCAGGAGGCACTTTCAACTCCAACGGACTCTCCCCCTCCTCCTCATCCCCTCCATTCTCCTCACCCTTACCCTCCTTCAAATCCCGAAACGTATAATGATCAAACAGCGCCAGGGCCTCGACGGCAAAACTCGTCGCGACGCGCGCATCGCGAATGCAGAAGAGATTTTCGGAATTCTTCGAGTCCGCCGCGTGCGAGAAATTGTACGAGCCCGTGTAGACGCGCGCGCGCGGGGTGTTGAAGTCGCAGACGAGGAATTTGTGGTGCAGACGCGTGCCGTTGCCGCCGGTGGCTTCTTGCCGGAACGGGGCCGGGACGTTCTGTGTCATCAGAGCTGCTGGGAAGGCGACGGGGGGGTTGCCGTTGGGTTCTTGGAGGTCGAGGCCGCCGACGGATTTGTCGGAGATGCCGTAGACGAAGACGTCCTTCGTGGTGTCTTGGTCGTCGGTGAGTTTCGTGATGGCGTCGCGGATCACGCCTTTGGTTTCGTAGAGGAAGGCGAGGGAGTAGAGCAGGCTGGATTGCGTGGCGGCGATGGCGTCGGCGATTTCCGCGAGCTTCGCGTTGGATTTGCTGTGCGGTGAGAAGGTGACTTGGGCGTCGAAGTCGGCGTAGCCGAGATCGTTCCAGTCGGCGGAGGGCGTGTTGTCGAACGCGCTGGGGTCGTCCTTTGCATCCCAGCGCGCATCGAAGGCCGTGGTGAAGATCTCGACGGCTTTCGCGCCTTGTAGAGCGACGAGCTGGGGAGGAGAACATTGTTAGTCTTTGCCCTGCCCGCGATAAGATGGGCAGAACGTGCTTACGTTATTGTTCTGCACGTAGATGCCGCGCCAGGAGAGATTCGTACTGCCGCCAATCGCAACCTTGGTCTTGTCGCCGTTCACGATGATGCTCTTACTATGCTGCAAGCCGCCCATATGCTGGCGCTGGACATTTTCGGCACCCGCGGACTTGGCCAGAAGGTCTGCTGCTTTACTCTCCGACGAATCAGCAGCTTTGTGGGATCCGGAGTCGTCGATGATGATCCTGAGTCGGCTTCCCACCTTCTCCAACCGAGAGACAATCTCCATATCGTTGAAGTCATAGGCCGACACACGCACCTGCGCCGTCGTATCCGCGATGGCAGCATCCAGAACATTGAGGATGACTTCTCGGGCCTCGAACCCCATCCAAGACAGAGCCTGCTCCTCGTTCGGGTACGTCGGCTTGAAATCCAGGCTCGTCTTGGCCGAAGTGGGGAGGATCGTGCCCACACCGCCGTTGGTGCCGAACTTGTCGACAAACGCCTGCGAGGAGATGAAGCCGCGGGTGAATGCGATGTTGCACTGGCCCGGATAGGTCTCGGCTCCCAGCTCCAGGGCGGCTTCCTGATAATGACCGTAGCTCAGCACGCCCCGGGCATCCATGAACACGGGGGTCACGCGGTAGGTGAAATCGCCGGGAGTCTCCGCGTCAGACGGAAAATGAATCCAGCGGAACTTCTGAAAGGGCGACAGACGACTCGACTGGGTGTTCGGGTCGATGCTCCCCTTGGAAGTGGGGAATGCCAGGCGGTTCTGCAGGGCGTAGAATTGCTGGCCTCCCGGGGGTAAGAACTCGATCGCAAAGCCGACGAAGTCGTCGGTCGGCGTGCCCTGCTTCCAGTTCATGGCGAGCAGACACATTCCCTCGCCACGATAGCAGGTGAGGCTGAAGAGTGCATCGTCGACGGATCCGTGGACGACAAAGTCGGGAGCAGTGGTATTAGTAGCAGAAGTGAGCCGAATGGGGGGAGGCTCATTGCTGGGCTTGCCGGAGCGCTTGCTCGTGCTTTTCGTGGGCCGTCCGCGGCGCGGGTGACTTGCTCTCGTCTTGGTCACGCCCGAGGTATGTGAAGTCTTGCTCTCGCTGGCTTGCTTCCTGGTTCTGGCCATGTCGACCAAGTGGTGATCTTGCAGTCCTCTGCGCAGCTGTTAGTGAACAACGGAAGTGGTGCTCTTTGTAGTGAAAGAGAGGAGCAGATCATTGTTGTTACCATGTCGGCGCGTCTATCTTGCTCGCTTTGTACGCGCTGTGCCAACTCCAATCGACTGACGACGTTTAACGACAGCCAGCCAAGCAGCACGTGTGTGTGCCGTTGTCACCTCACACTGCTCAGCCTCGCGGCCGAAACGAGAAGTGATCTGCGACACGAAAGTCGCGAGCATTCTGATGTGTGATGATGATGATGATGATGATGATAGGAAGAAGTTGAAAGGGGAAGCACCCGAGCTGGACCGGCCTCCGGTTACAAAGTTAACCGGTCTCCGGACCTTGCCTCAAGACGATAGCTTCTGGCATCGAAGAAGTTCGAGGGGACATCATTTCCTTGGAATAGAGATTAATAAGTGTCAAACAACCAGTGATCATGAAGTTGGCTATCACAGTGCTATGACTGAACCGTTCCAAGCCGCAGCCGAGACTCTCTCTCCGTACGATTTGAATGCTAAATTCATCTCCAGGAAAAATGAACTTTTCCCATCATAAACCCCCTTTTTCAAAAACGCCTTCGCTGAGAATTTCCGAAAACCAAACAGAAGAGCGTACAAGACGTCAGAAGCCCCTCGCATCAGCAATCTTTCTCAACCTCTCCTTCGCCCAGGAAATCCTCTTCAGCCGTTCCTCCTCACAGAGATACAGACATCTCACCGGCGACGACGACACACGCCCACCACCTCCTCCCAGTCATAAGACCACCCATCCCCTCTCCACCGCATGCAGATATTCCCCCTCCCAGACCGCATCCCAATTGTTGAAGTCGTCTTCCTTGCCATAGACCCCCGTCGTTCCGTACGGTCCCTTGGTACTCAACTGTGCCGAATTCCCGGGCCATAAGCCGGCACTGCGGACCTCCGAGAGGAGGAAATCCCCATGGACCAGATTCTTCTCGGGCTCGAAGATACATCCCGCGAAGAAAATCTCGATGCGGAGTTGATGGTGGACGCGTTGACGGGCTTGGATGAGCTCTCGCGCGGAGGAGAGGATGTGGCGGAGTTTGTGGGAGCGAGAAGTCCCGGGCAGGGTGTTGTCGTTGCAGCCGCAGAGGTCTGTGGCGCGGACTTGACATTCGCCTTCCCACTGGACTTCGGGGTTGGAGAACAGGGTGGAGCACATGTAGGGGATGCTGATGCTGAGGTCTCGCATCTTGGGGAGAGAGGTGAGGAGTTCGCAGATGTGTTCGTTGGAGGGGAGGTTGCCTGGGTAGGGGTGGTAGAAGCCGTCGTCGGATCGAGGGGAGTGCTCGAGAACTTGCAGTGTGTCATGAGAGGCTTTGACGAGTGCAAGCATGCCTGCTACCGAGATGGTGCTGAGATTGCTGAAATCCAGAGCTTCGAGGTTCGTAGCTGTCTTGGCGATGAGCTGCAGGTCTTGGTCGCAGATGGGTTTGTGCAGGGTGTTTCCAAAGATCTTCAAGCGCTGGAGCGCACCGAAGTCGACTCGTGGATCGGCGAGAGCATTCGGGGTGTCGTCTTGCTCCAACGCGTCGGCCTGGTCTTTGGGTAGGCAGACGGCCAAGAGTTCGAGAGATTGGAGTGCATATCCATGGCCAGTATTGACGTTCAGCAAGTCGATCCAGTCTTCGGCGGTACTTCGGCGTAGAACAGTCCAGGGCACACTAAGGAATTGCAGATTGTGGCACTCGGAGACGATGGAGAGAATGAGTCTGTCCGTCTCAGCAGCGTAGAAGCCGTTGAACCAGAGCCGTCGGACGTGCTCGGTCAGCTGTGGCAGTCTTGTGAAGATGCGATCGGTATCCTTGAGCGATCCGTAGGGGTCTCGATAGACGGCCTGTCCGGAAGGCCGGTCGATGAGTTCGTACAAGCTCATCTTGCGGCGGTTGTTGGAGAGGTTGGCCCATCGCTCCGAGCCTCGCCAGCGCCGCATGAAGACGTGCTCGAGGTTGTAGGAGAGCGCCCATTCATGCCATCGAGAGCAGGCCTGGCGAATGGCATTGGTGGCGTCCCATCTCAGCGACTCGGCGGTGACTGGTCCACGGACATACTTCTGCAGAGGAGTCTTCTGGAGTGGCAGCGGGGCCTGGGACAGTCCGTACGTGAAGCGTTCGCCTTCGGCCTGGTTAGCCTGGGTGGCGAGAAGAAGGATGTCGGCCAGAATCTCCTGAGGCAAGTCGTTGATGTGCATCCTTGGGCTGGATTAGGGGTATAACGGTGAGTAGGTGAGGAGCCAATAGAAGAGACGGATGAGCGTCGATAAGGGAGGCTGTTAGAAGAGCAGCTTAGGTACAGAGAAAGAGCAGGATTGGAGGGAGAGGGAGAGGGAGATAACAAAGAGCTCTGCTCCTGGCTCGGCTCGGCTTGGCTTGGGGGGTCACGACGTCAGAAGAAGGCGATGGCGATGGGTGATTCATATATCATGGGTCCATGTCCCCTCCTCCTCGCACGTTGCCATGCGTCTGGCCTCCGCTCCGCGCGATACGATGGCGAACTTGTTCCCCAGTGTCTCATTACCCCGGAGAACGACGCCATCACAGCCATCACATCCCTCTCCGCATCACGCCAAAAGTGACACACGTGGTGCAAGAATGAATGGCGGCAATCACATCCGCAGAGACTGGCCAAGAGGTCGGCATCCCGAATTCTCTTGACTAAGAGAGGTCACGAAGGACGAGTGCCAAGGGTCCATCGGGAGGGAGTCATTAGCTAAGGATTACCCTCAGGAAATTCACCAAATCCACTCCAAGCGATGATGAGGAGACGCGTCGGTCACGAGGTCTGACACGCTTTTGCAGCACAGCATGCGAGATGCAAGCGCGATAGAGCCGAGGAGAAGGTCAACACGACCTCGGAACGGAATGATGTCGAATTGGAAGCGGAAAGTGGCCTCGAAATGGTGTGAGTCTGGAAGTCAAAGAGAGAGAGAGAGAGAGAGAGAAAGACGGAGAAAGAGGGAGAGAGCTCTGCAAAGGGAATTGCTAAGTCAGCCGGCCAAAGCCGACGAGAGCCGTTCCGCTCTCGGATGCCGGTCCGGATGCCGGTCCGGGGAGATCTGCTAGCCGTCATGTGATAGTCTCTTACCAACAACGACGCCAACGACAACGTTCCATCAGCACGCGACCACCGAATCCTCTACTTATTACGGCGGCGCTATAGGAGAGGGGCCAGAGGGGCCGCGTGACGCCTCTCCCTCTCCGAGCTCCAAGCTAAGCGGAGACGGCGAGACAACGCGTGAAAATAGTTTAGAGCTCGCCTCCTCTCAGGATCCGACAACCTCCTTGGGCGTAGTATCAGACTTCCAGCTCTGCATCCATTCCACGAGAAAGGACGTGTCGTTCTCGCATCGCACCGGACCCGCATGACTCCCCCTCGATGCAGTACAGTACGTGCTGCTGCTAGGTACGACTCGAAGACAGCCAGACCTCCCACTCCAACGCGACGATAATAATTGCCACAATTGGGACACTCGCCAGATCGTCTCTGCTGTGTCACCATTCTACTTTGGATACCTCCGCGGAGTCTCGATGAAGAGCAGTTGATCCATATAAACGCAAACCGACGAGAATTGCCACTTTGATCCAGATGTAGTCTTCTTCTTCTCCTTCTACAAGGGCCAGTACTACATGTACTATGTTATCAGTGCGATCGGCGGCGACAAGCGATCCGAAATCGGCGTTGCTACAGACCCGAGCATAGACGCTGGGACGTCGACAGATCATGGTTTTACGGGCATTCCCTTCGCTGATGCATACAACAAGATCGATGCGGACTCGTACTTCTCTGAATCGGATCCATTCCCGCTTAGCTTTGGCTCTTACCGGCAGGGCATTGTTCCAGACTGAAATCGAGGACCCGCCTCTGAAGGTCAAAGCTGGTTTCCAGCCGATCCAGCTTACTTAGAACGAGAGGGACCGTGGCAACAGATTTGCCGGAAGATCCAACAAAAGGCTTGTACAGTTCGCATGGACCGTTGATGGAACACCATACCAAAATCTCTTCTCTTCAGTAAATCGTCGTCGCTGTTCGTTTGTGTTGTATATGTCGTAGATGCTAATTGTGCCGTGTGTAGCGCGGATCTGGTCCAAATGGCAACAAAAATATCCCGGCAGATGAAGAACACCATGTCGACGTCCGTCGAGTCGTTCAGATAGCGCAGCCGTACCATTTTACGACTCGACTGGAAGGGATTGCACAGGCACCAGTGGCGGAGGAGGTATAGTCATTGCAACCTGGTATGCCAACATGTGCTACGCTCCTGGTGGGCAGGGTATCTTTTTCGGCCCTCATATGCCAACGACTGCTACTTCCCTGGTGGGCAAGGTGTCTTTCCGGACCCTCAACTCAACTCGCCGGTGCTCGTCTACCATGATAGCAAGCCCAGTGCCGGGTACCCAGGAGGGCAATTCCAATTCAGCTGAAAAAGAAGCTCGACTCTAGCGAAGGATAGTATACAGCTGCTTCCCGAAGGTAGTACTTGCTGTTCGAGCCGGTACGCGAGACCAGCTGCTTGTATACGGTTTTGCAGAAGTAGAAAAGTCTTGAATGAGAGCGTAGTAGCACTGCAAATTGGGATTCGCCGGAGCTGACCTCGAGTACGCGCTTACGGATGTTATGTCCTGTTGTCCTCGTCAGTTTCATATGACCCTCGTCGGTTGTGCCTTCATGGCATCTCTTCATCTTTCCGCTCTAATGGTAGCGCCTGCATCGTGCAAGCATCACTCACTACTCGAAGACCTTCGGTTCTGCTTAGCTCTCGCGCTCTCCTTCGTTACGGCGTTTAGTGTTCAACGCGCACATGCTGACTCAATCTCGTGGTCTTCTCTGTATCTGGAGAGCAGCAACAGAGACGTTGTGGCAACTGAATAATGCCAAAGGTGAGGTGGAGTCAGAGGTAAGACGCACAGGCCATCGAAAAAAATTTAAAGGCGCCAAAAAAAACATACAGCACGAGGGATTCTCGACTGGTCACCCACGTCAATACTAATCTCGCGGTCGAATGGTTATCTTTGGTAGATCGGACGGGATACCGATTTCACATTCGCCTGTGGCCGTATTTGCTCGAACAAGTGCACGTTAAATTTATAAAAGTTTAATGTTGGAGATTCGTAGGCACCGTTGCGTTTTGGGTAGAGGGTAGAGTATGGAAGGAAGCAGTGCGCAGTGAGTCGATTCGGGGAATTTCCATTCAACGGATTTTACGGGGAGGAAGACGGAGGATGTCAGTGGCTTGGTCCTCGGGGATTGCTAGGAGATGATCATTCTGGTGTGCAGGTGATCGAGTGGGTTGGAGTAGAAAGATGCGAGGAGTTGCTCGGTGCGACTTATCTTACTCTTAAGAGATTTCCGGGTAGCACACGCCCTGAAAACATGATATGCATGCTGCCTGCCCGTGGCCTATGCTAACATGCGCCCCCGATCCCCGCTGAATACGCCTCAACTCCAGAACGCCTTGCGAATGTAGCACCTCAAGTCTCATGCAACCTATTTCTTTGCTGGTTTGCCTTTCTTCTTACCGCTTCCTTGTGCACTGTCCGGTCCTCCTGCTTCTACCAGCACGGCATCGTCGTCGCTTGAGGTCTTCTTGGTCGTGTTGGCTTCTGCAGCCGCATGTGTGGCCTTCAAATCTCCGCCTCCCGCCTCCAACTCCTTCATGAATTCGGAAGAGATGCCAGCGCGTCTCCTTTCCCACCAGGCTTTCTCTGCATCCACCTTCTCTTGCAGTTCTGCTACTCGCTCCTTGATGAGCCGGTTCTGGTTGATTTCGTTCGCCGATTGGAAGATGACTTGGCCCCAGTTGGGAGAGAAAGCGTTGGCCTGCGAGAACGGTTAGCACTTTCTACTCTTTCCTGCAAGCACACTGCTATATCTCACCTCATTAACAACATCCTTCACCTCCTCCTCCAGTTCCTTCTCGGCTCTCAGGAAGCGCTGCCACAGTTCGTCACCCACACTGCCCCTCTGGAGCAAGTGCTGCAGCGCCGGCTTCGAGTTCCTCAATTGCACAATGCGCTGGATATCCTCTACCGCTCTCCTCAGCAGCGCCGCTTTCAGCACGTTATCCGGCACTCGTGACAGCTTCTTCTCCCCATCTTCCGGCGCTTGCTCAAGATGCAGTAAAGACAGGTAGATATCTCGTTGACGGTGTTGAGGGAACCAGTTTTCGAGTTTGGCGGCTTTGGATATTTGACGCTTGCGATAGATGCTGGAGAATGTGTAAAGTGATCCGATGAGGATCGTGAGGTAGACTATGGGTAGGAGGAGGTTGGTCCAGAATGGTTTGGGAGCGGCATTGAAGCCTGACCCATCTGATGTGCCATTGAATGTGCCATTGAACGTGCCGTTTGTGGAAGAGTTAAACGTAGTGTCGTTGTCGGCCATGGTGGTTGTTCTTTGCGCTCAGAGGCGCCTTTCTTTGATTTTCGCCGTTGCAGGTTAAGCGATGGTGCTGTGTGAATCGGAAGACTTTACTAAGAGTGTGGAAGGCGGGCTGAAGGGTGACCCTTTGCTTTGTGTCGAGAGGACAGGTTGACTGTGGCTGCTATCGAGTACGGTAATTCACCAGGTGTTCATTGCACATGCGGGCTACTGCTAAAACGGGCTGCAGGGTTCACTCCGGCGGGACGGACCTTAAATCTCGCCGCACAACGTCACAGGGCCAGAGCTCTGGTTCACTTCCACTTTACATCGAAGCTCACTTTCGAAAGTGATCTCGCCTGCTCCGCGTGAAGACATCGTCTGTGCCTCCACGGCTGCCTGGTTCATATCTTCTACAACCTTCTACCGAACCTCACCTTGTTGATGGCGAACCACCGATAACTTCTCCCTACATGTCCACCTCGACGCTCGCTCGAACGCCTCTAACACCTTACAAATCATCCTCGAGTGCTCGACTCAAATCGCCGACATGTTGATCCGCTTTCAGAGCCGTGAAGGCCAGTTCCGCCTGAATGTCGAGCCCGACACCGACATCTCCACCATCCTCGAGCAAGTTCTCCAAAACCTACCCAAACACACGATCCCATCCTCCGTCACCATTTCCCCGAAGCCCGCAAACGCCGAGTCGAGACCCGTTCAATCTCTAAGAGGTGTCACATTTCGCAAACTAGACCTGAGGTAAACTCCAAAAGGAAAGACTGTTCGAGATGATACTGATGGACATGACAGACACGGTGCGCAGGTCTTCCTCGGCTTCAAGACTGATGAGCCGGTCGCAAACGGCCATTCAGCGCCAGCAAACCGCATCAATGGTAAGGAAGTCACTCCCGCAGACGACACAGTCAGTGTTGCCTTCAACAAGGCACCGGCCGTCCTCAAGAACCCTTGGGAGACAGTCCAGCAGCTACCCCTGGATGATCGGTTAGATAAGCTCGATGGAAAGATCGAGCGCAAGTTGGACCACCGCATGTGCAGGCATGGTCCAAAGGGTATGTGCGAATACTGCTCGCCGGTCGAGCCCTACAACAAGGAATACTTGGACGAGCATAAGATCAAGCATCTGTCATACCATGCCTATCTCCGAAAAGTCAACCAGGGTAAGAACAAGTATGAGTCGGGCAGCTCGTACATTCCGCCCTTGACGGAGCCCTACTTTCGCGTCAACCCAAATTGCCCATCAGGTCATCCTCCGTTCCCTGCGCAGATCTGCACCAAGTGCCAGCCCTCGGCCATTTCTCTTCAACCGCAAGAGTACCGCATGGTCGATCATGTCGAGTTCGGATCCTTCGAGATTGTCAACAAATTTCTGAACTTCTGGAGGCAGAGCGCCGCACAGCGGATAGGTTTCCTCTATGGGCACTACGAGGAGTACGACGTCATTCCTTTGGGTACAAAGGCAGTGGTTGAGGCCATCTACGAGCCACCACAGGTAAACGAGGTCGATGGTCTAACATTATCAGACTGGGAAAACGAGAAGGCGATCGATGATCTTGCGCAAATGTGCGGTCTCACGCGTGTCGGCGTTATCTTCACCGATCTCATCAAGCCAGAGGATTCAGAGGCAGGCAACGCTGTCTGCAAGCGCCACATCGACTCGTATTACCTCTCTTCGTTGGAAGTGTGCTTCGCATCGCGGTACCAAGCGAAGTATCCTCGACCTTCCAAGTGGAGTGAGACTGGCCAATTCGGCAGCAATTTCGTGACATGTTACGTATCCGGAGACGAGACTGGCAACATCGCGATATCCGCCTTCCAGGCCTCCAACGATGCAGTGGAGATGGTGACAGCGGAGATCGTTGAGCCATCAGCAGAGCCAAGTGTCATGCTGGTCCAGGACGAAGAAGAGGAGAACGAAGCGCTCGGCCGGAAGCGCTACATTCCGGAAGTCTTCTATCGTCGCATCAACGAGCACGGTGCCAACGTCCAGGAGAACGCCAAGCCATCTTTCCCGGTCGAATACCTCTTCGTGACTCTGACTCATGGATTCCCGAACGAGGGACAGCCCATGTTCGTGAAGAATTCGTTCATCATAGAGAATAGAGACAACCTGGGCGAACACGCAGAACCCCAGGATTTGCAGAAGCAGCTCAAGGGCGGCGCAAATAGAGTCGCTCTTGATCAGCCACAGGGCGTTGTGGCTGTGTCCGACTTCCACCTTCTAGCCTTCGTCCAGAAACTCGGTGTCCTCAGTCAGGTAAGCAATCGCGCCACTGTTTTGACCACTGCTGTACTAACCATATGGTAGGACGAACTCAAGCTCCTTTGCGAAGTCGCGACGACGCACGACGCCTCCAAGGGCGCCGCTCTCATGCATTCTCCAGGTTGGGCCACTCTCGAAACGATCCTCGACATGTAGCATACCTACCTCACACATGTATACTTATACTCTTGTAACTCCTATTCCCATACGCACACACTCGAGGTTGGTCCCTGTTTCTTTTCAGTACTAACCTTCTTGTGGTACTTCAGGGATGCAGACCTTGGTTGCAATACTGGACAACTTCCCGGACCGACCCGCTAAGCGCGGCAGTATGGACGAGATTGCAGCGGTTGGAAAGCGGATTCGGAGGATGGATATGGGCTTGAAAGATGAGTGAGTTGGACGCGGTTGGATTGTTCTCCCTTGATGGAGGGAGGAAAGGCAAAAAGCGACATCCATGACTAACGGCTCGGAATGCCACTCACGAGACGGTATCGACGTTCTTCGCTCTATACTATAAGAGCGGAAACGACGTCCGTAAGCAAACGAACGCCAAGTATGGAATGAGGTACCATACCAGCTCGCACAAGAGCGCTCAATACAATCACCGGCGATCCTTGCGATCGAAGCCCCATGTATTCCGGCAAATAGACCAGCCTGCCACCGACGTCAGCTCGTTTCCATCTTTCTCCTCCGCATTCTGCAGGCCGTTCTGCTTTTGCTCACCGACTCCATTCAAACTCATCGCTTCCCCTCCCGATATCTGGAACAGATATGTTCGTCCTTCGCATTTCTGGGAATCAGATCGGAGGAACAGAAGCAGCACTGGCACGTTACTCTTGGAAATGCGTTTTGTTGTTCGTGGGACTCTTTCGGCGGGTTATTGAAGGAGTACTCGAGGAGGTCGAATTCCAGATCCGGAAAGTCATTTGAGAGGAATGAAGAAGTTGTGAGAATATCGGGAGATGATGCATGTCTTGGAAGCGAGGCGGTGTTTCGGACTTTGAGTATGCGAGCTGTGTGCGAGGAATAGGATTTTTTCTGAATCGCAGTCGTTCCCGTGATGCTGTGGCGTGCTCCAAGAATCTGGTTGTTAAACGTTGAAGGCCGGGCATGTCGAGTTCCTGTCACGGAGTTACCAATGGGAGATTCATGACAGTTTGAATTATAGTGACTTACGACGGCTAACATGACCATTCCTCAGCGGAATCTGCGCAGTATTGCCACCATGACAGTCACGGGAGGTATAGTACAGACTACGGAGATATTGGATGACTGCTTTCACAAGGTAGAGAAAGTGCTAAGAGAGGTCGAACTCTCCTGGTCAAGCTGGGATTCGAGCATGTGCTGTCAGAATCAGGTGATGAGCTATGAATCCCGTTTCTTTGCTGCTTAGATAAGACATGGAGAAGATAATTTCTCCCCTCTACTTCAGTACAGCGCGCGACGGGGACCTTTGCTGACAAGAGAGGTGTAGTGAGAACTGTTGAGTTCGATCTCGAGGATTCGGTCGGATTTCGTGCCTCTGAGGGGGTCGGCGTTGGATCTTCTCAGAAAAGAACATCGCCGAGATGATTAGCAGCATTGCTGGAAATGGTGGCTTACTCCAAATCGTTATCTCATGCGAAGACATCTTTCACGGGCGAAGGCGCATGGAGCTGATATACCGCCGTAGCTCACGCCAGCGCACATGCCTATTTCACGCGGGATGGAGATGAGAGAACACGCACATCGTGGTCAAATTCATTCATTTAGAACTCGCTAATCAGTCGAATCGAAGGCTTTAACAGCATCATGGCACATCGTTGCTCGACCGCCTACGCCGGTAAAGCAAGACCAAATTACTCTCGGAGGCATGGCATAGTAGCCGGGCTGATAGTGCCGTTCCTGGGGAGATGAGATGCTCTGCCACAGTCGGCGCTTTCTGGTACGGGCCGGATTATACTCCCGTCTTACTTCGCTCCTTGTCTGTGCTAGGACATGTGTGCGCCAATGCTCATGTCTCCAAAGGGCAGCAAATGGTTTAAGAGACTGTTGAGGATATTAGCAAGATTCTTCCATCGGTGAAGGATCGCAAAGGGATACTCACACTTCCACTTGTTTCCGCAGACTGTGCATTCACAGAAGGTTGTGAGAGGTTCATCGGCCGACCGGGTCTGCGCTTGTGTGTAGGCGACCTTGCTCTGCTTGCACTTGCTACATGTGAAGGTCGTCGAGATGGCCTTCTCTTCCACCGCAGTCATCGCCTTGTTCATATTCTCCTTCTCGAGCGCCGCATCCTGCGCACGCTTCTCCTCCGACTTGAGCTCATCCGATGTCATGGTGACGAACTTGTTCGGTTGAATCTTCATGCTGAAGACGTCCTTGCGCAGGAGTGTGTTACCCTTCATCTTGAGATTCTGGAAGAGACTCCGCATCTTGGTCTTGTACTCCGGACTCGTCTTCTGTTTGAAGTGGGTGAATGCGGCATACTCGACCTTCTGGGCCACATCCAGTACTGCCTCTGGTGGCTCCTGTGACATGAACGCTATGCCATCATACATCAGCTTGAGGCAGCCATCGCGCGTCGCATCACCAGTAAGCTTGTAGTCAACCGTATCCGTGTTCGTATTCCGCTTCTCAGGGTCGACCGTGCTCTTTCGCATTGCGCCTGGGTCCTTCTTGATCTCCATCTTCGATGACTGCGGCGCTGGGCTGTTCGTTCCACTGCTCCGACCGTTCGCATGCGCTGCTGCGCCATTTACAGCCCGATTTGTTGGAGCAGGGCTGCCATCTGCCTTCTTCTTCTTCGAGTTCACCTCCTGCTTCCACCGATTCACAAGTCGCGCCGCCTCTTGTTGCACCTGCGGATCCTTGTTTTGGCGCAGTTTCGTGACATAGATTCCAATCTTCGACTGTCGTAGCAGGTCCTCAGTCGCTGTGAAGTTCTCGAGTGGTTTCAGAAGGGCCAGAATTGTCGCACCGGGATCGCCAGATTCCGAGGCCTTGTGAATCTGCTTTCCGGTCTCAGACAGCGTCTTGGCGTCCATAGTCGCGGTTTGAATCAGGAGAGGCGTTCAGTGGGTGCCGTATGCGGCGATGCGCGCGAGTATGTCGATCGCGTGACAGTGGGTGGAGCTTCCGTAGAAGGACTCGATGAGTTCGGCGGAATATAGTCAGCCGGTGTGATCAGGACGTTGGAGTTGATTTTTGCGAGAGTAAGCTGTTGATGTTGTTGTTCCAAAGGAGCAGTCGCATTCAAAAGGCGCAAGCAGTGAAGTGCAGTCCGCACGCGACACAACCCGCAATTTAGCCGCACCTTCCGCTTTGGGAGCTCCAACCCTCCGACCATTCACCTGTGTTCGCGCTCTTTCACATGCTCGCGAAAATGCATCACCGACTTCTTCTGGAGAGATCAGCCATCGCTACCCTCCGAAGCTCCACTCATACCGGCAGGAGATCTATCGTAGGGAAGAGTGTCTTCCGAGGGACCCTCTCACCCAGTGCCGTTTCCAACGCTGGGCCACAATGCCACACTCGAATCCTCCCACCTCCTCGACCCTTCTCATCCACATTGCATCTCGCCAAGAAGGGAGGCAAAGCCGCACGTGAAGAGAAGCAAGCTGCTGCTACCTCCTCCAAGTCTTCGAAAGATGCAGCATCTGAAGATCCTTTCGACTTCTCGGGCTTGGAAGCAGATATCGCGTCTGCCCTTGAGAGACTGAAGAATGATCTATCGAAACTCAGAGCAGGAGGGCGTTTCAATCCAGAAGTAGTGGAGAGTTTGCGGGTGCCATTGGATAAGAGCAGCAGCAAGACGGTGAAACTCAATGATCTGGCACAAGTAATACCCAAAGGAAGAACGGTGCAAGTACTTGTTGGAGAGACAGATGTAAGCTGGGGAAGAAACATTATCAGAGCAACGCCGCATTACTGATACACATTTGTAGCATCTTAAGCCAGTGTCCTCCGCGATACAGTCCTCATCCCTCTCACTAACGCCGCAACCCGATCCGACAGGAGCGAATCCGCTCCTATTAGTCCTGAACATTCCACCGCCCACCGCCGAGTCCAGGAAAGCCGTAGTAGCCGAGGCTTCGAAAGCAGGGGAAAAGGCCAGCACCAGCGTAAGAGATGCAAGAGGGAAACAGCAGAAGAAGCTGCGGGCGCTGCAGCTAAACAAAAGCGCGAGACCAGACGATTTGAAAAAGGCCAGTACTATGATGGAGAAGGTCGTCGAGAAAGGAAGCGCCGAGTTGAAGAAAGTGGTAGACAACGCGAAGAAGGTGTTGGAGAGCGGTTGATGTTCTGTAAGGAAGTGAGTTTCAGAAGACACCCAGTGCACCTCTCCGTTGGCAGAGCATGCAGGCATCTCGTGAGCATCTCTGACCTGAGCGTTACGGGCTTCTCGATGCATCTGCTTCGGTACGTTGCGAAGGTAGCTTCCAGCCCTCGGCCTTCGTCCACGTCTCCAATAAAGTCCCGGCCGCCTCGAACATGGATTCCCCCGGCTCCACATGCTCTCCGTCTTCCATCGAGGCGAAGTAGCGCAACTCGAATTCAGTCATGTTCGCGATGGTGGCCAATTTGTGTACCTCGCTCCTCAAATCCCAGTAGCCTACTTCTTTCTCCGGCCACTGCTTGACGTTTCCCCACATCGTCGAGTCACTCGGGATATGCAGGTAGACGGTAGCGTTGTCAAGGAGAGCTTGCGCACTTGCCTGTTGAAGCCAACCCTCCTGAGACTCCACCTCTTGTGGATCGTCACCGCAGAGTTGGAGGTAGGCTTTCACAATCTTGAAATCTGCCAGTGCGCGCGGAATGGCAGGGAGTTCGAGGTCTCTGGCGCAGTAATCACGTATCTCCAGATTCGTCAATTTTCTCACGCACTGCGAATACTCTGTCGAAAGCTGACGGTTGACGAGGAGGAGTTCCGGGCGTGGCGCGTTGTTGACAAAAAGGCTGAGTGTTTTCTGGCTCTTGTGCACCACTCTGCGATTCGTGGCATACTCCGTAGATCGAGTTGCGCAGCTCAGCTGCCAACTCGAAGAATGGGAAGATGTCTTTCTCCGCCATGTTGTGGTCGATGCTGGTGGCTGAAGGTGAGTTGCTGCTTTTTTGTGTCTCGGTGTGGATGTGGATTGAAGACGAAGGATTGTAGTTGGACTTAAGCGTGTGTCGTTGCTCGAAGAGAAAATCAAACTATTGGTGAAGCTTAGCTCAGCTGTTGGTTGCACCTTCCACGGAAACAGCCAATCCGAAGCGTTGTCGCTCTCCGGGAAAGATCGAGTCACTCTCACTTTATCTGATTTTGGCACCAGTGCTGAAGCTTTGCATTGCCAGGGTCTCGCCTATGAGAGTATATTCAGTACTCACAGACACCTGACATTGGCTCGAACAAGCTCGCGTAAATGGACACATTCCCCCCAACATGTGATGCAATGGTAGCTACAAGCAAGCGTGACTTCCTCTCCAAGCTGACCCGCTGTGCGACCAGGTGCCAAGATGATCCTTGCGCACTAGCGTCCTTCACGTGAAGAAGCTAAACTGTATTGAGAAGCACAAGTTTACCAGGCACGGGGAAGAATTTCGATTTCATCTCCCAAACTAACTGCTCATCAGAACTCAGATCCATGTAAAGCTCTGCTCGAGATCAACACAATCGCTCTGTATGTTATACAGGTTTCCCGCAGATTGTCCGATATCAAATATTTCCCCATGTTTGGCTTTCTCTTGAAACGGCAAACAAAGAAGAACAGTCAAAAGACAGAGATCAAAGAATAGTAGAGATGCTCTGCTCAGCTCGCTATCGATCGCGCCATCGGGAATTCCTTCTTGAAACTGGAAATGCTTCTCTCGGCATGGGTCTGGTGTTGATTTTAACCCAATCACGGGCTTTTATCTTCGTGCGCATGTTGTCCACACTAGCTCATCTCTCATTACAGATCGCCGGGAACCACGTTCGCTTCAGTCCCACGTGCTCGTCTTGCCCATGCTTCTGTTCAATCGACTGGCTCGATTGGTAGAACATTTGATTCTTGCTCTATCTTCGTCTCCAACTTCTCCCTTGCTCGATAGCAGTGCTTAGACCTAGTCTGTGTCTCCCTTGTGTTCCTGAGCTCGACCCTCCCATCCACTCTCCTTCTCCCACCCTGCCACAGGAAATTGGGCGCCGAAGTACGCCTCGTCTAGCGTGTAGCCCGATAGCGAAGCATACAGCTCAACCTCCACGAGATTTGGAATCTCTAGGAGCGACTTCGACCATCGTGACGCCTTGTCATCGCGAAGTACGTAAAGCCATCCGGAATCCTGGTTGGCGTCGCTGTCGACGGCTACATGTAGCTTAATGTTGATTTAGGATGCCGTCACTCCGGCAGTAGCTAGGAATTTTTAGATCCACTCGGTATAGTGATGGGCTCGCGGTTTAAAGTGACAGTATAGCAAGTTGCAGACCACGTCGAGTAGCTTATCTTCGTAGTGTAGGTAAAGTGCGTACAGTGCTATATCTGCGAGGAGTCGGCGTGTAGCTTAGGTCGTCGGAGACAACTGCAAGACAGCTATATGTCGCGCTTAAGCTCGTAGCTATATTGTGTAGGTGTATTGTGTCGCGGATAGTGTTATAGGTTTTATAGGTAATGTTTTCAAGGCCGTGGGTAAAACAGGGGAAGGTTTAAGTATGAACTTGTATAGAGCTCAGGCCACATATCCACGGACACGTCGTGACTTGGTCCGTTTACTATTTGCCCTTTGCCGGTTTGTTATTTGCGTATTCTTCTTTCCCGTATTTACCCGTCGCCGAGTCTTCTATTACACATACCGATAGTACTACCAAGAGTTAGAGCGGCTTCGCCGTTAGAGTGAGCCGTATAGGACTGCGGTTGTAACAAAACACTCTGAATCAGAATACGTCCTACAGAAACCTTTCTTACTATAGCATCAAGTGCTCTCGTGTTGTCCTTTGGACGATTCTCTATCGAAGATAATCTGAAGGGTTGAGAACGGCTCGACCAGGCGCTTCTACATTTCTTCAGCCTCCTTCTTGGCGCCGGTGACGTCCGTGTAGGATGACCGCTGGCAGGCAATCGCCCTCGGCGTGAGCGCAGAAAAGGCGGGAGAAAGAGGGATACTTTTCAATTCCTGATCTTCCTTGAAGTCGTTCAGGGCCAGCCGGCATCAACGCTGTTCTTCGTACACGAGCCGTGTCTCAACCCTCTCACTCCCTTTACTGGTGACCACCCGTCTCACAAACTCTCCACTGCCTTCAACTGTCCAGACCTGTCTAGCATTCCATCCTTTCTCCAGGCTCTCCACTTCAGCTTCAACAATCTCCTCATTGTCCTCGATGCCTTTCTTGAGGAATTCATCGTCGACTTCTCCAGCCTTTCTCCACCGGCTGCGGCTCTTTACTTTGCCCAAGAACGAATCCTCGAACTCTCTCCATTCCCAATCATGGACCCACTCCTCCGTGATCGCCGGGATAGAAGCTGTAGTAGTCTGCTTGATCTGGACTTCGTTGTCGCTCTTCTGTGTCACATCGATGTTTATCGGAGCTTTCGATACTGTAGCAGCGAGAATCTTGTTGAATCCTTGGAGTTGAAGAACGGGTGAGACGTCGGAGGTGGACTTCGATTGGTGATATTTCCCCGTGAGACTTTTGAGCGTTGGCGCCATGCTTGCTGACTCGAGTGCAGCAGTAGTTAGACTACGAGAGAGGCTTGCAGAGGTAGATGAGAGAGCAGAGCGAGACGCGAGGGAGGTGTATCAATCAACTTTATACCCTTCCAGGCGTCTGTCATGCCCCGCCATTGTACGCATCATGGAACCCGATGTGAGGGTGTATGCTGAGCTCGCGGGCCCACGAGTAATCGTCGCTGTGAATTTGCGCATTTGGCTCCATTGCGATAGCCTCAGTCGTCTCGTCAGCTTAGATTTTATGTGGAATTTGTTGCAGTTCGAGTTGACGCTTTCACAGGTGAGGTTGAAAGCCGGAATGTTAATGCCTGAGGCACACGTCAAAGAAGCGGGGCTTCGGGAGTGGACCCGATGGACGCCTCTTCTACCTACTGTATCACGACCGACATCAACCAGAATTCTCGACTCTTCTACCGCCTTTGGATACACTCGACGACTTCTTCTCGCTCCCAACTTCCCTCGAAACTCGACTGACGCTAGGGACGGCATCCCTCGACCACTCTCACACGTGCCTCGTGGTTTCGAGCACGGCACATGACCACACTCGAGTGACGCCGCAACGTCCATTCACCGCACTCTTCACCTTGCTAGCGCGCTCGTCGTCGCGCAGCTCGAACAACACATCTTGAGGAGAGCGAAATAATATCCCAAGATTGGCTCATTACCGCTTGGGCACCAACCCGCACCTCCCACACGAAATCAGGCTACGATTGGTCAATCTGCTGTAGGAGCGAGTAATTGCCGATCTTGGAGTGTTGTCACTGCTTGGGTCTTTGTTTGAGAGACCTCCGCATGAGGAGCCACGCCGCGACTATTCCATAGCGAGTCTTGAAGGCTGCTGGACAAGAGTTGGCCCATGATACTCGGCGCAGAGCACAACATCACCATGACGGCCGAGAAAGACAATGGCCCGCTGTCTGACACCGAGGGCGGCGAGAAGCCTGTACGCGAGCAACTGCAGAAAGCACATCTGGGTCACGATAAGAACGCACCTCGGTCAGACGCTACCTCCGCAGGGCACCATGGCAAGAATGGAGAGAATGGGTCAGAGACTTCAGGCAGAGGTCTGAGTCGGAAGAGAAGTCACGATGACATGGACGATCCAGAGGAGACAGGATCCACCGACAGCAAGTCGTTTGCCGCAAAGCGATCACGAAGCACTACTCGCGGCAAAAACGATGGCGACAACGGCCAGCGGAAAATCTCAGGCGAGCGACCACGGAACGGCGATGAGAGCTTGGACGAGACTGCGGAGGTCCCCATAGCCGCCAACGGTACTGTGCCAAGACCTGGCACTCCAGAAGTCACGGGCGAGAAGAGGGAAGGATCAGAAGTGGAAACGGTGACCAGCCCGAAGACTAAGAGGAGCCGGCTGCTATCCTCAACAACTGCAGTAGAGTCTACTTTGCAAGAAGAGAACAAGGCAGGAGCTTCAGAAGACCAACCAGATGACAAGCACAACGCAGCGGCTGAGGAAGAAAGCAAGATCCCGCCTACAAGCGGATTCGCCAATTCTTCAGCTGTATCGCCATTTGGAGCTCTGGCTGGCAGCAAGTCGCCTACAGAAGAGAAACAGACGTCTTCTAGTGCATTTGCTTCATCTGGCTTTGGCGCATTGGCTGGAGCATCGACTTCAGGCTTCGGAGCTATTGGTAAAGGATCAGGTATGTATGCAGGCGGTGCCACGATTCCCTCGAACCATTCATCGGCAGCAGAGTACTGAGCTAATTATGGCCAGGCGGTTTTGGATCCGGCGGTAATTTCGCGACAGGCTCGAAGAGCGCGCCGAAGGAGAGCGATAAACCTGGAGCGTTCGGCGGCTCGCTCGGTCAGCGATCCGCATTCTCCGCCGCAGGCAGCGGAAGCGGATTCGGTTCGAGCGCTTCTGGTTTTGGTTCTCTAGGAGGTCCGTCCTCTGGAGGCTTCGGCGCAGGCATCGGTGGTACCGGCTTCAGCAGCTTAGGTGGAGGCGGTCTGACTTCTTTCGCCAGCGGCAAAACTGCTGCCCCATTGGGAAAGCCAGCAAAGCCTTTCGGTGCACCTGCTGACGACGACGCCGAGGAAGAGGAGGGAGCGGACGAAGAAGACAAGGCTGGTGCTAAGAGCTCGCTGGCAACCGAGGAGGAGAAGCAAGATGAGCGCTTCTACGCTCAAGAGCTGGAAACTGGGGAGGAGGACGAGGTCACCGAATTCTCCGCACGCGCTAAGCTGTACAACTTCGCGGCTGGTCCAGAAGATCCAAGCAAGAAGGAATGGCGAGAGCGTGGTCTTGGAACGCTTCGTTTCAACGTTCGCAAGCCAACAGCCGAGGACGAGAAGCCCAAGGGTCGTCTATTGATGCGAGCAGAAGGCTCCCACCGAGTGATGCTCAATACCCCTGTCACGAAGGAGCTCAAGTTTGGCTCTCCAGCTGGCGAGAAGCCGCAAGGTGGTTACATGTACTTCGTGGGTACTGTCGAGGGCAAGGACGGCTTGGAGCTTCTGCAACTGAAGGTGAGATGCATTTGCATTCTTACGTGGAGGAATCGATCTGTGCTAACGGATAAATAGATGAAGCAAGTCAACGCTCTCGACCTCTGGAGCCAAATTGTCGAGCTCCAGAAGGGCATGTAAGCCACGCACACGTACCGTTCTCGACACATCCTTTTGGCACCTTCGATTTTCTCCCAACATCTGACATACCCTTGGCGTTATTGGAGACCGCGCATCAGATACGGAGGGCGTTCGTGAGGGTTGGAGAAGCCAGGCATACCACACGGCATAGATACCTCTGATGCGCAAGCGCTGTTCCTTTTTTTTTTGTGGCGAGATATGTCAAATGGATACCAGAAGCAGCAGATTGTTTTTTTCACACACGCTCGATGAGGAAGGGATGAATATACCAACGTTGCATTTGGTAAGGACGTGCCTCCTTTTTGTTGAACCCAGGCTCTCACTCGCACTGCGGTGCCGCAGTGAAGCGCCGTAGAAGGGTGTCTTCCCAATCCGCCAAACAGTATCCTATTTCTTCACCTTGCAGTGTCTTCCCGCGGCGGATTGTCATTCTCTCTCCCCAATAATTCCAGCAGACATCAGGCCCATGGCGAGTCGGACGGCGCAAGATTAGCGATAGATCATAGCAGCAGTCGAGATGACAACTAAGTGTGCGGAGATGTATATATTATCGATGAAGAAAGGAAAAAGAGAGAAAACGGTACGACTTGCGAGCTAGTGCGTTTCTCAACGGTATTCGAAATGCCCGGCTTTCCATCCTTTAGAGGATATGTAAGCAAGGCGGATAGGTGTATGTGTCTATGAGCCATGGACAGTCAGTTGTAACAATCAACAGGAACTCCCATTAACAGGCCTCGTATCATCAGCACGGCCAGACAAATTTCTGCACTGCATCCCTCAGTATTCCCACAAGATTCCCGAGCCGTGACCGTCGGGTGCATCTAGAAGTCCCTTCTCCTTCATCGCCCCCTTGGCGCGACCGAGAATGATATCCATGGGCGGAGGGGCGAGGTTCCCACGGGCTTGCTCGCCCGCCGCGCGCCTGGCGGCGGAAGGGTAGAGCCACGGGACGCGTTGGAGTTCCTCGACGCCTTTCATCATCGGGAATCGTAAGCGCGAGAAAATGCCGACCTCAAGATGAATGATCATAATAGTGAAGCAGTCGACTTACTCCTCATCTCGTCCAATTCGCTCGGAGCGAACCCACCGCCCACAAAGATCGCCTTGGGAGCTTTCGCTGCTTCGGCCGTTTTGAAATTCGTGCCTCTGCCCGAGGCGGGTTCCGTGCGTTCACCGCGCAGGAGCGCGCGGAGTTCGGAAATGGCGACGGGAGCGGAATGGCAGACGTGTACCACTGGAGTTGGTAGTTGGTTGTAAGCTCTTGTTGTTGGGACAAGTTTTTCTTTTTTTGGGCACGTTGTGGTTCCGTACCTTCGAATTCTGGTAGCATGCCGGAGATGAATGCGTCGGCCATATCGGCATGCTTGCCGCATAGAGCGATTGGGACAGGCGCCATGATGCTTGGGGTTCGTGACTGGAGGAAGAAGTGGCTGCGCTTGCTCTTGCGAAAGGATGACTGGAGGCATGACGTTCTTGTTTTATTATCTCGGGAGCAGGATGTGACGTGTTGCAGCAGTTGGTGCTGCGTTGCAAGGCGGTCCCAGTATTGGCTGCGAGATTAAAACCAGGGATTATCAGGCTGCTCAGCTGCTGACATGGACGTGCCTCAGGCTACAATTAGGTTTTCTCCAGGCGATTCGTCGTGCGTGGCTTCAAGCAGCGGATGCTGACCCCTTGCGATTATTGTATTGAACGGCTCTGTGGCCTCTTTCCTGTCCAGGCCCGTTTCCGTGGCCGTCACGCCAGCAATTCTGGCAGTAAATGTCGCCATCGCAGCCCAGGCAGCGCACTTGGCCGTCTTCATTGCAAATGCAGCACCATGATTCAATATCCTCATCCGTGTAAACCGGTAAGTTCGACTTTGGCTTTCCGTGGGCGGTGACTTTCGTGTTTGCAGAGGGTTTCGAGGTGGGTGTGGAAGGAAGATCGAGCCCTCCAAGGCCCAATTTGGAGAATCGTGCTTGCAGGTCATCGTCTTCTTTCGATGAAGGAGCTGGCTCAGACACAAACGTCGTTGGTTCGGGTAGATTCGACGGCGTTGAGGGCAGGTTCAGAGGGTCGCCATTGCGCTCTTGCTCAGTGTGTACTGCATCATCTGCGTCGTCGCCTCCGTATTTTCTCTCATATTCCACTTCAGCAAGCACACGTTTCACATAGTCATCAGCATTTTCTTCGTCCTTTGCTTCATCGTTCTTCGCTTCATCATGCTTCTGATCGGTCGACTCATTTCCATCCTCAGATTGAAACTGTTCATCGAATTCCCTGCCATGCCCGTTCTGGCGGAGCTCACTCTGCTCTATCTCTGTCGGCAATGCCTCTTTCGCTTCTTTCAATAGCGCATTAATGTCCTTTGGGTCTTCAGGATCCAGCTTCCATTGGTCATCGGGCCCCAGCTCGGCAAGCAATTCCTCCAGTGTCTGCTCGTCGCCATCCTGCTGCCGCCAATCCCGGATCGGGTCGTGCTCGGCCGCAACTTTGTCTTTCACTCGAGACGTGAGGCGCGCGGCTGGCGACAAGGAATTCTGAGAAAATCTATCCTGAGACTTGGGCGAACTGTTCACAGATCCGCCAGACCTCAGCGTCTTCAGTCGCTCTGCGAGCTTGTCCTCGACCGTGTGTGGCTCGGAAGTCTGAATCTCCACCGAGGGAGCCGCCGGGTTGAGTTTGACCGATGACGGCTTCGCGGCATTCAGGCGGGCGAGTAAGTCATCGTCCTTCCCCGGCATATCCGACGAAATGGGATATTCTCTGTCTCGATATACGTGGAAAAGTGGATTGGCGATGGAGGACGTTATGGAGTTGTCCATAGTGTCCGCGCTTGACTCCATTGGGCTAGCAGCGGAGGGGCACGTTCCCGAGGTAGTTAATTGGGAGTGACGACGTCCAGATCCAACGTCTGCAATTCGATATGTAGAACATCAATGCTGCATTGAATTGGGGGCCAGGGAGAGATAAATCTCGCATTGTACTTGCATTGAACGTCTACTCCTACATAGCCTCAACCATGGCGGCAGCGGGAGCAGCAAAGCAGGTCATCCGCCGGGCACAGCTTTATGGTGAGTTCAATGCCAATCTCATCGCCAAGAGTGGCATTAAGAACCATTGCTACTCGGAAGCCAATCCTGACTGCCCCTCTCAGTCCCCGGCTCCTCCATGCGCTTCCTCGAAAAGTCCCGCTCGATCCCGGCCGTGGACTCCATCTGCTACGACCTCGAAGACTCCGTAACGCCCGGCAAGAAACCCGAAGGCCGTCGCAACGTCCTGGAAATCCTCAACCGCGACCGTGCTTCTGGAATCCGTGAGCAGGCCGTCCGGATCAACGCGGTGGACTCGGGCTACGCTCTGGAGGATCTCACGTCCATTCTCAAGGGCAAACATCTGGACTGCCTTGTCGTGCCGAAAGTCGACGCTCCGAAGGATTTACACTTCGTCACGGACGTTTTGAGGCAGATGCTGCCGGAGAGGCATGCCGCGGGGAGTGAGAATCCCGTCAAGATTGTCGCGCTGGTGGAGAGCGCCAAGTCGGTCATGGATCTGAACGCCATCTGCAAGGCGTCGCCCTACCTCTCCGGCTTGACGTTTGCCGCCGAAGACTTTGCTATGGATCTCAGCATCACGCGCACGCCGAGCCTGCATGAGTTCATGTATGCCCGGGGAGCCATTGTCATGGCAGCGAGGGCGCACGGCCTTCCGTCGACCATCGATCTCGTCAGCACGACGTTCCGAGGCGAGGAGGGAAAGCAGCAACTGCGAGAGGAGAGTGAGAATGGCAAACGCTTTGGTTTCAATGGGAAGCAATGTATCCATCCCGATCAGGTCAGCGTGGTGCAGGAGGTGTACTCTCCGTCTGAGAAGGAGGCGGAGTGGGCCGTGCGCATCGTCATCTGCGACAAGAAGGCCGACGAACAGGGTCGTGGGGCGTGGACGATGGATGGAAAGATGATTGACGTGCCGGTCGTAGGCAAAGCGAAGGCTGTTGTTGCGAAAGCCGAAGTTTGTGGATTCGATGTCAAGAGTTTGATGGAGAAGTTTAAAGATGAGCAGCCTCAGTGACGAATGACAGCACCGTGTATAGTAATAGCATTCAATGGCTCAGGTGTCCTAGGTACAAGTTCCTTTTTGCCATCCCAGATCAGACTATCCCTGCTGTCTACGTCGTTCTCGTACGCATTCCGTCCTCCCTGTTGCCTCGAAGATGTTGGTTCCTTCGGGCACGCCGGCAGTCGATTCGGGCACTCATTATGAGCGAGGAGGTATTCACCGCCGTGACACACGTATCGAAAGATCGGTGAGCCATCTATATCACAGGCTGATCAGCGTATGCATCTCCACGAAACACGAGGAGACCGTACATTCGGGAGCGAAGATCCATTTATCTCCTTTCCAAGACAGTCAGAGAACTCCCAAAATCGGATCGTACAGGTCGTGTCCGGATGGTCAGGACGTTGCTGTGTCTCGTCGTATAGGAATCCCGCCCACCGCTCATAATCCATCCAATTGTGACATTTCCTCTCATTGAGCACGTTATGCTTGCCAGGACCAATACCGGTGCCGGCTTTGCAGTCAGGCGAGTCGAATCTCGTGATTTTGAAGTGCAGTCTGGTGAGTCGACGCTCCGTAAACAGCAGGTCGGTGACCACGACGAATCCCACAACGATGAGGACTGCCATGGTTCCTGCGAGGATGCCGATGCGCACGGCCTTCGTCATTTTGATTGGAGATATGGAAGAATGCTGAAGTGTGGGCGTCGATGTTCTGCTTTCAGCCAGGTGAGCCTCGCTTACGGCACATAGCAGCGATAACAGAAATGTCATCAAGCTTGCCGCCTTCGATGGCTAGTCCTTCCTCGACAGCCTTCTCCATGAATGGAGAAGCTGCAAATGGATCCTCGGCAATCTTTCGTGCGGAAAGAACTATCTCTTGAGCCACATACTTCATTGCCTCTGCAAGGTTCTCCGGTCCATCTGAAGCATGTTGTTCTTTCCACGTCTGTAGAGCGGAGACGGCGAAGTCCGTCACCTCTTCTTCCCAAAGATTGTCGGTGACTCCATCGCTCATAGCGAAGACAATATCGTCCTCTTCAATGTCGATCCTGGTCATGACCGCGTTTTCCTGAGGAGTGTCCGGCGAATTTGTGCCCAGCTGCCTCGGACAATCAAAATAATGCCACTGCTCTTTCGTTGCGAATAGGACACTGGAGTCCTTCGGTCGAACCACGAGAATCTTACAGTCTCCCAGCTGCGTCGCATACACGACCGGACGCTGCCCATTCTCGCCCTCTGAGTAGTGCAATAGCGCCGAGCTTGCCGTCGTTGTCCCATGCCACTCATTCGGCTCGCTCAGCGCCTCTTTTGTGTGCGCATATGCCTCATCGAGGTATTTTACAGGGTCTGGATTTCCCTGTCCGCCATACAAGTCCTTTTCCGCTGCCGTCGCCCAGAAATGCGCTATCAGTCTGCTCCACAGCGGCGCATGTCCTCGCTCCCTTTGCGCCCATTGCCCCACGCCATCGTTCGTACAAATCAGTGATTCGCTTGCAAGCATCGCGTCATCACCATTCGTCACGCCGCGAATCATCTGCCCGTCGACTTGCGGTCTCCGATCCTTGGAGCGGTGGGTGGTACTCAGGGGATCACTGAAGCTGCCGCTCGGCGGGGAGAAGAAGGGCGGCGGAAAGGGTCGCGAACCTCTCTTCGCCCAGCCCGCATATCCCGTCTCGAAATAGAATGGACTCTGGCTCTTCTTCTCGGCGGATCCGTCAGGCACCGGCGTGCTCAGGCCGACCTGAGGATCTCTCTGTCGCTCGTGTCGTCGGGACGACTGTCCATCTTCGGAGCTCTTCTTGGCGGTGCATGTGCGGAATTGTCGCTGCGGCGCGGCAACCAAGGCGATTACTCGAGCAGGAGGTTTCGCACGCAGCACGATCATATCTCGGCGGTCGATAGGCGGTAGGGAGCCCCGAGGACTCCTAGGCAGCGCGTTGCCTGGTCATTCCCTGGAGATGGATGCCGAGGGATGATTACTTTAATCTGATCTGTATCTGTATTTCCGCGATATCAATAATCGTGCGGAGGGGTGTAGATGTCGGAGAAGTGTTGGGGAGAAAGTGGCAGTAAGAAGTCCGATAGTTACTCCTCAGTCCGACGCGCCGTCATGCCCGGGATGCGCACGGACCGGTTTCCCGAAAGTATACATCGACGACATGTCCCGAAAGTTAATCAATGTTGCATCAATATACAAACATGAATCTGTGCCCATTTACCGTCGTCAAACGAAGCGAAGATGGGGCACATGCATCTCACTCCTTTGACACATGCGACATCTCTCCGCCTGAGTTTCTGATACTTGCCTCGGCGCCTGGGAAAGCAGCCGACACTTTCACCGCCTTCACTGAGTTCATGGCGTGCAGCTCACGTCCGGCCACCGCGAGAATGGGTTTACTGTTCTGGGTCTAATTTTCTGGATTGACCGTTCTGGGTTTACTGTTCAGAGTCGCTCATAATCTTCCAACACGTGACTGATGCAACGAGTGGAAGTCAGGGATAGAGATGCTCACAAGGGATACCGATGGCTTCCCAGTAAGGAAACTCTGCCTTGGCTGGAATGACCGAAGGACACGACTAGGCTACAACACCACTCATGAGTGCGCAAACACAAGCTCAACCTGCCCCTTGGCCGCCTGTCGAGAGATATAAGTATTGTCCTGTCCGGAGCCTCCAGATGAAGCAAACAACAGCATCCCGTTTGCCGACAAGACTTTTCGCAAGTTTCCAACTTGTCGCAGCGTTGTCAAGATGTGGCCAATCAACAACGCTCTGAGTCTGGCATACTGCGCACCGATCTTTTACCTGAACGAAGATATTGTCTTTTTGATATGCGAGCGCCTCATTTCGGAGCCGACACCCGCCGACGACCGCCTTGCTCACGCCAAAGCTTTCTCCGAAACCTGTCAACGATTCCGATACATGGCAGCTCCCATTATCCTTTATAACGTCAAACTCCGCATGGATCAAGATCGAATCAGCGCTACTTTGCAAACTCTGGAGAGATGCCAATATAGTAAGAATTGCATCCGACGTGTCTCAATCGAAGATCCGAACCTCCCATCGGCCATGCTCGTGCGTGGACTCGCAAGAGCTTTGAACGGCATAAAAAGCTTAACGAGCATGGAGAGCTTGATCATGGACCTCGTACTGCCCCGATGGTCCGATATGCGAAGCGATTTCCTCGAAGAGGTCGGCGCATTCCCTCAAGTCAAGGAACTTCGGCTATGTGCCGAGCTTGCGCCCTTGGCGGAAAGATGTGTGAACGTCACGAGCCTCTTCGGAATTCTACTCCCATCAGACTGGACGATTATCGATGCTACCCGTCAAATGAACAACATCCAACGTTTTGATCTCAAAGCGTACTGGGAACCGGAACACCTTGAAGCTCTACTCAATGCCCGACCGGACTTACGGGAACTCGGGATGCTCTCGTTCGAGAATTTGGGTTACGAACGCGTGCAATACGCGCCACGATCATCGGACGAGAAAAATGGCAAAGCATACAGGGGTGACTTCCGAAGCATGCTAGCCGTACTCGCGCAATTCTGGAACCTGAGAACCCTTGCTATCACAGAGGTGCCGAGACTATACCCTTATCCGTACGAGCCGTACGAAAAAGACCCCACGATCGAAGTCCCAGAGCTTCCCGTGCAGCGCCTGCAGGACATCGTTGTTAATAACGTCTTCTGTGCTTGTCGGGCACTGAAAGTTTTGTGGATCGGGGAGTCCATAAGAGCGACTGTGGTGCGAGACTCGCTCGGTGGCGTTGACGGGGTCATGATCGGGTATGGAAAGAGACGCGCTGTTGCTGAGAGACGATGAGCAGTACCTCTCGAACAGGAGCAAAACGTAGGACAATCGCGAGTCGGATAGAACGAAATCAGCGTAACAGCCCTCGAGATAACGCTCCGATGTGCGAAGATGTTGTGGCCCTCGATCTCATTTGTGAGCTACTTCGACCTGTCAAGCTGTGAAAGCAAGACGCATAATAGCCTTGGAGCGATGGGGCTGGGATGGGGTCACTGGAAGGTCTACTGTGATCAAGCGCGAGGCAGTGAAGTCGTTTGGCATGGTTCGATGTTTGGAAACTGGGTTTGTTTCGGGGCATATGTCTCGAACTCATCGTTCAGTCTTCTGGTTGCTAGCTTCCACAGAAGACTGAGTTCATCAGACAAGAACATCGTTCAAACCCCGCAACACCCGAATCCTACTTTCCAGTCCTCCATCTTGTAAGAATCTCCAGCAATTCTGCCAAGATATTATGCTCGCGGAGATATCAGAATCTCCTCTGCCATTCAGGCTCGGCCGAGCTCATGTGATCTCATCCCTAAGATCCCCGTCACCTTCATGCTGATCAAACTTCTCACGGGCTCACATTCCTGGCTTGTTGAACCCTGTTCTCATCGCCTCGTCGCAGAGAGCCACTCTCTCAGTACTCACTTCATGATTCGGACCGGAGGGGAGCCATCTATTCGAATCAAATTTACATTCGACAATTTTCTGGCAACTCTTTAGGATCAACCATTAAAGACAAGAGCGTGTTGTAGGTTCCGCCTCCAATGCTCGAGATATACTCATGGAGAAGCTGGTAACAGGACTTAGATCACCATAGATGAGGATGTTCTCCCTCTTTGGCTCTGGAGTTGTAGTCAGAGAAGACCGTGACAGAACCCGAAATGCATATTGAAGACACCCACGACCGTTGCGAGGTTAGCAATGACTCTGGCTCTGATCTCGAACGTAGTCTCGAATTCTAGACTGGCTGCTAAAGAAGCACGCCTAAGGAAAACCTGTCGTTCGACTACAGGCTATCATCTCGTGGAAACTTCATCACAACTGGCAGTGTTAGCTAGCTTACTTTTGTGCCACTTGCGGTACGCGAGGTATCTGCCTACGATGTTCGCGAGGAAATGGCCTCCTAATGCTGCTATATTTATCTTCTAAAGCTTCGATTCAAACGGACTGAACGCAACGACTTTTAACTCTCGCCAGAAGTTCTCCAGATCCTGGAGTTGGCGTGCCTGCTGGCCCAGCCTCAATATTGGCGCATTTCCCCTGCACTCCACCTGCTTGATGAGGCATCTTGAGTTGCACTTGTCGTTCTATCGCATTCATTAGTATCTCTCTTGCTTACATGTTTTGCTCCATGGAATTCCTGAAACCCTAAACGAATCTTGTTATTAATTCCCGTTTAGGCAATGCCAGGAGTCCACGTTCCGTTAAACATGTAAATCCGCGCCCACAGAATCCTGAATCCGAGCGTGATATCTCTCGCCTTGTAATCGAGAATGGCGGCACATGGTACCACGCACTAAGCGCGCGAGGTAATATCTGCAAGCGAAAGCCCGTTAACGAGAGGCGTTGGTGGCGGTAAACTATATCGAATTACCCTTTGCTTATGTGACCGTTACCGCTACAAGGATATTCCTTGGGTGTGTTTCGACGCACTTTGATTGGCAGGTATGTTGACGTAAGTGTACCCCCCAAGGGGACCGTACAAAGCTGCAGAGCTCGCTCTGCCTTTGCAAAACAGCGAGTGGTTTGTTCTCACGCTCAACGATTCATCATGTGGGTCTATACACTTTCCGTTGCTCTGCTTGCTCTGCAGTGTCATGCAACTCCCACCTCCGCCGACGAAGAGACTTCCTGTACGCCTGTCTGTGGCTCGAAGACCGCTGCCTGCTGCAGCGGCGACGCCCCATTCGGAGACTCGACGATTTTTGCAGTGAGCTTGCCTTGGGGCTATGCGAGGGACCATTGCTGATCAACTGCAGTGCGGGCGATACGCAGCGAGCAATACCCTCTGCCAGACTTCTTCGAATGTCTATTGCTGCGAGAGCCTTTTCGTGAGTCTTCATCACTATCATTGCCAATCGATACCGAATTCTTACACTTTATGTTCGTAGCTCGATTCCTGTTTTGGGGCAATGAAGCCGTGCGAAGGATCTTGAATAGCGCAAGCAGACTTGTTCGCATTTCGAGAGGAACGAAACCAAGTCTTTGAGACATAACTTTCGACCAAGAGGGAGAAATCAGTATAAGAGACATGATAGTCCCATCCATACTACGAGCGGTAGCATTGATCGGGATTCGCTCCACTCTCGATTTTCGATTCGCCTGCCATGCCGAAACAGCATCCGGTACGTGTGAGATTCTCTTGTCCTTGATAAGAAGTGCCAGGACCCCTAATGTCTTGAACAATTTAAGAGAAGCCCTGAGAAATATGGGTCGGTGAATTTCACGGTTTCAAAGTTGAAACTAGTGACGCGAACCTGAGCTGCGTCTGGAAACATTCTGTGCACAGAATCGCCCAAGTGTGCAAGTTTTGCGTCGGCGCTGTGCCACATCGATCAGTTTGACGTTTCTGCCAGCCTCCATCGATCGCGCAATGTAGCCTTGCTTAGAACGGTGTTCAAAGACGGCGCCCATTCTTAACACAATCCGCTCCCTTCTCCGGCGCGCTTCGTGACTTCCTCCTCCATGCCCACTTTCTATATTCGGTTAGGTGTGTTGTGGGATAGAGGAAGAAAGGAGACTTCATCTCTACAGCGCGCTTAAGGGCAACCCGCGTCCGTCTTAGTATGTGGCTGTAAAAGCGAGAGGTCGAGCAAGCAGTCGGTAGAAAATTCGAGCTGTACTCAGAACAAGTACTAACCCGAGTTAATAGTCACAACCCTCCGGAATCTCAATAGACGAAGACATACACTACTTTCCCCAGGTTAAGAGCTACCATCGGGCGCATGACCTGTGTTGATCAAGAGCTCCAAAAGTCGGCATGGCACCATGTGGAGCATCGGCGAGCTTTGGCGGGCTGTTCTCTTGTGGCGGAAGACGTATGGATTATTCTTAGTCCGCCAAAAAGCAGCCTTGCATTCTGGGGGCTTTCCAAGTCGATGCCGGTGGCATCGATCAACTCGCAGGGGCTGGGGTTGACTAGGAAAATGCTAGCCCGCGAAGGAATTTACGACCAACTCTACGCAAGCTCTGATCAGTTCCATTCAGCATCCGCTCGAAAGTCTCGTCCAAAGTCGCCGGGACAGATTATAGAGCACTTTCCACAACCTTGCGCCGGGTGGCCTTCAGCTTCTTTACCTCCTGCAATTGGCAGCACACCCATCGAAACCTACGTAGGAGCAAGATGCTAGTCCTTGCGGTCAGCTGTAGGGAAGTCGCACGCCAACTTTGACATTTTTAGCTTGAAGGTGGGAATCCCCCGTTTGCGCTGCACGCTGATTTGTTGCAATAGGGGAAGCATTTATCAGCCATAGATTACTTTACTCTGCCTCACAACACTTCTGAGATACACGTCTGAGTGGTCACGTTGGTAATACCCTTCGCATCATTGTACTAAGAACTATGGACTACATACAGCACAATCAGTTTACTTCCGTATTAAGTGTCATTCGGCACTTCATTGGGGACAAAAGAGATCCCCCTAATCCGCTACGTTCTAGCCACACATGGCTCACTCTGTCTACCCACCTGGACTACCTGAGTGATACGGAGGCAGAAGATATTAGAGAACAGTTCGAAAGCTTCTCTGATTGTCAGCTAGTTTTCTGGTCTGGCATACGTCGAGAGCAGGCCCAAAGATGGGCGGACAAGCGCGGCTTGTTCACGCTGACAACACTGATGGGACCGTTGATGGAGCCTGCAAATCCTCGGTGTCCGAAAAAGTCGAAGAGTCCAAAAGCATGGAGCACATACGTCAAGGGCGCTGCGATAATGTTTGCACAGTATGCGTGCGGAGCTGGGATCATTAGACTGTTGACCTTGCCCCCTCCCGAGCGGGATAACCTACGAGCTGAGTCGACGTTCCTTACTTTAGAGGAGCCGATTCTCAAAGGAAAAGCCGGCGAGTGTCGTGCTCTACGAATCATATACACCCACCCAATGGTTCCAGGCGCGGAAGGTTTCGCATACGAGCTCTGGCCTAACGACTGTACGTCCGATTGGTTACAACATTATGAAACAGAGGGAAAGGAGATAAATGAAGCGAAGGTGGCGGAGAACGCGAAGAAGGCAACTATAGCTACGAATACTGCGGAGGCTACGATAGCGGTTCGACCGATGGAGGCTAAGGGGGGAAAGGCGGCGAGTTCGGCGCTAATAAAAGTAAAGAAAAAGAAGAAGAAGACGAAAAAGGCAAAGAAGGCAAAGAAGGCGACGGCGTCCGCGGAGGCCACGGGAGTGAAGAAGACCAGAAGAGGGAAAGAGGAACAAAAGGCAAAAAGGGCAAAGAAGGTACCGGAGGCGAAAAAGGAAAAGAAGGCAAAATAGGTGGCTAAGAGGGTTATGTGATCTGGGAGAGAGCACTGCAAGTAAGCATGTAGACCACGACATGAACCCTTGCTTGTTCCTCCCTTACAGTCATCTATTCACAGTCGAGGCTTCTTGAGCAAGTCTCAGATCTATAAGCGGTTCTAGACTATACCACTGACTCCAGCCTTCGCAGGACTCAGACTTATCCTTAAACGCTTGGCCAATTGCAAGACCTTCTTCGTGTCGCCATGCAAAGTCTTGGATTACTAGAGCTCACAATGTTTATCGATGCGCTGGATGAATTTGAAGAAGTACAAGTACGTGACATCGTATGATTTCTAAAGGATCTTGGAGAGTATTGCCAAGCCTACGAAGGTCGACTTTCTGTACGCTTTGCTAGTTGTCAGGTGGGCGTTTTCAGATGTCTGCTCTTTCTGCAAGCGCAAAGGCCGTCGGGATACCACCTGAATCAATTGTACAAAGCCACTTTCGCAGACGATCGCCCACTTGTCGACGCACGCGCAATAATCTTACAAGTCCTTCCATGGTCAAGCTGCGAACGCAGGCTGAGGAAGAGACAGACGGGACTAGTACTGGTGACGAGGACGGGCAGGAGGTCGTTGATGACTAGAGCGAACAGAGCGATGTGTAACTCCAGCTGGAATCGAGCACGGGATAAGAGAGACCATAGTATAGACCACCGCCAGCCCTTCGCCGGAACCTGAGAGGTGTCCATAAATATCTCAGGGATAAGCAGCCCAAGAGAAATGTGATCGCAGAAGCGTGCCGGCTTGGAACGCCAATGCGGCTCGAGCAGTTCCTATGATTTCAGTATCTTGATGCCAAGTCTGTGGAAATGTCCTCTCATTTTATGAAATGAAGCCCAAGTGACTTAAGACCTGAAGAGCCTGGATACCAACGCTCCACCCACATTCCTCGCCAGAGACCCGGAATATAGACCTCTTTCCACGAGTCCGCTCGCCTGACTGAACTTGTCACATCTCGAGAAGGCCAAGGTATTCGTGATCGTAAGAACCAATGCAATCGCTGCAAGCGTGTCAGCCAGTATCCAATCTTCTCTCCCAAGTCCTCCATGTATTGAACTCACCAACAAGCGTCAACCAAATGAACTTGAATCGTACAAACGCCACTATCGCCAACGCGATCCAGAGCGCCGGCTGGACGTATAACGCCAACCAAAAGAACCTCTTGTCCGTTGCGTTTACAACTTTTCCGCCCGGCTCATTCGCCTGTGGTGCGCTCTCGAAGACCCAATGGCTGGCTCCACTTTGCGGGTTGACTTCATTCCACCATCTTAGCCCTACCAGGCGACGACCGGCGATGTTTTTGAGGTAGTAGAAGTCTGCAGCAAGGAGGAGAATCGTGATGATGAAGATGAGGACGAAGTTGTCGACGAAGAGCATGCCGAGGAGGTAGACTAGTACGGAGGCTGTACAGATGGGCGGTTAGTCTCGTCACGGGATATGAGCTTAGATAGGTAGGTATACCTGCTCTGAAGGAGAGGAAGATGACGAGGGTGATGGGGTGGGCGCTCAGCCTCCAATTGAGGGAGCCGGCGGGTGCATCGAGGTCGGCCATTGTCGCCGCGCTGGGATAGGTTTGGCTCCGTGATCTGCTGGTTGGTTATCGCATCGCTTGGAATCGGTTTGGTATTGTGAATGGGAGGTGAGATGGCGTGTTGGCCGGAATTTCACATGCGAGCGTCGCGTCCTGGTGGAAGTGAACAGCTTGAGGTCGACGATAAGGTTTAGCCCCGGATCTATCCGGCGCTAGTACAGCCTCATCTCTCAAGGCCCCTTGCGTTCGGATCTTCGTTCCTCCACCAACAACTGCTCCTGCTATCCCATCATCTCTGACATACGCATCACGATATCTGGCTCTGCAACTCTACGATCACGGCAGGGTGTTTGCTATACGATGGCTTCCGGCCGCACGAACAATCCATCGTGGGAGAGGTGCTCAGTCGCCAGCTAGATCGTCTCGATATCCGCGATGATGCGGTATTCACGTTGGAAGCGAGGTCCGCTCCACAAGAAGCCTCAATGAGGAGTGTATAGAGCTTATATTTGAAAGATCGCAAGAATGCTCGGAACACTTTTCTGCACGGTTGCACGCCTAGTCGAGCCCTGAAAATGGCCAGGTTCGATCGCATCATTAAGAAACTTGCATTGGATACCTTATTCAACGAATCTGTAGTATGTGTCCCAGTTCTCGGTAGCAAATTCGAACTCAAAAATGCGCAGAGTTCGCAAACACATCGCTTCTTGCAGTCGAAGAACTCTCAATCTGTACAAGCACACATCTACCGACCGAGAAAGAGCTAGCTCGCATCATGCGTCCTTTATATCGTCTCAGACGTATTGTGTGGACTCCTTGGCGATGCCTCGAGCGATCACGCCCGTGAATCGCCAGATGCAAGTATTCTGGAAGCAGTCCGCGCCGTTGGAGCTGGATCACTTGGCTTCTATAATAGAGTACTTGCACTCGTAATTGCTACCAAGTATCTGTAGGACCATTGAGCTTTAACTACACACGGATTGTCTGACTTCTTCAGTTTTCGAGGGTTTCGCAATGGCCATATTAAAATAGACGCAGTTTGCCAGGGTCACGGGCTCGTTAGGGGACCCCGATGAAAGCTTTCTTCAGGCACGAATGGCCCATGGAATTGAGTATGTACACAGAGCGCTCCCAAATCAACGCAATGGGGCAAGGGAGACCGTCAAGCCGCCATCGGACAGAGATGAAGTGTGGTATGACCACGAGTTGCTCGCCAACGGCACGGTTGCGCCATTGACAGTAGCCGGGGCTCCACAACGAGCCGAAATGCAGCAAAACGCAGAAGCCGAAGCAATGGAATATATCATCAACGCACCAATGACTACCGACCGCGATCCTGGACCTGAACAGGCATTGCGCTGGCACCATCAAGATAACAATTACACCTGCAATGAGGTGGATGACTTTGTACGCTCGTATTGGACGTTTGATCTGCGAGAGCAGGCTCGCGTCTTCTGGGGCTTGATGGATGAGCCCTTTGAGAAGATCACATATTCAGAATTCTCTGCTCATCGGGATGCGGTGTCTCTCGAAGGAAGAGCGATATTTGAGGCGAAGGCGAAGGAGATGATCGCTTCTGCTCCCTTACAGGCATCTCAATAGTAGTCGTTCAGCGAGAAAGCTGGCGGGATTGCCCCTTGGGCACTGTGACAGTGAGGGCTCTCGACGAGTGCATCTCGGTTTGTATAGCTGGATATCGCAAATGAGAGGAGCAAACGTTTGGATCAGTGCTCTTCGAAGGCCTCTACATATCGCGGAGTGCGTTCCCATCGAATACCATTCTTCGGGGGCTGGACTGGTCCATTTAGCATAGATTTGGGTTAGCGTCGGGAGTACCCGCTACTAGCTGTCTACACGCCTATCTTTCTCTACGATCCATCATCAACCACACATTCCGGTCACCTTTCCATCAACATACTTCACACCAGCAAAGAACTATTTCTTGAAGCATTCATGGAATATGAGGCATCAAAAGTCGGCTTATGACCATCACGAGCCCCACCTCGCGTTCAGCGGAACATCACACCCTCACTCGAGATGCAGCTTGCCTTCGCTTAGGATCCTGTGGCTTGCAGAAAGGCTGGCCCCCAAATATCTCGTTTATCGGACCCGAATACGTTGCCGTTCCTCGACTTCCACGACACGACCGAGTACAGTCTCCCTCTGCCTTCTTCTCGCGACGGATGGGAGTCAGAAAGTGTCTCTGGAACCGCTGGAGATAGGTTTAGCATCTCATTTCGCACATTGCCATCACGAGGCGACCCAAACGCCTATCTTTAGGTACCGAATTTCTTATTATGCGACCCGTGAAGGTGGAGCACAGCTGCAGAGAGTTGCACAAGGCTATGCTCGGAGCGCATGATCTCAACACGGCCGGACTCTTCGATAGGGAAACGATCAACGCTCGTGAACGCCCCTTTGCAATGCAAAGCAGGCCCTTATTGGACGTCGCGACTTGCATGCGCCGTACTTTCGCAGCGTTGAATGTAGCCCCAATACAGCGATAAGCTACGAGGGGGTCCCTCTCCAGCATCTCAGGTTCAAGCTGACCGGACCGAATCAGAAAGAATTCGGTGGTACTTCCTACTGTGGAGGCGAAGCATTCACACTGCCCCGAGGGCTAAGCCGACTTGAACATCTCTGAGACCCTGTGGATGGTCTCTGTCACATTAGAGATCGCTGTCTAGCGGCCGGCGTGGGATTAAATGATGCTCAGCCTGATTATTGATACTTGTCGACAAGGCTGCGTCTCGACCGGTCCTAGTATCATGCGCATTTTGTGCGATCTTTCATCGCATAATAAGCTGAGCTAACTCACATCGGCACTGTGGGCTTCTCTCATCAAGTCTACGTTGGCTGCGAAACATTGCCCTCGCATGCTTTTCGGCTCCTCTTCTTCAAATATTTAGCATCTTCTGCAGCGATTCCAAACTTCCTCTCATTGGAGACTTTACAGATCATCTCAATGGCTTTTCAGGACCAAGACGCCTTCGACAATCGTTTCGATACGGTACCGAAGGCTTCAGATGTTGCAGCGAAGCGCAAATCTGATGACGGTAACGAAAGACCTTTGAAGAAGCCACGCTTTGTTGCCGATTACGGCACCGCTGCTGTAGACTCACCAACGAAGATGAGCTACGGAGAAGGTGCCAGCGAAGACTCCGATGAAGAAGGTTGCATAGAAGACTTGGGAAGCGCACCTTTCATTCCTCAAGGAGTACAGCAAGTGACGCCGGCAATGGAATCCCCGCATATTAGGGACGGAGCTTACACTCCAGAGCCTGGGGAAGGCTACGATCGTCCACAAGACCAAGCCATCGGCGGAGCTACCCCGGACGCAGAAGAGACAGTCTTGTCGACTACGTCCCGTGCCGGTGACTCTGCTGATGGCGATATAGGCGGACGCAGACCATCTAGAGTGCTCTGGAAGCGCTCCAAACTGGTGGGGTCATCATTGACCCTCGCGCGAAATGCAGGATTCCCAAGACCTGTGCTCTGTTCAGGTTGCGAAGATCTCAAGTTGTCTTTTGACAAGTTTGTCATTGACAATAGGCGCTCAACTGGACAACGCATCAATGGAAGACCGGGGTTTTGGGGCAAGAGGCGAATGGGAACATTTCAAGAGATTGAACAGCGTACGAGTTGCCCACTATGCAAGATGCTAATCCGCTCGGCGAAGGATACGCCTACGCAAGTATCAACTCCAGAGATTTCCAAAGCAGTCTGTAAGCTTTACTGGACAGTGGATGGGAGGGAAAGAGTGCCGAGATACGCTCAAGAGGGTATAGTGCCGGTCGAGAAAACAGAACAACCTGGAAGTACACAGCAACCTGAGCCATCAAATTCACAGCAACAAAAGAGTCAGGTACGAACGGTGAAGCGGACTCGGCGACTCGCGATTGAGTGGACTCACAGAGCAGACGTTTCCTACATTGTGCTCGTCGCTCCCGACGGCAAGTTCACTGTTGACGGAAGAATAAATAAAGGCGAATGGGAGCGACCGACCCTTTTCCTTGGCAGATTACTTACTGGATTGGATCAAACCAATTGGGACAAGATCAAAGAGTGGCAACAGATATGTATAGACCACCACACGACTGATTGTGTCGTCCCTGGAGAGTTGCGCGAAAGGTTTGACACGGTCCTTCGCCAGAGTCCATTCTTCCGCGTTATTGATGTCGAGAAAATGTGCCTGACTTCGCTGCCCGAGGATGAAGACCAAGATGTTCGCTACACGGCGCTCAGCTATACTTGGGGCGAGGAAACCCGGGTCAGCGGCGGTCACGGGCCTAGCAAGAGCAAGACCAAGCCTCGATTCAAAGCCACGCAGGAGAATCACAAACGACTGATGAGAGACAACGGTATTCGAGATGTGTTGGACAGTCTTCCTACTTCGATACAGCACGCGATCAATCTGACAGAGCACTTGGGTATTCGTTATCTCGTGAGTAGAGTCATTGGTGGAAGGCACACCTTCTTGTCCGAGACAACTGCTTACCTTCTATCTATCGCGTTTAGTGGGTCGACTCTCTATGTATCGTCCAAGACTCAACTCGAAGTTGGACCCTCAATGCTAATGTTATGGACGTTGTCTACAGCAATGCAGAAGTGACCATATGCGCAGCCGATGGAGACGGCGATGACGAAATCGGCCTGAAGGCTCTATTCCCTTCTGATCGCTATACGAGACATGCGGAGGAGCATACTATCGACTATCCAGCACAGCCAAGTCCTTTGAAGCTCATCCTTTCGCGGCCCTCTGAGTCTTACATCGCCCGCACCAGATGGAATACTCGTGCCTGGACATTTCAAGAACGGCTATTGTCACGCAGATCACTCATCTTCGTTGCCGGACGAGTATACTTTCAATGTCGATCGACCACAATGTCAGAAGACATTTATTCCGAAGAGGCGAAAGCAGGCTGGTCTGTTGAACTTCAAGGAGCTCCCGCCCAAACCCTAAACGGACTTTCAACAAATCCAGTCAGCGTGTACAAAGACTGCTTAGGGATGTACACGTCAAGAGAGCTTTCATATGAAAGGGACATCCTGGCAGCTTTTGGCGGCATCGCTAACATCATCCGCTCTTCCCTTGCCATTGATTGTAACCCAATTTTTGGTCTGCCTCCTTCTCATTTTGATTACGCCCTCCTCTGGGAACCAGAAGAACAGCCCACTCGGCGGGTCGTAACCGGTAAACATTTTCCCAGCTGGTCTTGGTGCGGTTGGAAAGATAAAAGAATATGCTACAAGCCTGCGACTGTCTCGGGGTTGGAAATTGACCTGCATGAGTGGCTACTCAACCACACTTGGATCGCGTATTACATCAGAGACGGGCAAGGTGACTTGCGATTAATATGGGACCCTCGGAAGCATAAATCGAACTGCGACATCGATTCTCGATGGGCCGGATATGATTCTCCCCAAGAAGGGCTCCCTGGAGGCAGTAAAATGAAACTTGACGATGTGTACCCCAAATTCGACTATCACGGAAGGCCATTCAACAGGTCCACACCTAAGCGAGGCCGCGTAGAGCACTCGGGAAAGCAATTCTTCCGCAAGTACGGCGAGTACATGAGCCATGTCAAGGTTCTCAAACCTGGCGAAGGGCCCCGAGCTCTGGACCAGCCCCTGGAAGATGAGTCGATTCTTCAATTTTGGACCTGGTCTGCCGTCTTCTATCTCGGAGAGGAGGCAGCTGGTGAACCTTTCAACAATGGTGAAATGGTTGGCGCTGGACTAAAGCGCTTCGCTATTCTGGACGCGGACGGCGATTTTGCCGGAACTTGCGTGCTCAGTGAGGTATGGACTTCAGCAGCTCGGGAGGATAAACCACAAACGTTCATTGCTCTTTCTGATGCGAGAGAATTCGACGGATCCGAATATGGTTGCTGGAGCTTCTACAATGAGCATCAGGGAGACACGAACCCTTGGCAGCTCTATAATGTAATGATGCTATGCAATGAAGAGGGCGTCGGCTACACGGAAACGAAAACCGAAGTCGCATATAGAGCGGGGCTGGGCAAGGTGTACAAGTCGGCGTTCGACTACGGCATGAACAAAGAGAACTGGAAAGAGATCATCCTGGGCTGAGTGACTGTGATATGGGGCGTTTCGCTTCACACCCCCGGCGGCCACCGTTTCATACAGAATGCTATCATCGCGATAACCACGATCTCAATTGCGAAGAACATTGTCGCCATCTCGTATCCAATCTTGAACCTTGGCGCTTCTCCGGACGGGTATGTGAACAGAATCACCCAGGCACTCATTGCGTACGAAAATGCTTCTGTCCAGCCAATGGTGATCACTCTGTGTTCGCTAGAAAACGAACAGGCTTCATTGATCATTGTTATGATCAGAGCCCCAGCTCCGGTCTCTCCATAAGTGAGCATCCAACCAGCCAGCATTGCGGAAGTGTTATCTTCCGGGTACACGCAGAGAATGATGGTTCCGATCATAGAAAGAATACATGCAATGCACACAATCCACCATCGCGTCCGGTAGTAGTCGCTTACCCACGCGAAGATCAGAGCACACGCGATCTGGTACCCATAGCCGGCTGTCGGAATCTCGTTCACTTGCTGCACGGTATAATCCCCAGTACTCTTCAGGTAAATGTTGAAGTAGCTGTAGATCCGGATACCTAGGACATGGCATGCGAAAGCGATGGGGAAAAGCCACATCGGCCACATGCTCAGGGCTTCTTTGACGATTCTCCACGTGAGCTTCGTGGGTGGCTTACGGCCTATTTGTTCCATCCTCTGGATTGCCATTTCACGGTCTTTCGGTTTGAGCCAGACGGCACGAGTGTTGGTTGGGCTGTCTGGCACTGCGAAGAAGCCGTAAAGTGCCACAGGAATGCCAATGACTCCGTCGAAGATCATCAACCAGCGCCATGCTGCAAGACCGGAGACGCCATTCATTCCGGAGTACAGCGCTGACTGGAGGTAGCCGGAGAACATCGAACCCGCTGCGGAAGTTGCGATGAAAATTGAAGAACGCTTTCCCAACTCCTCTGGTTTGTACCAATTGCCCAGGAGAGTGAGGATTCCAGGAAATGCACTGGCCTCGAGGAGACCGATGAAGAATCGAAGGACAAGAAGTGTTTTAAGATCCTTGGCCCCAGCCATGCCCATGACCAGAATGCTCCAACCGAATTCGCATGCTGGGAGCAGTATTGAGGGTCGCAGCTTCAGCATTATAAGCTGAGAAGCGAGGTTGCCGATCACATAGCCTGTGGTGAACATCGTCTGGAGCAGATTGTAATCTTGCCCTGACATGTTGATGTCTTCTTTCATGCCGGTTACATAGGCGTTGGTCACCTTTTGCGCGGATTAGCACTCTGGCTGGAACATTTTCACTCCATACCAAGCAGTACTCACATTGTTCTGATCGAGATACTTGACGAAGTATCCAATACAGACGTATGACATGATGAACCAGTCTGCTTTGTTGACAAAGCGTCGCTCTTCGGGAGACTTGTCCAAGGAGTCCCATATAAGCCTTCGAAGCCAACTGCCCTTTGTCCTGGAGACATCTTGTGGACTGGCATCGTCAACGGACGCATCTACAGGGAGGGCGTTAATGACTCCTTTCGAATTTGACTTCTCGATCTCGTCCTGAACGTCGGGCATCTTGACCTTCCATTGAACGGCACAACGGTGTGCTGCGAGTCGAGTGCAGTACGTCGTCGACGCAAAACTTGTCGTTGGCGCCACCCAGTGAGCACGCCATTCTTTCTAGCCAGCATTCGATGCCGATATCCACTTTGAGTAGGTAGCTTGGCCTATCATGGTGCGGCAACGGACCTTGCCCGAAAATCGGCGACATGGGTTCTGGCAAATCTGCGGCAGTAAATCAACCTCACCTGGCAGACTTTGATCTGTGAGTGAGATGCGAGTACCATTATAATCTTGTTCCGATCTACCTGGAGAAATCACAGCCATGGTCCCGGATTTCCTTCCTGATGGGAGCAGCGGCAGCGAGCACAAGGCCAGTGGAATACGGATTTCAATCGACCGGGGAGGTACATTTTGCGACGTTGTTGCAGAGATTCCAGGACAGGATGATCTGGTCTTCAAGTTATTATCCGTAGATCCAAACCACTATGCAGATCCAGCAACGGAAGCGATCCGGCAAATACTAGAGCATGTTGAAGGCAGGACTATCCCAAAAGACGAAAAGCTTGACGGATCGAGCATTGAGAGCTGCAGGATCGGAACAACGATCGCGACCAACGCACTTCTCGAGCACAAGGGCGAAAAGTTCGCTTTCGTGACGACGAAAGGCTTTCCGGATGTCTGTGTTATTGGCGATCAGACCAGGCCGAAGCTGTTCGATCTCCGAGTCGAAAAGGCAAAAGCTCTGCACGATGTCTCAATAGAAATTGATGAACGAGTTACGATCGAGGATCATGATTTGAATTCTTTCCCCAGAACAGAAGAAGAGCTTCTACAGTCTAAGGATGTGGTCAAGACGCCCAGTGGCGAGTTTGTCAGAATCTTGAGACGACCAGACGAGACAATAGTCAAGGCCCAGCTGATGGATCTACGGCGTCGAGGATATCAGTCGCTTGCTATCTGTTTGATGCATGCCTGGGCGTATCCAGAACATGAAATGATGGTTGCCGCGATTGCGAGGCAAGTTGGCTTTCGGCATGTCACCACATCACACGAGACACACCCGGCTATCAAACTCCTTGATCGAGCCACGGCAGTCTGCTCAGAAGCGTACTTGTACCCGATTGTACAGGACTATATTTCACAATTCGAGGCTGGATTCGAGCGAATGCCCCAACGAGTTGAATTCATGTGCTCCGACGGAGGACTTCGCCAATCCCGCAAGTTCACCGGTAATGGGGCCTTGTTGAGCGGGCCTGCGGGAGGAGTCGTTGGCGTAGCTCAGTCTTGCTACGACTCATCGGAGGGCACGCCGCTCATTGGGTTTGACATGGGCGGCACAAGTACTGATGTATGTCGTTACGATGGCAAATACGACTTTCTCCAAGAGACAAAGATTGCGGATCGGAATATTATTGCGCCTATGCTTAACATCGCTACTGTCGCAGCTGGAGGCGGATCAATTCTAAGTCTCCGCAATGGATTACTCGCTGTGGGCCCGGAGAGCGCGGGAGCATACCCAGGACCAGCTGCGTATCGAAACGGCGGACCTCTGACAGTGACAGATGCGAATCTATTCCTCGGTAGATTGGTGGTATCTTCGTTCCCAGCTATCTTTGGCAAGGACGCAAACGAATCCTTGGACGTAGATGTAGTGAGGAGCAAGTTCATCGAGTTGACGCATGAGTTTAAGAACCAGACCGGGCAAGACATGTCTCCGGAGGATCTCGCGTTGGGCTTTCTTGACGTTGCCAATGAAGCCATGAGCCGACCAATTAGGAATACGACTGAGGCCAGAGGTTATGCCCCCGAAAAGCATCACCTGGTCTCCTTTGGCGGAGCAGGTGGACAGCACGCTTGCGCTATTGCTGACAAGCTGTGTATCACCACTGTGTTGATTCACAAATACTCCTCGCTACTCTCCGCCTACGGAATATCTCGGGCACAGCTTCAGCACGAAGAGTCCATTCCATTTTCCGGAGACTGGTCACCTGATGTGTTAGCCAGGATACGATCACAGACCGAGTTCTTGAGAAAGAGAGTGGAGCAGATATTGATGTCTCAGGGAGCGAGATCCGATACCCTGGAGTACAGCGAGGCTGTTAATCTGCGGTACTTCGGTACTGACACATCACTTACGATCTCGCAACCCGCGGATGAAGACTATGGACGAGCTTTCGTAGAGGAACATCGAAGAGAGTTTGCATTCACAATGGAGCGAAGAATCGTCGTTGATTCCATCAAAGTCAGAGGTCTGGGCTCATCTGGCTCATCCAATATTTCCAAGCCGTTTGTCGACGAGCCGAAGGGGACGATAAGTGCCGGAAATGTTGCCCCAACCTCTGAACACCAACCAATGTATATGGACAAAAGCACACAAGATGTGCCTGTATATCGGCTCGCAAACGTTCAAAAAGGGTGTCAGATCCATGGCCCTGCTTTGGTCATCGATGAGACTCAGACCGTCTTCGTCGAGCCCACATTCACAGCGTGCGTTCTCAAGGACCACCTCGTAGTAAAGAAATCACAGGCAGTGGCCACGAAACATCAGACGTCCGGTTCTAAGCTCAATGCAGTCGCCCTGTCAGTTTTCGCTCACCGGTTCATGGCTATAGCCGAACAGATGGGTAATACACTGCAACGGACCAGCATCTCATCTTCCATTCGAGAACGCCTGGACTTTTCGTGTGCCATCTTCTCTCCAGAGGGCAAACTCGTCGCCAACGCGCCCCATATTCCGATTCATTTAGGGAGTATGCAATTCGCGATCCAAGCGCAGCACCGCCACTGGGAAGGGAGACTGAAGCCTGGAGACGTCCTACTCACCAATCATCCCGAGTGGGGTGGAACACATCTACCTGACTTGACGGTGGTTACGCCTTGCTTTGTCAAGGACGAGATTGCATTTTACGTTGCCAGTAGAGGGCATCATACAGACATTGGCGGCAAAGGGATCACGAGTATGATGCCTGAAAGCAAAGAGCTCTGGGAGGAAGGTATCAGCGTTGAGAGCATGAAGATTGCCAGTGGGGGGATCTTCCTCGAAGACGAAGTAAGAGCGGCGTTTGATCGAGCTGGACAGTATCCCGGATGTGCTCCAACGAGGAGAATACAGGACAATCTGAGCGATTTGAAGGCACAGATGTCTGCTAACCAGAGAGGCTTGACGTTGATCGAAAAGCTGTGCTCGGAAGCAGGTCTCCCAATGGTTCACCAAGCAATGGAGGGCATCCAAGCGAATGCTGAGTTTGCCGTTCGATCGTTCCTGAGGGGACTCGCGGAGAAACACCCGAACCCGCTATCTGCCACAGATCACTACGACGACGGAACACCAATTCATCTCACCATCACTATCGAGCCCTCGGACGGCTCCGCGACGTTCGATTTCTCCGGCACAGGCCCTCAAATCTGGGGCAATTTCAACTCTCCTATATCCATCACCCACTCCGCCGTGATCTACGTCTTGAGGTGTCTCCTTAATCTAGACATCCCACTCAACGAAGGCTGTCTCGCTCCCATCACCATCGAAGTTCCCAAAAATTCCATCCTCAACCCCGGCCCGGGAGTCGCCATCTGTGGCAGCACCATCGCCAGTCAGAGAGTCGTAGACACCATCCTCAAAGCTTTCGGCGTCGTAGCTGCCTTTCAAGGCTGTGCGAGCAGTCTCGGCTGGGGAATTGGCGGCCGTGACCACTTGACCGGACAGATCGTGCCTGGCTGGAATTTCGGAGAAGCTATCGGAGGCGGATGCGGTGCCGGACCGGGATGGCATGGTGAGCATGCGACGCAAGTCCATTCTACGAATACGCGGATGACGGATCCGGAGGTTGTGGAGAAGAGGACGCAGGTTCTCGTGAGGAAGTCGGTTGTCAGAGGAGGATCGGGAGGGAAAGGAAAGTGGTGTGGTGGGAATGGGGTCACGAGGGAAATTGAGGCTCGCATGCCCATGAAGTTTAGTATCTTGAGTGATCGGAGGGTGTTTGCGCCGTATGGTATGGTAGGTGGTGATGATGGGTTGCCGGGCAAGAATGTTGCTTTTAGGAGAGACGGGACTGGTGGTTTGGTTGCGGTTAGTCTTGGTGGGAAGGCGGTGGTCACACTGGATGAGGGCGAATATATTCAGATCAATACGCCTGGAGGCGGAGGATGGGGTAAACCAGAAAAGTAGATGGCAACAGCAGCAGAATCAAAATATCGACTTTTGAGACAGCCGTGAGCTTTCTCAACGGCAGTACAGTATGATATCTTAAACATAGATAAATACAGATTCAGCCAGCGATTTCATCACGCATGGCTGTTACAGACTTCCTCCCAAGTACAGTCCTCCTTTAGGAGGGTGCAACACCGGATTTGCTGTAGCCGGGGAATGTCTCCAATTGGCTCTCATCCTTTGCCTCAAGTGTAGGGCATGATAGCTGTCCAAGAATGGGCGACAGGGCGTTGGTGAGAGAGGTCAGGGCACCAAGCGCGACGTCAGGCTTGACCTGGGCGGCGAATTGGTAGGCTGCGGATGCGAGGTTAGCTGATATCTCGAACGAATAGAAGTAAGATAGCCTCACCAAGGCAAGCAAAGCCGTTGTTCTGCGAAAGTGTTTGCGCGTTGTAGAGACCACCCGAAAGGTCCTCGACGTTTACGCCAGTGAAAGAGTTGGTCGTGCCGGTGTTTCCTCCAATGTCCAAGAACTTGGGGTACAGGGCAGCGGCGTTGGCAACATCAGCAAGGAAGTACTCGTTGGTGTATGGATAGGCCAGGGCGCGCTTGTACTGTGGAAACTTTTAGCTAGGAGGTCATATTAAAGAATGTCGAAGGGTGAGTGACTTACCCAGTTATCTGGAATGCGCTCCATACCCTGGTTTGCAACGTAGGTGTCGCCGTTCATGGTCATACCGAACCAAGAAGCAACAGTGTCGTAGCTCAGAAGGCCGTAGGGGTTCTCCTGGCTGTGGTTGGCCATGAATCGATAGATGAAGGTGTATGCCGCGGGCTGGACGAGCACTCCAGTGAACGGGCCGTTGAAGAAGTATGGGTTGTTCTGGATCTGGGTGTCGAATCGGGTCGACCGGAACTCTGTGAGGGAGTTGAGATCTACCGATCCGCCAGGCGACATGCTAATGAGCTGGTTGAACTGGTCGGCCTGAGTCTCGTAGTCGTTTCCAGTCTCGTACAAATCGGGCCGCGTTGGCGATGCATCGCTCTCGTACTTGTTGTGTGAGCCGCTGATTCCATTGCCGAGAGGAGCGAGCGAATCGCCAACTGAGGCAGGTGGTGTACCGCCAATCGACCACGCAGTTCCGTCCCCATCGATAGATGCACCGAGGACTGCGAGGAAAGCTGCAAGATCCGGTCCCATACCAACGACGCTATTTGTCGCCTCGATGAACTGGGTGATCGTTGCGTAACCGTTGTGAGGTAGGAAGCCGTGGTTTGCAAATGCGTTCAATCCTGTCGTATCGTTAGATCTTGCTCTCCAGAGCTCAAGTTGCGCACATACCTGGGCAAGGACCTCGCAGGTCGCTTTCGCCTGGAGCTACCCACGCGTGGCCAGATGTATTCGACACATCCACGTATTGGTCTTGTGCGTTGAACATCGGAACGGGCTCGAAGAGGGCAGTAGCGCCATCGGCCGTGACCTGTCGCTTCGGATGGCTGGCCTCGATTTCGGCGGCGCGAGCCCGTAGGGCAGGATCGTTGGCTACCTTCTTCAAAATCGCGGCTGGGAACGCGGAGGCCAACGTGGCCGAGCCGACGAGTACATTTGCTGTAGAGAACTTCATGGTGGCTGAATTTTGCGTGATCGACTTGGGATAGAGAGGATAAAAGTCTTCCAAGTGACAGGATGGTTTGTTATATGTAGCGGTCGTTGCGTAGCCCCTCTGAAGAAAGCCGTGCGGACGCACCGATGAAACGCTACAGCCATACCAAGGCAGGCTACAATTGTACCTGGTGGCGTTGCTTGAGTGAATTTATGATCTGGTGATGGCGATTTCTCCGCATAAAACCCCCAGATCAACTTTATAGCTGCCCGTTTAGGAAAGTGCCAGCACAAGCGCGAAGCCACCGAGACCCTTGCGGTAGGAATCGACGTCGTTGGCTTGCGCGATGACACCCCGGGCTGAGCTCTATTGTAATTTCGTCCACAATCTACCGAGGTGCCGAGCGCCACATCTTGTTTCTGAGCGGTGTTTATATGGCAGGTACAGTATTCTACGAGTCACACCCACGTAACGCATCAAGTACGAATTGTACGAGATGGTATGTATCTTTTTGCCACAGGTCATTCGCCGGCTGCGTGACTTGCCAGAAGCGATTCTTGCAGTGCAGAAGAGTGATCATCGCGGCGAACGTCTGGGGACTCCACAAGATTGAACTCAAGTACCCAGCGATCACATCGCTCTCGGGCCTTTCATCCACGGAGTTACTGCACCGGATGCTCTTGGTGTACCGGGGTCATATTAGTGCGTGATTTGTGCACTGGTGCTGGAGCTGACATCCGCCGCGCGAAACTTGATGATGGCTGAGTTGCTCGGACCAGAGGCAAGATGATCACAAGGTCGACGAAGAGAGCCTTCGCACGATGCTTCGTTCGTTAACGGCTGTAGGGATGGGTCCAGCACATGTCGAAGCCTGATTGCAATAGTAGAGAAGACGCAGATGGAACCCGTCTCGCGGCATTTGTACGGGTTCGTGTTGCTCCCATCTGCATTTCCGGCCAGGTGGAATACCGTACCGGTGTACCTAATTGTGCGAGCGGCACGGTTTTGGTTGCCTCTGATGACGACGAACGGAACGGGCAGTCTTATTCCACGCCGACACAGGGATTTTGCCACTGACGCAGCCCTACTACAGCGTCCTGTCGCATTGGCAGGTCATTCGCTGTCTGTATCTCCGCAGAGCTGTAGCGCCTGTCGGGACGCCTTCAAGTGAGATGCTGTCATGGTATCCATCTGTACCCTCATTGGTCTTCGTCTTCATCTTCCTCGCTCTCCGTCGTGTGACCGCGATGCTGCCCTTCTTCGTCATTATTGTTGTCGTCGCCGCCTTGCCGCAAACTTCCGTCCACTTCTTCAGCTGTGCCGTGGAGGTATACCCGCTCATGCTGCACCTGATCATCCTTATTACTTTGGTCGTCGCGTCCGTCGAGCTTGTTCGTCTTGATTATTCCGGTTGCCTTTTTAATTTTCTCTCGATCCAGGCGTCTTGTACCTCCGCGTGTCTCTACCTCGGGCGTTCGGCGTATACGCTTCGATCGTAGTATCGCAGATACCTGCTTCTCGCTTGTCTCGAAGCATTCGGCGATAGAAACTAGCTTTCGCTTGACGATCGTTCTACCCTGCTTCCTTTCGAGGAATTCGAGAAATTTCGCGGCTCCCCGAATCTGTGCCTTTCTGGGCGTATCAAAGTGTGGTGGCATCGTCGTGGTGGTCGTTGTAGCGGTGGTGGTGGTGGTGGTGGTCGAGAGTGTCGAGATCGCGATGACAGGATAGGGGACCGGCAGTGCGTCATTTACTGTTTCGGTGTTTCAGTGTTTCAGTGTCCCCCTGTAGGTCGCTACTCTCATTGTCTGCACTGTTCTCATCTCATCGTCGCTTCATCTTCACCCTTTTCACCATCTGTACTCGACTTGGCAGCTTTCCGGGAGATTGTGGCAGCTGAAGTCTTGGCAGCTCCTGGTCCATCCACCAAAACGGACCCTTTTAGGTCTTAGACCGAGTCTGCCTGCCATAACTGGAGGCAGCTCTGCTCCTCTCCGGGGAGGCTTTAAAGCGGTAGTCGCTGGAGACAGTGCAGGAGTTTTCTGTGTGGCTGATTTGGCCTGAGATTGAGAGAATTTCCGGGCAGGTTCCTGAGGGATGACTCCGTGATCTTCCAAGCTGGGCCTTTCCCGTTTGTGACAAGACTTGTTTCTTGATGCTCGATTCTGAGCCAGCCAGAGCAGAATCAGCAGAATTGATTGTGAGAATCAATACCACGGCATAGTATTGATCTACCGTGCGAATCAAAATTTTGAAAAATTGGTGTCTCACAAAAGTGGCAAGCCGAGTTGAGAAAATTGCGTGCGTCTTGTAGCGTAAGAAACCGAGTCTCTTATGCAAGGCTTTGGGGTCGAATCAGGCACTGAACGCGCTGGAAGTACAACAGGACCAATGAACGGTCATGAGAACCGCCTTGACTGCTTCACACGCCCCTTCACCATGCTGTAGAATCGCCATACTTCTAGGCGTTCAGCACAACTTGGACTCCTAAGCACGGAGATGCCTTTGAGAGCCTTTCCCAAGATTGCAGAGAATGCCCATCGAGCACTTCCAAACCGAGCTAATGGGATTGCAGCCCATAACAAGAGCCGTACACATCGCAACGCTGGTCCAGCTGTAGATTTTTGCAACTTCTGTTTCAATGCAGACTTTTGCTTTCAGAACTCCGCGAGGCAGCGTCTCGCCACCTTTCTGCCTGTGGCGTTGTCGAACAATGGTGGGTGAGCCCGACCAATTGGTCTTGAACCTTGTCCAGCTCATTTTCCAATTATTTCTAGCGTTTTCCTGATGGCCCGGGCTTTCTTGGTCGGCGGGTCGAGGAGCGACTCAGCGTCTAGAGCAGTCGTAGAGTATACTAACAGCATGACTTCAACGTGAGTCTGTAATTGAGGACAGAATGTGATAGATACTCCGTGGAGACTAGCTGTTGGAAGATCCAACGCCGACCGGAATTCTGCGGCGCTCGGACCAGCATCACGTGTAAGCGCACGGACTCCATCTTTTCGCCGAGAAATTGCCAGGGTTACGGCTTACTTACGTCGTTCTCCGAAATGAATGTTCTCATTCTTCACATCACCGACCGTAAGTGACATCAGCTTTGCGGACTTTCATTCTCATCAATGGTAAGGCGAACAGGTCGAACAATTTTGTCCGAGCTCTGGTCCATGTTGGTCTCACATGCATGTGGAAACAGTCGGAGTCACAGATCAAGCTGGAGACTGCTCGTAGCCTATGTCAGAACAGCACTGCTAGATCCTCAAGCGAGCTTGCAATGTGTACTAGCATTGTCAGCAGGTCGCATGTGCTGTCTGCGTCAGATCTCACAATCGAATCCGTAATTCCGGAATCCAGGGCGACAAAGCAGTCAGACAACGCAATTATCACACAATGGCTCAATCATAGTCCCTAACACTGCTACCGCCATCCACCGCTGCCAGACATTCCAAGACAGACGGTCTTTACCGCTGTGTTCTCGGCCCGGACCCGGCCAACTCCACCCTCTTTGACTCAGCCTTCGCCAAAGACGCACCTGGACGGCAAATCATGGATGGCCTGCAGACGATCAGGACGGAATGCTATGATTCCGTTTCGAAGCTCGACACAACGCATTCCATTGGCAATGTTCGTGTCGGCCATTAAGAAGGCGAAAGCACGGCAATTGTTACCGCGAGTGCTCCGGCTCAACATTATCATGAGGGTCGGGGGATGAAGCCTGGAGTATGAAATTGAAGGACAGAAGTCATTGTCAATGCACTTCTCCTTTATAAGCCAATATTGCGTTTTGGTCTATCGTATTTGAGGCACTTGAGCGATAAATTGGCTAACATGCTACTCTTCTACATGGCAGGCGACAATGCTTTTCACAGGAAGTGTGTACCGACTGAACGTCGTGGGAGAGGAGAACGACAGACTTTAGAGAGCGGAGAGCTGGGAGATGAAGACCATCTGCACCGCAGGAGATTTGATTCTATGAAGAGGCGCTAGAAGCATTTGCTAGTTGCCAGATTCGATCCGTCGTTGGGTGAACCGACTAGTGAGACGTTCAGCTCGTCATATTGGAATCAGACTCGCGCTCAATCCAATCTGGGTAGTACCAGCCTGTACCGTTTGAATAGTCTTGTTGTCCCACCTGCTCAGATCCCAGGCAAGAGGCGGTCCGTAAAGTTCTTGGTACTGATATCCAAAGTTCTGAGCGTCTGAGAAGTCCTAACTCTTCGTCAGTCTGTCTGTGTCATGATTGGGTTTGAAAATGACACTCACCACGGTACCGTAGCTGAGAACCTGGGACATTCCAAACGAATACAGTACTTGCTGCGTCGTAACGAAGTACTGGGCTTTGTTGCTGGGGTTCTCATCACAATGTTGGAAGTGCAATCCAGATGCAGTAGCGTTGTAGTTGGTGATGGTCAAACATCGGTCGAAGAAATCATGAACTTGGACGTAGTTGGTGTAAGTAGTGTAGCAGCCCGTGTGGGAACATGACGATTGAGTCGTGTTGGTCGTGACTGCTAGAGAGCTGACGTTGCAGGCGGAGAAAGTGAACGGATAGCCATCGAAGGGAAGTTGGGGGGCCAGGGTGAAGGATTGGAAGGGCCAAATAGTGGCGTTTGCTGGGAGTGTTGGAGCTTCGAAGCCAGGACCGTTGTATGGGACGTTGTCCGGGTTCTATAAGGTGAGTATCTCAGTGCAAAAGGGATGAGTGGTCTCACTAACGTTGTCGTAGAAGTTGATCTTTGCTCTGCCATCCTTCCAGCCGATGGGTGCGTAATTTGTGCAAGAGACTGTTGCGGCTAAAACTGAAGAGCCAAGACAAGTGATTGTGGTAATGAACGAAGACAAAAGCATCTTGAACGTCAAGTACAAAAAGATTGTTATGATGTATGTGAGGAGTCAAAACGAATGACTTGGGCGAGAGAAAACATATGTGTCTTTTCTGCCTCCTCAACGATTCTGGAATAAACTGGAGCCGGAGTTTCAGGCCGCAATTGTCTCGGGAACGCGCCATCGCTTGAATGAGTATTTGGTTGGAATGAGACCACACTCTGCAGAAACTCGATCTGGCCGAGTCTATGTTTGACCTCAACCAGACTTTGTATAGAGCTTATACGGTAGATTTCTTACCCGCCCTCGTAAAATTCTCTCCCGAGACAAATCACTGGAAGTTTAAGCACTCTCGCGCCGCGGGTCGCGAGCACTTCACGAGGGTTGTCCTACGTGAGAGGAACCGGAGGAAGCCGACTTGTTGAGGCCCAAATTTCCACAGTCGTTTCCGAAACCTGCAAGCGCTGAAAGAATGCATAGTCAGCACCTATTACAGTTGAATGGTCAGTGACGTTCGAATACTTCGCTCGGAAGCAGAAGATGGTATTGACTACTAATCCACAGATCTCAAATATTAGCGAGACAGGTACACGTGGCTGCAGTCTCCTGCATCGCCCTCGTGGACTCGTGCGCAGCCATTTCAAGTAGTCTGACAGTGTTGGTCAAGATAAGCTTCTGGTTGATTTGTGGACAGGCCTGTTGTCGTGCTGTCACCTTGACGAGGACAATCCAGGTTTTCTAAGACGGACTTATACATGTTGGTTCGGATCTCCAGCTTCATCTCCGTACCAGACCGTTCGGCTTGCGGGTAAAGTATCTCCATAGCGCCTAAGCGGAGGAGGTACAGCGCTTATAGGGAGACGACTTCAGTCGTGTAGATGCTGTATCAAGATAAGGTAGTGATAGAGTGATATAGTGTGCTTTAGTAACCTTATGTATTCAAGTACAGAGAAGATACATTGATTTACGAGGGCTGTAGGCAATTCCACAGGCTACAGGGATTTGGACCTAACAAACACGCTAGTCCTGTATTAGCGCGTGTTGTGTAACATCACCTCGTGTCCTTCCCATGAACAGTTCCCTCAATCACTGACACCAATGCCGTTATCCGCTCTGAATACCTAGCTTGATGCAGCTATGTGCAAAAGATACCCCATCATTACAGATCTCATTAGGATTGCGTGCCGCATCGTGCAATCAGAGTCCAGATACTGTTGCAAATTCGGAATGCATTTCATTGCTCTCACACAGACGATGCTCTGGGACAGCAAGCACCATATTATACTGAGTGTATCATGGTCACGCGGGCGTGCATGATCGTATGTAAGCACGTATCCGCAGACGTCGTCTTTGGCTACCCGCATGCAAACGCCGACGGCCACCTGTCTTGAGTCCATGTACTTACACTTGAAGCGTCTTGCACATATTGATCTCATCTAGTTTGTCGAGCATCGTCGTGCTAAGTGTTCCAGCTCTCTACGAGCATAGTTCCCGCTGCGACTCCTGGGAAGACGTTCGACTCCGCTGCAGGAGGCACTTTCCACTCCCATCGCTCACCCTGACGAGTTGATTGCCATAGGAACGGGATGGACTGCTCAAACAGAACCCACGATGGACATAAATGGCCAACTGAGTCCGGCAGGTGAGGCTCCCTGCTGAATTGGACCCTTGTTGTGAGCTTCGTTAGATCACTGACAATTGACAGTTCCTTCCAAATCGAAGATTGCGAGAATTCCTGCTACTTCTGTAAGCATAGGAATCTCCCTGGACCAAGAAGACAGTATGCGACTGCTGGAGCTCTTCGGACACACGTACTGAACAAGCACATCGATGCTGGCCATTACCCCGGCGTCACGCTGTAAGCATTGAGAGCGAACTCTCCTCAGAGATATTCTCGGCCTACTGACCTCAATAGGGCGAAGACCGTAGACCGCAAAGGAAGTGTTGGTACGATTTCTCTATCTCGCATTATTAGAGGCATCGAATGCCCGGAAGAGCGATTAGACGCAATGTTCGACGTGCTATGCCTATCTACTACTCATCGCCAAGGATTCCGACAGATGATGATGCTCTTCTTCGCGGGGAAATGCAATGAAGAAAATGACAGGACTCTGCCTGAGGTCGCCAGATTCCTCGATGAGGTACTCGTCAAACGATTGCTAACTTGCAAGTAACGCTGACGGATCCCAGCACGGTCCTTCGTTATGGCCAGCGGGTCGCAACCGCCGTCAACACTTGTCAACTCCAAACAATGAACCCAATCATTTCTGGAAGTCGAATTCGAAGAGAGCGTTTGTGGGACCAGTCTGTGTTCTCGACGGGAAGATGACAAGCAGCGAGAGATCAGCATGGAGAGCGAGAAACCCGGAGCGAGGACCAAATCGCAGTGAGGAAACGGCTTCAAGCAGGCTGGGAGAGGTGCGTCTAAAGTAACAAGCTGGCGCTTCTCTGAGGAACAAGACTTCGACGAGATCGAACGTCAGACTGACTGGAACTTCCCAGGTCTTGTGTCATTTCGTGCGTACACTACATGAAATGGGCGCACTTGAGAGCCCCTCGATCAGAAACGATGAGATGATTATGGAGCTCAGGAACAAAATCTCTGCCTCTAACAATGAGGTCGCTGGAGTTCCAACAGGACCATCAACCATCGATTCCAATGCCTCACGGGACTCCAGCCTTGACACACCACTTCGAGTATTGTTGAGATGCAGAGAGAGCGCCAGAAGCCCGCAATCTAGCCCGGAAATGCCCCTCCAGACGATCTGGGCGGCACGCAGCAGACATACCAGCACCCCAGGCTCAAGCCCTGAGATACCATTGATCAGCCTTCGTGGACAAGATCTCAGTATTGCCATTCCTCGTACGCATACAAACGCTGTTCAGACGACAGAGCCCTCTAGCGCACCAGACACTGCACTCACGGCACAGGAATGCTCTCAGGTTCTTGAAACACTTCAAAATAGTACACCGGAGGCTTCAAACATGCGGCAGAATCTGATTGACCCCACGTCGCCTCAGGAGCAGTCATCAAATGGTATGCTACAGACTATGGCGATGGAGATGGAGGCAACTACCGGGAACCTCCAGGCCGTGACAGCGGAGTTGGAGTCCACAGTAGGGACTCCTCCCAATGTGGAACGTGGCAAGGAGCCTCAAGATCCCAGAGCTCAGGTACGCTATTAACGCACAGAAGTCGTTTCAAGGCAGCACTCATGTCCTGGACAAGATATCTGGAGGGAGTTATGCAATTTGCTCCTTTCTCCTCTTGGCTAACCTTCACTTCTTTTGCACAGCATGCAATAATACCAGGTAGTCCACGAGCTGCGAACAGCTATTTTCACCATCCGGCTACTACTCGGAGCCACAGTTGGCACGGCGGACGGCATGACCAGGATCGGTCTGACCATGTTCCCATTCTGACACAACCTCTCCGTTGTGACAGCATCTCCAAGAGGGCTTCTCACTCAACCAAAGCTCACGCTCCCGAAAGTCCAGAGCCGGCCCGAGATGGGATCACACCACACGACCTTCCGGCTGCTACCTCATCTGGTAGCTTGTCTCTGCAAGCTTCGTCAGGCCCCGTGCAGAGCTATCTCGTTCCTCCTGATCGAGTTCTTCTCTCAAACGTACCCCAGGCACCTCCACATCAGGCATCAATCGCATTTCAGACTGTCTCACCAAGGAGAAACACCGTGGTGCCGACCTCCTGCGAAGCTCCACCTTTCTTTCCGAATCGTGCGTCTCCGACCCGCACCTCCGATGCGCCTCCAACTGCAATGCGACCCCCGAACAACATGACCAAGCAATCACACCCGAGACGCATCCTCGAGGATCGAAACAATGATTCTCGTTCGCGCAAGCGCTCTCGTATGTCGACCAGCGACATGACTTGGGGATCCGCGAGAGTTTGCGCACCACGACCGAACTCTGATGGTCAGCCTAGTCTTCCGACGAGCACTCGCTCTTCTCTTAGTGCCTTTCAGTCACCGCTAGAGCTACTGGGACGAGACTGCATGACTAGTGCTGAGCGCGAGAGCCTGGCGCAGTATAAGGAAATGACTGGTGGGATGGGTGGATTGCCTTGAGTCTTGTAGAGCTTGGAAGTCTCCAAGACAACTTGAATGGGATAGCGACCAGGCCGTGTACTATCAAACGCGAAGACTCTGGCAATTTCAATGATTTTATGCGTCTAAAGAATATGAGAGTCGAACATTGGCTAGTTTCTAGTGAGAGAATCTCGGAGATACCTGCTCGGAATTGGCTTACTTGACAAACGAAATGATGCTTTCTGTAAACAAGTTGATGTTATGACAGTTCTTTGATGAGTAGTCTGTAGTAATAGAGCTCATGTCATCTCTTCGTTGGCACTTCTGCGAGATTTAAAGTTTGCCAAGGCTTGCATGTGACGCCACACCAGTGGCGTTGCCGGGGCATCGGTACCAATTGACCGGCATCAAATCACGACTTCAACCTTAGGCTTGTTGCAATTCAGATTTGAAGCTCTTAACAGAGCTTTTCTGCGCCGCAATTGCAGACTGCAATGCGACGAGAGTCAACTCACTAAGATCTCAGGGCCTAGTTCCTTCAGCCAAGGCTCGGCCCGCAGACAACAATCGACCAGATTCGAGACTCGCTCCGGATTTTCGACTAACGCATCTGATCTATCCAAAGCATGAACACGCAAGCTTTCCAACATTCCGCTCCCGCGGCGGCACCTGTACCAATGCAGCCACCTCCGATCCCCACACCAGTTCGCCCAGCAATTCGAATACCACATGCAACAACTCAAAGTCCTCACTCGAGCTCTCCAAACATGACCCGCCCTCCATCACAGCCAATCGCCATCTCCGGCACTCCCGTGCAAGTCCTCCAAGACATCCACGCCCAACTCTGCCTACGCCCGTACGTCTTTGACGAGTTCCACATGCTCGTCTGGCGCCACATCCTCCGGCACAAAATCCCTCGATTACCCGAACTGGCGCAGATCGTGAATCCATGGCTGGAGAAGGGGCTTCCACTGCAACTCTGCCCTGTCATCGTTTCCTTTCTTCAGATGTATGGACCGATGCTGTGGGGAGAGAAGAGCCGAAGCCACTTGAGCCGGAAGACGACTCGCTTGGGACAGCAAGGGTTCTGGCCGAATTACGGGCATCTGAACCCGCGCCCGGTCTACCGAATCGACAGCACGATGGCACCGAGCACGTTGTCCGCATGGCACAGGTTTGCGGGGAGGAGATCTGGCGGGCCTTCCGTGGAGGAGAAGATACTTTATTCTCCGCTTGGACGGTTGATGAGGGTGTATATTTTTGCGGCTCTGAGGAATAGTTTGGAGGTTGGTGGTTTCGAGAGAGCGATTGAGTTGGATGATCGCGAGTTGGTGCATCGGATATTGGTGGCGGATGTGGAAGAGGTGCAGACCCATTCGGCTTACCTGACGAATGAAGAGGTCATGAAAATGCAGTGGTACATGACGGCGACGGGTGGCATGGGAGGGCTTCCTTGAGTGTTGTTTCCAGCGCACTGGCTTGCATTTTGTTACCATGGGTAATCAGTGCGGAAGTTGAAAGTACATACCCAAGCCCACTCCTCCCTCTTTTCGGGGCGGCATTTGGTCAAAAAGTTGCCATGTCATCCTCTCTTTGGCCACACTATCTCACTCTCATCACCGTCATACCAGAATCCCCTGCCTCCTTTCTGCCAGATCTTGGACCTCTCTTCAAAAGAGCGATACATTTCCTCTCGCTCTGAATCTGTTGGCTGAGAGGTAGAGTACTCTTCAACATTTTGGAAGTGCTCTGTCAGGCCATGTCTGCGAAGTCTTTCGGAATCCCAGAAAACGTAGGCGCGTTCTCTTAAGCCATCGTAGCCTCCGTACATGAGGAAGTTACAGTTCCAGTCATCTTTGTGAATCTGATACCAGGCATCGTACGGTCCGTTGTCTGCATCTGCAAGCCTTTGCACTGGAATCAGAGCTTCGAGTTCAGCTGCAGAGTATTCCACGAGTGGCACCGCGCCACCTTCGACGGATTGCGGGCATAGTACGTCGATTGCACTCGGTCTGCTTAGATCGTCCTCTTGGGGCTGGATTAGGTCTACTTTCTGATGTTTTGAAGTGCATTCCAGCAACTGGTGGATGCTCTGGATGCCATGAGAGAGCTGAACCAGATCGCAATTAGTTTGAAGAAGCATCTAGCGCATGCTCGTTCTACTTACGCGATCATGAAGCCAGAAATTATCGGCATCCAGGCTGAGGTAGTCGATACTGTATTCTCCAAATTGAACCTCATGAGCGACAGCCCCACGGATACCTGATAAGAGCCGTGAGCCGTCTGAGATGTGGTATATGCGCTAATCGATTCGGAACAACGTACTCTCTAGAAGCGTTTTCGCCAAAAACTCCGTCGCGCAGCCAAGCTGCTCATTCGCCCACGGCGGATAAGGGGCCAAAAGCTGCGCTCTCATTTCGGTAAATATCGGCGAGTCGGGGTCATAGGAAGGCTCTCTCTCGAGTTGACTCCGGACACGACTGTATGCACACAGCAGTTCGAATCTGTAGAAGGCGCGGCAGAACCTGACTTCTTCCGGGATAGACAATACCAGAGTTTGCCCCTGGTCCATCTTTGCCCACGCAGTATTGGCAAATTTCCTCGCAAGGTCGGTGATCATTTGATGCATTTGCGAAAGCTTTGAGGCCTCACCAGAGCGTAGTTTGTGGCAATCCTCCAGAAGTTTGTGAGGTTGCTCGTGCAGGTCTTGGAGTGTCGACTTGCAAAGCTCTAGAGTGACGGTTTTACGCGAGCACCTCAATGTCGCCAGGGCGTATGGAAGCAGCTCAGAATTGATCTCTCTGCGCAATATCTCGACTGGAAGGCCTGACTGCTGTATCAAAGCGTTGTTGATGTGTCTGCATGCCAGACGTGCAGACAGCAGATGCTGAGCCGTGTCGACTTGTCTGAGGATAGCAGCTACAAGCTCGCACGGCAGCTTCAGAAACCCGCTCATGGTGCTCATCGGTGGTCTTTTCGATGAGGTCAGAGAACTTTCGTGATATGCAATAAGTGAAGGTTGATGCTGAGTTGGAAATCCAAATGTTGGCAAACGAGTGAGGTCAAGCCCAAGCGCCTAAAACAGTAGAGCCATGGACGGGTCTAGCTGTTTCAGGAAGCTAGCCGCCGCCATGGTGAGCGACGCGAGTCTTTCAACACAAGATAAAACGATGTTCTGCAGGCAAAAGATGAGCTCCAAGGCCACGTTATGCAGGCAAAGGGTGCACGAAATTGCGGAAGAAAGTATGCTGGGTTTGCGAGATGCGGATGGGTATAGCGTCTTTCCACAGCGGCAGATTCTGGTCGCCTGTTCGCTGTTCTTAGTTCTACGTATGTCTATGGGAGCTTTTGATGTGGCGCGATCGCTGGGCAGAGTCATGTCTGGACGGCATTGAGCATCGAGAGCTTCGTGAGGTAGGTGCTGCAGGTGCATTGCCATGGTACAATGCAAGTGAAAGGAGAAGACAGACTTCAAGCCCTACATACCTTTGGGATCAGCTTTGTCGATCGTTGAGGAAGCGGTATGAGCGTGCAGCTTGCGTTTCCAGCTCTGGCAAGCTCTCATCTGGAACCCTTCCCCAAAACAGGATAACAAGTCTGTAGGTCATCCGCCCAGAAGGGTGGCACTCGTCTCTTCTCCCGCGACACAAGCCCATCCACAGCTCTACCCTACTTCTTCTTCATCCTCTGCCTCTTCGCAACTTCTCGCCCATACTCATTCGCCTCCCGGCCCTCTTCCGCGTTAATCTCCGCAATAAGTCTCCTCTCCTTCTTCTCGTGCTCCGCGTCCCTCTCCCTCTTCTCGCGCAACTGTTCCCTCGCAATGAAATTCGCATCTTTCCGCAATTCGCGCAGAGCACCCTTCTTCTCCCTCTTGAATTCGTTCTGGAGTTTCTTCGCATCGCTGCGTTCCTTGTCCGGGTCGTAGTGTTTCTCTGGGTTGAAATTCTCCTCGAACTTAGGCACGCTGGTGCGAATGGGAAGCTTGCGGTGATGATGGAGTTCGAGAGGGCGCCGGCGGAGACGAGCTTGTTGGAGTAAGATGGTGAGACTCTGGTGTTCCTTCTTCGCTGGAAGGGATTTGAGGATAGGAAGGGCTGGTGTGAAGATCTCAGTAAATGCCGATTTGTCTTTCCATAGCTCGGCCATGGCCCTGAGGTTGGACAAATGTGGTGTCAGTCTTGACTTTTCTAGGTCTTTACAAGACAAAACACGCAGGGTGAAGCGCATAGCCTCTGGAAGGTATCGCTTGCTCAGACTTTGGTATTTGATGCACAAGCCGACAAAGAAGGCCCCAGCAGCCAGATCCGCATCTTCCACGACTTTGGTCGCCGAGGGCGCATTAAGACCAAGCCAGCGTGCCATCAAAGTAGTCGCTGGTGTAACGACTTGATGCCAATGGTCACTTGTGGGGTAAATCGATCCGATCGCAGTAAGAATGATCAGGTCTCCTGCGTTGGCCTTTCCGCGTTCGTGGAAGAGAGTAAGACGCCTGCGGAACTGTTCACCAATCTGGGTGGGATACGTTCTGGACAGGGAGTGTAAATGCCGAATGATCTGCTCAGAAACAGCAATGGATTGTTTCTCGTCGCCCATATATCCAAGATGATCTACCAGAGAGCAGGAGAAGTCGGCCATGGACTCCTTGTTTGTGGTCGACAGAGACGGATGATACAACGCTCGTATGCGTTGAACAATAGTCGGCAGCTGTTCCACTGGAACATCGCGAACAAATTCCAAAAGTTCTGCATGAGATCGAGGGCAAGGATAAGTGTAGGCCAATTTGGAGGCGGCACCTCGTTCACCCAGGGTCGTATTGTTGGCTCCTGTGGAAGCAGCGGCAACATCTTCGCCAAGTATGTCTTTCACGAATTCATCCTCTTCGTTCTCCGGGGGCGCATGGGTGCCGCCAGCGTCCTCGCCGTCTTCGTCGCTGTCGCTAGCTTCATCTTCACTGAGCTCTACGTCCTCAATCTCATCTTCGCTGGCCACCAGTTCTTCATCCAGAGCAAATTCGTCCTCATCATCTAGAACCAGCTGCTCGGTCTTCGGCTTTGCGTTCGGCTTCGAATTCGTTAAACCGAACTCTGCAGCTTGGTCCATAATGTCCTCATCCGCACCCGGCTCTGCACCATCGTTAGGTGCCTCGTCATCAGAGACATCTTCGCCGCGCATTCGCTTCTGCCGCTTTTCTTCCAGCGCTTGTAACCGCTTAGCTTCTTCCTGCGCTTTTTCCTCAGCAGTCTTTGTCCGCTCTGCAGGTTTCGCACGAGCGTCATTTGCGAGCTGTTTCAGTCGCACGTCGTACTCTTTGTCCACTTTGCTGCGATCCATGCCGTCAAGCAGTCTTTGCCGGTCAGGGTTGATTGAAGGTCCAGCTCCGTCCGTGGTGGGAGCGGTCTCAGTTTTCGGAGCAGGCGGAGGTCGTTTGGCATTTTGCAACATACTCAGGATTTCGCCAAAGTCCTGATCCAGCTCCATACGCAAATCGTCATCGTCTTCTTTCGCCTTCTGTCTCTCGTACTTGTGCAGCTTCGACTTGGCGATGACTTCTTGCATGACCTCTTTCTTGGTCTTCTTCCGCTCCGGCTGATCGTTCCTATCATATTCTTCGGCACCAACGCCATCGTCTTCCTCGTCAATATCTGACCGGCTCCTCTTACGCTTCAGCAGTCCACCATCATCTTCACTCTCATCGCCGCCCGACATCTCGCCGAAGTCGTCTGCCTCCAAATCGTCCAGTCTTCGTCCTCCATGGGTAAGACCGAAATCATCGGGACCCTCCTCGTCACTTGCTTCTAGATCGAACATACTTCTGCCCTTCGCTTTCCGCTCTTTCTCGCGCGCAAACCGCTGAACAGCCCGATCCTCAGGAGTCATGTCCACGTCGCCCTCTCCAATTCTCCTGTCAATGACGCCACCGACCTTGTTACGTCTTCTCATCTCGGGCAGCAGGGTATTCCTCCTCATCTCTTCTCCAGCGCTTTTGGTAACACCCGGTCTGTGCAAGACCTCTTTGTACTTTCCGGCGCCATTTGAAGAAGCTGATTGAAATTTTTCCGGTCGAGATTTGGTTGCCTTGAGCTCGAAAGGATTGAAAGAATCGCGAATCTGCTGGAGAGCTGCATTGCGGTGGTTGCGATCGGATGTAGCTTTTTGGGAGGAATGCTGTTTCTTCTGCTTCTTGGACTTCTGCGGGCCAGTCACGCCTTGCTCCCGGAGAGAGGCCTTCAAGCGCTTCAACTGGGAAGCTGGCATCTTTGCGGCGGGCACATATGATGTCGAATGCGGAGAGAGAAAGATGTCGACTGAACTTTTTGTCGAGGCTCAAATGTAGCGTGCCGATAGCCGAAAGCTTGATTCCCGGATCTATCCCCGGATCTACCCGCTGCTGAATAAGGTACCCGCTCTCAGGCCATGTGTGCTGCCACATCTCGCCGGACATTCTACAACCAATACGCCGGTCCCAAGTTGAGACGGAAACCTCCAGCATCGTAACTGCTCTCTTTGCGGAATACAGCTCATATCTTTGGAGGCATTTGCGACTCTCGAGCAGCAAGCGCAGCTTAGAATCAGCGGCCTCCCCCTGATATCCAACAACTTCCGAGGAGATCGTCCAAAATGCGCAGATCATGGCACATACCATATCCGACCGCTGGCTCTGGCTCGGGTTTGGCATATTCTTTCTCGCTGCCTTGAAAGGCGTGCAATATGCCATTTCCGACATCATAAGGCTCACAGAACTCAAGCCACAAGCCTCCCTAGACGATGATGGAGACAAGGACCCCGAAGATAGTATGTGCGAGCGTATGTGTAATCCTCCGCTCACTGACACTTCATAGCGATATCTCTCACCACCCTCGGGACTCTCGCAACGAGTCCCAATCCGAGCATCGCGACAGCTGCCAAAAGCATCATCATCCGCCGCTTCGCCGGTCTCCCCAACGCAACCGAAATCCTGGAAACCGATCTTCACTCCAAGAACGATGTCGTTCGCCGACGGGCACGACAAGCAGTCGCATATCTCGACGAATGGGACGAAGACATTGCTCCAGACCAATTCGATGTAGAAGAACTCCCACCTGCATCAGGAGGCTACATACGTCAAGAGGAAATGCGCGAAGTTGGAAGACTTAGAAGACAGATTCAACTGCTGGAGGGATCGGGCATGTCGCAGGATGACGTAGACCTGGCGATGGAGGGGATTATGAGCAGGCTGGAGGAACTGGGATTCTCGGATGTGTCTCAGTTGGGATTAGCTTCGCCTATCGTGGGCCTGAATGCTGATGCTGAGGCAAGGAGGAATCGGAGGGAGGCGATTGTGCTGCATGAAGGTGCTGGTCGCATAGAAGAGGACGACATCATTCAGCCTGTACGGGATAGATGAGACGAGGCAGAGGATTGTTACTGGAATACAGTCGGCGACTCTCATTTGCACATCATCCGAGCGGTCCACATACACCCTAAGCCTCAACACTGAGAGACAAGGCAACGCGATGCCGAGAACATATTTTCAGATTGGACTTTATGAACTGTCACAGTGCTTCTAGTAAGGATTCCTGGGACCGCTGTCCATGAACTGCGCACCAGGATAGTTCTTTCCGTACTCCGTGACACTTTTACCCGCAGGCAAGTCAGGGCAAGATGCCATCAATGGTGCCAGCGCCGGCGTCAAAGTGGTCGGGATCATCGCCAATGCCTCGGTCAGGGCTGCGCCGCTGAAGACGTTGTCGAGGAAGCTTGGTGTGTCGGCGTAGACAGCCTGAGCGATGAAGCAACCCATACGATCCGGGTCGCTGAGGTCGTCGAAGCTGTCGATGAGACCGCCTGTGATATCGCTTGGGTCGACGCCGTCGAAGGAGTTGACTTCGCCTGTGTTACCGCCCACCGCGCAGTTGGAGGGGTAGGAGGCGCATTGTTGAGCCGTTGAGATGGCGATGTCCGAGAGGTCCCAGGCATCGTCGTTGGCGCGGCGGTACCAGTTGTCGGGGATCCTAGATGTCTTGTCAGCCTTCTGGTCTTATCACAAGCAAGAACATCCCATGCTTCTTACCTTTCGTGTCCGTACGTGAACACGAGAGTGCCGTTGTCATCGCGGGTGTAGGAGAAGAAGGACTCGAACACTTCGGGAGTCAGGACGCCACGAGGGTACTCCGCCGAGTGATTGGCCAACAACTCGTACGCGAACATGTGTGCGCCAAAGGTGAAAGCGACACCTGCGTATGCCGGGCTGAAATAGTTCGGGTTGGTGGCGATGGAGTGTTGCTTGCGGTTGTACTGGTGCTCTGCAAGCACTTGGGGGGTCAGGTTACCGCCAGTGCGGGCCGTAGCAAGGTCGAGCAGCTCCTGTGCGAATTGCGGGTAGGAAGCGCAGTTGGAGTTCATCTCTGGAGCGAGCCAGTCGCCACGGGTGATGGAGGCGTCTCCTTCAGTCTTCAAGTGTCCGTAGGCACAGATACCCGTCTCGTTGCCGAGGAAGTCCCCAAGAGCTCCCAGAGACTGTGTCTTATCGGAGTGGTATCCGATACTCCATCGACCGGACACTGGATCACCGTCGAAGAACATGGTTGCCGTCTGCAGGAAGACGGTGGCGGTGTGATCGAGGCCATAGGCTTGCCAGAGGCCCGTGTTGATCGACTCGGAGTCGGCGATGCCGTCTCTGGGCAGGTAGCCACTGCAACGCGATCAGCGAAACTGCCCTGGGCTTGGTGTCTTTGGGTGGAGACTTACTGGTTGGCCGCGGCGTTCAGTCCAGCGCATGGACCGCGAACATCGCCTGGGCCGGGTGCGATCCAAGCATTGTCGCCAGACGTGGATACCAGCTGAGATGCGGCGTCGAAGCTGTTGTACAACGCGTGAGACGGCTTGCCTGGGTATTCTGGAAACGGAATCGCTCCAGTTGGAGCACCGACAGCAGGTACCTCTGTGAACAATCAGTACGCTGTTCGTATCTACTCGCCGGTGTGGTCGTACGTCTCTTGCCTGCTTGCTGCTCTTCGACAAGCTTGGCGATGCTGGGAAAGGCGGAGACAAGGAGAGGAGAGCTCAAAAGAGCCACGGCTGCTGTCTTTCCAACCATCTTGAAAAATAGTCGATTGTTGGGATTACCTTTCCAGAGGAAGAGATGCTCTCGTTTACCTTATATGGGGCCTTCACTGTCAAGTGGCGACCCGGTCGTCCGGTAGATTTCTGCTGAAGAAGTCGCAAGTACTGCTGTGTTGCTGCGCTTGTAGTGCAGTAGCAGACCAGTTCGTCGAGTAGCATTCATTCAAGCTGTGTCACATTACGCTAAATGGTTCAATAATCACTAGGACTCTCCGGACGGAGGACGATCAACTGCTAGCATGCCTTGTTCGGGCATGGAAGTTGGGGGATCGACCAATACTAGCATCTCTTTGGCGGTGTAGGCTGGGATGATCTTCATTCATACGTGCGAGCGCACTCGAGGAAAGGACCCTGCAGTGTAGCATAGCATAGCATAGCATAGCATACCTTGGAGTGTAGCCACATGCATGCCAAATACGCTTCCTGATGGCAGTGGGAAGTATACTTTGCGAGTTGGGACCGTGGGAATTACAATTCTCGGCAGAGGGCCAACTGAGCGTTCTTGTCAAACGTTGTAGTACGACATAGTGAGCATACGGCCACTGTCATCCATGTCGTTACGAATGGTCCATATGTATCTGCCTTGGTCTATCAACGAGTCTAATCTGTGGGTGGGCACAACAGGACGCTTTACTCCAGCTTCCAGCTTCAATTAAGCATGACCTTAACCTTCTACGCTAGGAAGAAGTGAATGACCACTGACCATCTGGCGCAACACTATTTGTCGATCCCCTCAAATGCGGGGGTTGGTGGATCTTGTGACTTGCCAAGACAGATGTAGGCTAGTGGAGGCACTCCGGGCTCGTCCTTGCCGTCTCTCCTTCCCTTTTGGGAAGTAGTGATACATGGGAGGAATTTGAGGAATTTTCACAAGTGCCGTGGTCGAGACATTCGTCGCTGTCGGCTGACTCTCGGCGATAGGATTCTTGGTACAGATACTTCGAGAGCGAGCGCTCGGTGGGTGGCCGTACATGTCTGTATCTCTGCAAGTCTGCAGGTCTGCCGAAAGCCGTTGTCCGGAAGGTAGAACTTCTCTCCAACCACGTAGATCAATCAGAGAGCCTGGACCAGACTCGTTTTCCGCCCGCGGGCTACTCCCAACACCAAAGAAATGCACGCGCTCACGAGATGGCAATGCTAACAGGTACCAGCCACTCCGCAAGTCAAATTGCCAAGAGCATTCGTAACGGGATTGATACCCGCCAAGGCATCCTGATAAGCACCAACCGTCAGAATCTCCAGACCCTCAGGCAAAGGCTCCGGACTGCTGGCATAAAGCTGATTGATCATATCTCCAACCGTTAGCAGAGTCGTCTGCTGCGTCGGTTTCCTCCAACCCTCATTGTAGGGCAGGCGTTCCTGCTCGAAGAAGATCTTGACATAGTCCACTGGCGCAACGCCTGTTGTCGGATCGCCCATGATGCTCAAGTACAGTGCTGTCTCGCCGTAGCTGAGGATGAACTCTCGGGGCCCGTAGGTGAAGGTAGGGTCGCGTTGCTGGGAGTCCTGCACGCGGGCGTATTTGGCTTTGGAGGCGACGGGGATGGAAGTGTTTGCCATGCCGTCGTAGAATGATAGGACTTGGTTGAAGATGGTCTGGTTGAAGGAGTAATCGTTGCCGAAGAAAGCGTCTTGGCGCGAGAGGGATGCATCGTGCTCTGCGTCGGGTCAGCAAACACTGGTCATCCATATTTCTCTGCTGTGCGGACCTACCAATTGGGAAATTATGCTGATCCAAATCATTCAAATCAAAACTTTGAAGCTGCCTGTTGTCAGGCGCAGCCAGACTTCCTCCTGCGAACAGGAACGACGCAAAAGGCGCATCGATGTTCATCCCGTCGGCTAAGCCCTGGATAATCGTATCAAGAGTCATGTTCTTTCCATCGTGAGGAATGAATCCGTGGTTTGCTAGCGAATTGAGTCCTGGGCAAGGTGAGCGAACATCGCCAGCACCAGGCGGCGACCACGTCGAGAAGTCTCGTTCTTCGAGCGTAGGAAGTGCAGACGCCGCCGTCGCCCACAGCAAGTTGACCGTGAAGCGCCTCATGTTATCGAAACCAAATGTTATAATTGATGAAAGGGGATTGGGATATCGTGTCAAGACATGCAAGTCGTTCTGTCAACGAGAAATGTTCCCTTCTCATGGCATCTCAAGTCTCAACCAGTCGGTGCCTCGGCAGGTCGGTGGCGTTCCACGGTTCGTGGCGATTCGGTGTCTGCATCCAATTCGACACATGCAGCTCAAGCTTGACACCGTTTCTTGAGTGCCAGCCAATCACCGGCCGTTCATATGATCCTGCCAACCTGTGCGCAGCAGCCTCTGAGGCATCTCTAGAGGCCATGACGTGCGTGTGCCAGAACAGATGCAGGGCCAGCACCTCAAAGAAACCTTGGTGGAAGTGCACCTCAGTGTGACAGTCAATTTGGAGTGCTTCGTGTTTGAGAACAGAGCAATCCAGGGACAGACAGCCTGTTGTCCCGTCCTCTTGCTATAGCCACCGTACTGCGATGTTTCATACACCGATTCAAGCCGCTATGCCAATCTCCCTCTGAAACTCAACCCTCTTCCCCCTTTTGCCTTTCCCAAAATCAGTCATCAACCCAGATTCTTCATACTGCATAGCATTCTGTACGGGATAAGCAGCGATATGCGCGCTACAAACCTCCCCACCAGTCTCGTTCAACTTCATCATCCGGTAAGCGTCCGTAGTGAACGAACAGTGGCCAATGACTCGCACCACGATCTCCCACCAAAGACCCACCCGCATTGGCAAGAACATTAGACATCGAAGGATCACTACTCATGATGAAAGTTCCCCGTGCTGTCGTGAAAGCAAAGAATTCGGGACTGGAACTGGGTGGCAGAGCTCGAAATCCTTCACCATTCAAATTTGCGCCATGTTGCGCTGCTGGGGTGGAATGTTGACACTTGTAGGACTTCTTCCCGAATTTGGGATGGCACGTCTGAGCGAGCCAGTAGGATGGACAGACGAATGTGATATCGGTGTACAAGTTCATGCCGTCACAGGCAGAAAACCCCATGAACCTCAAGTGCCTCAAGCGCCTACAATAGCATTCGCTTTCTGAAGGACATCCATCCGTAGGCGCAGCTTGTATAAGCTGCTTACTCAGAGATTTAGACACTAGCACTCTCATTCGCGCGACCTGGAGAAATCATCCTGCCTTTTGAGCAAAAGCGTAATAAGCCTGTGGATGGAGGCTGCCAAATCGTTGTACTTGTATTGCATCGGCAGAAAAGGTGACGCCGTAATCACATTAGTGAACAGAGTGGTTCCTAGAGTTCTGCCATAAGCCATTGCCTGGAGCACGATACTATGATTCTCCCGCGACGGTCACTCGCGATCGATCGCCACCAGAAAAGGCAATATGCTTCCGCAAAGTGTTAATGCAGCAAAACGGCATTGACATTGCCGAAGCGATGCACCTTAAGAACCCAAACGCCCCAAGTCGGTACTAAATAGCCACGCTGACGAAACCGTTTTGCTTGACCGTGGTGATATTGCCAACGTCCTGACTTCCTTGCCCGTCACCTTGACTACGGAAATCAGTCAGTGTGCGCAAAGAACGGTGCGAGGCGCACCTACATCCAGAAAATTGCCGGTAGATTCTTGGCGAGCTCACGCCCAGGAATAGGCAATTCTCGTTGTCCGTTTAGTTGTAACCTGCTGGGAGAGTATTTGCGCATTTTGAGGACATCTCGGTGGGAGGGAGTTAGCTGATATTGTCCTTCCGCGACCGGTCTCCGGAGGCTGCGGTGCCTGGCGCTGCATACCGAATGCCTTGCCAGTCGTTCTGTTCCATGGAGGCGTTGTAGTAGTCGTCCTGATAAATCTCGTATCCACATCGACTGTGAGACTACCATGTACCAGATCGCCGCAATAAACTCAGAAAACCTGTGGAGCTTCATGTATGATTTGTGCCTCGAAAGTACATCCGTATCTTGCACTGCAGCGCGGAAGATATGATGCCCATCGTCAAGCTCTTCAGGTTTGAGCTGCAAGCTGCCTCGGCACATCCCCATCCGGTGTAAAGGATGCAAGCAAGGAGTATGCCCCATGCAGCCGAATCAGCTCGTGTGTCGCTGCATCATTGAAAGGGGCATAAGTCTGGTCTTGTGATCGGTGTTGCGTTTGTGATGCACTCATGCCTCACCCCAACAAGCCCCTCAAATCTGCAAATTTCACGGGCTTCGGCAAGAACAAATCAACCCCAGCCGTCTCTGCCTCCTCCCTAGCCTTCTCACTCGCCAAACCCGTTAGAGCGAAAACTTTAGTCTTCTTCATCAACCCGGACTGCTGTTCCAGGGCTCGAATCCTCCGAGTAGCCTCAAATCCGTCCATGACCGGCATGGAAATATCCATTAAAATGTAATCAAACGCTGGAGATGTCGCTGTCGTTGTAGATGTACCCGTAGTGGTAGTAGAGGAGGATGTATTGGAAGCCGTGAAGAGATCAACAGCTTCCTTTCCGTTCTCAGCTTCTTGGTATGTGAAGCCGTATTTCTTCATGAACATTACGAGGAGTTGACGATTGATTTTGTTGTCGTCGACGAGAAGGACGTTGAGTCGCCCCTTCGGTTTCTCGGCCGCAGTGGATGATTTCTCGCTCGCAGCGGATGACGATGGCACACCGGGAACATCATCCGTATCGCATTGTCGAGTCGTCTCTTTCGAGGCAAGTAGATTTAAAGAGGTGTCGCCTGATGTTTCCAGAAATGGAGATTCGGGATCTAATGCAAGGGGCGTGGGTGGCGCCAGAGCCGCACTTACGCTCTTGCGAAGTTCTTGACCAGTAGCTCGGGGGCTAAGACGCGATGCTGGAGTGGGCCGGTGAGCAAGCGATTTCTCATGATCGGCTTGAGCAGCTTCGGTGGGCGGTTCCGTGAGGGATATACGCTGTTTGCTGTTTAATTCTTCTGCACTGTCGAAACAGTACATGAAAGTTTTCGCCAGCTTCCGTGGACCACAAGGCTGCTGGATGACCTGAACGATCTGACCGAGCTCTCTCAGAAACTTCTGCTGATTGCGAAGGACTGCGACGGCATCGTGGTCGTTCTGGCAAGCGAGGACCACCGGGACCGATCGCTGCGAGCCTATCCTCTTGTGATGGCGCAGCATCTCGATGGCCGGTGGCTCGCCGTAGAAGTACAAGTCTACGTCTTCGTCGTCTTCACGCTTGGCCGATCGGCTAACCTGCATTCCAAACCAGGTCTCGCATGTTGTCCGTATTGTTTCCTGGAAGCGGGCAGCTTGGTGCACTGGTGTTCTCGTCTTACTTGGGTCAAATGGGTCGAGGAGAACAAGCCTCTTACCGCTGAGTTTTGCTGCCATTGCGAGCGGGTATTTGTGCATGTCAGATGGCTTGTCCAGGGCACTCATTTCGAGAGGTGGTCGCGGGCTGTCATGACACGGTAACGTCAGATAGACATCGACTTCGGTGCCACTCCCTGGGCTAGACTTGACCTCGATCGAGCCATGAAGAGAGTCTACAATCTTCTTGACTATGCTCAAGCCTAGTCCAGTGCCGGGTTGAAACGAATCCTCCTGCTGGAAGGGAATGAAAAGCCTATCTTGCTGAAACGCCTTGCTGATACCATTTCCCGAGTCCACTACACGAATCAGCACGGATACATTACGCTCATCTGCAGCTTCCAGTGTGCGCAAGGAAAGAGCCACAAATCCTGCTTTGGTATACTTGAGAGCATTGCCAAAGAGGTTCATGATGATACGCTGAATGGCCCCCTGCTGTACCGAAACGGACCAACTGTCCTTTGGAACAATGTCAAGTAGCACTGCCACTCCTAGGGGGGGCCTGGCGCTCTGCTCTTCCTGTCGTGATGTGGGCGAACCGAAAGAGCCACTCAGACCCGATTCGAGAGGAACGGATGAGGTAGTCAATGTGGTGTGGGAAAGAGTCTTGAAAGTGTGCCCGGCAGTCACGGCGTCGGCCACGTCTTCGACAAGAGCAGCCAGGTCCACGGAGGTGGTGTGACCTATGCTCTCGGAGTGCGGGTCTGCAACGCTGTTTCGACCACCTGTCTTGGGCAAGTTCCCCAGCATATTGATCTTACTGTGATCTAGTACGTGGTTCAGCGTGTCGAGAAGAGTCTTTCCACAAGTGATGACCGAGTTGACGAGACCAGCTTCGTAAGCATTGTTGGTTGTCTCAACAAGGAACTCAGCGGCACCGAGAATTCCGTGCAGCGGAGAACGAAGCTCATGGCTCATCGACGCGATGAATGTGGTCTTCGCGGCCTCGTTGCGCTCGACGTCCATGCGCAGAACCTCGCTGACTATGCAGCTAGCAAATGCTCGAACGTGCGACAAGTCGGTGTCAGCCATTCTCCCCAAAATCGAAGTCCAAAGAAAAACGCCTGCGATGAGCCGGTCATCAGCAGGATCTAGTAGCGGCAGAAAGACGATGGAACGGGCACCGGGAAACTTATCCAGCAGCTCAGAATGGTTCATTTCACGTAGCTTTATGTGTGTTCCAAATTTTGGGAGGAATCCACTCTTGGCTTTTCCAGCATCCTCTGTGCTGGCTGAGTCTTGATTACTGGTCTCGAGATGGCCGTCGTCACCGGTCTGAACCCCCTCGTCTTCCTCGGACGATGCCACATGTGCGTCTTCGGTGAAGGTGAAGGCTTTGCCGTTCGGAAACGCCCTGTAGTACCCGTAAAGAGAATGTAGAGGAAGAGCTCCCTCTGTGCCTCCCAGCGGGGTACTGACATGTCGATCAGTAAGGGACAAGGACAGCATCTTGCATGATCGGTCCATGCCGGAAAATGAGGAGCTGTTGTCCGGTCGGTCATTGATCGAGATAGCATCGGCTGTTGCGCCAAAGATGACGCAGCCATCTGCTAAAGTGGAATCGCGCAAGATATCCGCGGCGAGATTGAAAACATCATCCGGATCTTTGCGAGCTGCTCGCCGGGCCTCGCGGGGCGCTCGCCGCCAAGTAGAGCTTCGCGGCGATGCCTGACGCCTCGCCGACTGGCTAGACCTGCTGGGATGGGCCAGCAGCATCGAGGCCTCGTCGATGAAGGTGGCCATGCCACGAACGACCCGCTCGCCTTTGTGCCGGTCCACGCGATCCCGGGCCCACTCCAAGTGGCCCATAGCACAACGAGCCATGTCCTGCATGTACCGTAGCTCATTCGCACTGAGCCCCTCGCGCGAATTCTCGTCTGTGACCGCCAGCACTCCAATCTTGTAGCCATTGCGCGATATCAGGGGCACGCCGGCGTAGAAGCGCAGGCGCTTCATGCTCTCCTCTTGCATGACAGACGGGCGATGCGCGAAGCGGCGGTCGGCGCGGCAGTCGTTGATAATCATGCCCTCGGCAGGGAATTGCTCCTCGTCACCATTCTCCCTACGCGCCCAGCATTGGCTGCTCAGACTATTCTCGCATACGGCATGAGGGCGGGAGAGGACGGCACTGCCGAGCCAGATCTCGTCGCCGGGTGCGCCATTGGGATGTATACTCGAGTGCGACTTGGTAGCTTCGGCAAGCACATATTGGTGGGCGGCGTCGATAAGGGAGATCAAGCAGCGTCGAACATTGAGTCGCAGGGTAACGTTCTGGGCGAAGGAGATCAAGGTGTGGTCGCGCGAGGGGAGAGGCTCCCTGCCTTGCTGCTGGAGGTTCAGCTCGGCAAGGGAGGAGACATGCTGAGCAACGGCCACGGCGGAGCCATGTGCGGCCAACCACGGCTGATAGTGGCGCTGACACTCTCGCTCAGCAGCCGAGGTCATGGTCGGCGTTGTGGCATGTTGTGTCACTGGTGTATACGCGCCGTCAGATATCTGTCTGGCAGGTTCCAATTGTCAATGCCAAGGTCTGGTCGGGATGGAGGGGCCGGGTAGCTCCGCGTGTTGAAACGAGACGAGAGCGGTGGAGAGGGTCGAGGAGAGCGAGAAAGGCCGTTTCTTGCCGACAGTCTACCATGTGATATCGATTCGTTAAAGCGTAGGAAGGCTGTCGTGTAGAGGCATTGTAGAGAGGCATTATTGTATAGATACACTGTACGGCTCTCTGTGGTGCCAAGACCGGCCCGACTGTTCTTCCGGCAATCCGTACTGAACCCAGACCTCGCTCGTCATCCACACCACCTTTACGACCGACCAACGTCGATATCTTTGGAATGCTCATCGGTCGCAGCCATTTGCGGACTGCGAGAAATAGACATCCAGGTCTTGGCTTCAATGTCGCCACCTCGCCAACTCTGCGAGAACCACGGTAAGGATTGTCAATCCTTCGATCCTGCCAACCTCGCCTCATCTCCCCCAGGCACCCGAACTTCACTCTCTTCGGAGAGCTCAGCGATATTGCCAAGTCCGATTGCGTGAGCGGATCAAGATACAAGAATCAAAACTTTGCAAATACTGATCTGAACCGCTGAGCGCCGGAGATCCACTGTATTGACAATTAGTACTATCTCTTCTACACCGTGGAAGACCAGGCAAAAGGCCTCTGCTTTGACCAATGCGATGCTAAGTTATTAGTATGTCGGCACGACGAGTTTTACGCCATTTCCATTACTTGGGGCTGGAATCACTTGACCTAGATGGAGGATGGCTGGCCCATGTTGACACCGAAGAGAACTTGACGGTGCTCCCGCCCACAGAAAGAAAATTCGAGCATATGAAAACATGAAGAAGACTGTCCTTCCCACCACTTTAAGAAATACGCAGCACATGAAGAAAGTTTCTTGTCCTTTCAATGTGGGATACTGCCGTCCTCCGACTTCTTCAATGACTCAGAAGTACTCTTCGACATCGTGACTGGCTCGCATGATTGACATCGCCGTAGTAAGAACTCCCATTTCGGCGCGCATCGGAACATTCCGATGCTGGTAGCAGGAGGATAGTTGTCACATTCACTCGTTCTCCGTGGGTGAGACCGAATGCAGCCGCAAGACCACTTGGTCCCCGCTTTCCACTTGCACATGGAGACCAAAGTAAGTGAAGCGGTAGAAGGAAAGCAGGCAGACGAGGTGGAGGAGGAGGGTAGGAGAACAAAAAGGAAAGCCCACATCTTCAGTACTGCAAGCTCTCTCGTGAATGCAAATGACAACGTGCACCAAACACTCTTGAATCCTGCCTGTACACCAGGAGGAGAACCGGCTCATTAGCGAAGCACCATTCCATACACTCGTTAACCCGTCAATGATACCAAAAGCCGTGCCGCCAAGAGGACTCGTAAAGCTGCGGCCTTGCCAGGTTCTTGCGTATTGGAAAGACGGGAAGAGTGAACGAAATGGCTGATGGTGCGGATCCGTTCTCTGTAGTGTACCATCATCGATCACGCTCTTTTCATGGCGCACAAGGAATCTTGTGAATGCTTACTAGAGCCCTGAAATTGTTATTGAATCGCGATAGCTACATGCTCTACCTTGAGTTTCTCGTGTAGCTCGTGGTTTTATGCTTGGAAAACGATCAGGTGCGGCAAGCAGTAGAAACATGCGCATCACATATTGTTTGAACGCAGTCTGTACCGTTCTCTAGCGCTGAAGCACTGTCACATAGGCGATCTCACTCGGAATTCGATGTATGGACATGTAATGAGACCGTTCGCATCGACAGAGCCCCTTGGCGGGCTTAGCTTTGGAACCACATTGGTGGAGTTGGGCAGACGTCAAGTGCTTTCTGTCTCGACGGGACAGAACATGTTTAGAACGACAAAGCAATGCTGCGTAGTTTATTGTGGGATTGTCGTCAACATTCGAGATGGGTTTGAGAATAGAGTCGGCGAAGCCGACTGATGTGATATTTCCACATGTGAGAAATGTTCCGCGCAACCGTTGTGCATCCCTTTCGCGATGTTCCTTCTTCTGTGAACTTGCCTTGCGCGGAAGGGTCTACCTTCCTTTGATGCTTCCGACATTGCGACTTCTCAATCAGCGAATTGCAGTTGGCAGTTGGCAGTTGGAAGATTCGCAGCTGCCTTCCGCTGTCCTCACTGCCGTACCATGGCTCAGAAACTCGACCACAATAATCCTCGCTGAGGACTACATCGTGAGGACAGCAATATTCCCATCGCAAATTTACATATATTGCACGCTACATTCTCTACCATGTCAGTCAATCGCAGACTCAGCAGCGCATACTTCGTTTCCACTCTCCAGCGCTTTACCAACGGCGAAATGCCAGTCTCTTTCGTTGAATTCCAGGTGGAATACCTCGCCGCCAGCCTCCAAGGTCTGCCTCCGGGACTCTACTACACCAAGCTTTCCCCTCCAAAATTCCTGCCAAAGGCCGCTCTTCCTTGCCTCTCCAGCGTCGACTGGAGCTGCGAGTTTACGGACGATGCCAGCCTCACCGTCGAGCTTAATAAACTCGTCCGTTGCATCAGCACTGCAACAAAAAATAGCAAATGGAAAGTCTGCTTTTGGACAACGATTGCAGGAAGCGAAAATGCAGTCGCAAAGTTGTGGATGGTGTTGAGCCTTGCCATGGCACAAGAGATATCACATCAAGTTGTTTCCGGAAATTATCTTAAGAGGTACTACAGTTTCCGCGGCCAGGCACTCCTTGACTTGAACGGTCTTCGGAGCACTATCCGCGATCTGCCGGATGGCTTGGTGTCCATGAAGGACGAGCGATGGGATTCCTGGGCGGCTGCAGCAGAGGATACACTCAAGAGCGGCTTGGGCAACTCTGAGCCCACTGGCGTCCATGGAGATGACGGAGATCCACCCAAAGGTCCTTCGACGTGGCCCACCAATAAGCAATACCAGCCACACCGGCCGAAGTGGCCATGGTATGGATTGGATCCCCCAGGGCCGACTTCTGACTCGCAGGTGCACCAACAGGGCACACGGGGTTGCGTCCATGGTATGAAAGGCGACCCTGTCACCACTTCGAAACCTGACCGCCTCGAAGATGCAGTCGTTCAGAACCGCGTCCCAGCGATGCCCAGCTCCTCGCGGCCAACTGACTTGCGCTCAGAGCTACATGTGCCGCACCAGAGCGTTCGAAATCAGAAATCTGGACAGCAGAATGTCCCCAAAGCTCCCAATCAAGGAACAAAGATCTATTCTTCCTCTTCTCAGTCGACTCAGGGAAGTGCTCCAACGACATCGAAGGGAAAGCAGCAGCAGGCGGCTCCATTGCAACATGTGAACATCAACGAGCTCGGCGGCCCTGAACGCTTCGACCATCTCCTCAGCCAAGGCCTGGTTCCCACTGGACCAAAGTCCCAGCAAACCAACTCGAACAACAATCTACACAAGAAACCACGCAAGCGCCAATCCAGGCGACGCCCGAAGTTCGCACCATCTAGCTCCGCAGCGTTCGACTCCAAGCCGCCAGCAACGCGTTATCAGAACGAAAACGCCCAACAGAAGGACGCAGAGCAGGAGGACGCAAAGCAGGAGGACGCTCAGCGAGAGAACGCAGAGCAGGCGGACACTCGCACGAGGGATACCGAACAGCACGACGCCTTGCAGAAGAACGTAAAGCACGAGTACTCCTGGCAGGAGGACGCCCAGCAGGAGGACGCCCAGCAGGAGGACGTCCGGCAGGGAGATGCACAGCAGCAGACCAGCCCGCTGAAGCAGGAGACCCAACCGGACACTGGAGCGGCTAACCGGGAGTCGCTCTTGCCCGATGGCTCTCTTCAGAACAGTCCATCACCGCAAGACTCCGCAGCGCCGCCTTCTGCTCCCACCCACGAGCAGGCAGAGGGCAGAAGAGTCGCAATCTCACGTCTGACTCTCGCTACTGAGCGGAGAAACGCTCAATTGTCATCGCACAGGAGGGTGGACAGCTTGCACCCCAAAGTGGGTGGATCGAAAGTGTTCAAAAATCCCTATCCTTTCGCACATCCTGGAAACGTTTGGAATGTTCCGTCGTACTACCCAGCAGAAGAAGAGAGGGAGCAGGTGGACGAGGCAGTCGATATGTCTGACTTCCCATTGCGTTGGCTGCCGGCCGAAATTTGGGAAGAGATTGACCATTTGGATCACTGCTAGGAGCAGCGTCCCAGGGAGAAAGGACGGCGGGACAGTGTGTATTCGAAGGTAGAACGTCTTCCATCACACGAGGGCAGCCAGAGTCGTGTCTTGGATGGCTGATCAGCATCTTGAGCCACTCGCGAAATTGAAACTGATATTTTTCTGATTTCATTTTTGAAGTTGGTGAGATAAGTCCTTTTCTCCAGGTCAGGCTATCGGATCTTGTACAAACACGGCTTCAAAACCTTAGTCTCGTCATCTGTAGCCACATCGTCGTCATCCTCTTCCAAAAATTTCGCCTTTGACTTCTTGAATCTTTCTGCTGGTTTTGCGGTCTCATCGGGCTCGTTCTTCCCCTTGGTAGGCGTCGCCGCTTTGACAAATTCCATCTTGACAAACATCTTGTTACTCAGATCGATACTGCTCTCTCCATTCTTCAGCAGGAATCCCCTCCTCTTGAGGACGTCCACGAAAGCTGAGACGTCCGTCTCTTGATTTTTGGTCTCTGCTCCATCGACTTCTACTGCGAGTGCTTGTTGGTCGTCGACCTCTTCTTGTTCAGATTTCTTCGCTTCCTGCGCCTTTTTAATGGCTGCTTGTCTCCTCTTCCCGCCCACGCTGTGCTCGACGGGCTTTCCTGCTTTGCTGACACGGCCGAAACGGGATTTGATCTCAGCGACCCAGAGTTCGCCTTTCCAGTGGAGGATACGATAAGCTTCTTCGATGAAGGAGATCCAGTTTGTTCCCATGAGAGCTAGACAGAATATCGCGACGTCGACGGAACCATCTGCTGCTGGGATATTGGAGATGTCCGCTTTGGTGACCAACGGAGATGGGGAATGCAGGTCGTAGGATAGGACTTTGAGTTGCAGGTTTTGGCCATCGTTGGAGGACTTGAGAGTCTGTGCCAGTCGAGCATCACCACAACCAAGATCAGCGATGATGCATGTGCCGTGCGTTCTGGGCAGAGCGGCTGACTTGCCATCCCCGCTGTCTTCAGGTGCAGCAGGCTTGCGATTCTTGCCCTTGAAAGCCTTTTTCTGTGACGGCAGCTTGGCATCGCCGCGAGATCGAATGGTTGCGATGAAATTATCGACAGGATTCTCAGGCCAGACTGCCACCTGCTGTCTGAAGCCAGAGTGATAGTCCTCGAACATTTCCGGATTCTGGTCGAAAAGATTCAGGGCTTTAGCAGACGGCTCGGTGTATAGTGTCTGATTGAGATGTCGAAACCTTGCCGAGACCAGCTTCTGTCGCATCGCAGCCTGCATGGGGGTGAGTTTCGCACCCTTTGGCAGAGGCGGGGCAACCGGAGGAGCTGCCGATACACTGTCCTTGCTGGCCTTCTCCGGAATATCCTTCGGTGCAGTGTCCTCGCCGTCCGCCTTCTCTTCTGAGGTCTGCTGTTTGTCCTTCTTCTTTCGCCTCTTGTTCTTCTTTCCGGGCTTTTCATCTGCGCCCACCATCTCCTCATGCTGAGCTTTCTCATCCTGTGCACCTGTTGTGGTCTGTCCCGGCTCGTTCCCCTCGACCTCTTCTTTTGGCTTCCACTTTGACTCTCCCATGGGCGCGTAGTTCGCATTCGTGGCTGCCAGTTTCTCGCGCTTCTTCTCCTTCTTCAGCTTCTTTTTCTTGGCCTCCATGTGCTCCCCATCTCTCTTGCGCTTCTTGTTCTTCGAGTCGACATTGTCGGCGGCGGCTTTGAAGACTGCGGTCTGTGGCTTCAAGTTGCTGGCGTCGACGTTCCAGCCCTTGACTGCGAACATGTTGTCGGCGGGGAAGGGAAGGGAAGGACTGGAGGAGAGTGAAATTAATTTCGAAGTCGAAGTTGGAGTAAGCTTTCCGGCAGGTCGTGCCGAGATTTCCTGCTTGCCCCGGTGGGGTATCGGGGCGAGATAGCTGCCTCAGGTGTCAAGACTCCCCACTGACGTCGGCGTCCACGTGTGTCGGGACTGGAGTTGCTCTCCGAAATGTCTCCACGTCTCACTCTCGAATCAGATAACCCAATGAACAGACATTTGTGGCCCCCTTGATCCTCCGCCCTGCGACAGCTCTTCTGTACTCGCAATCCTCTCACCGCCACAACAATACCGTAATAACATGCCGAATCCCTTCTCCGACTTCATCTCAGACGTTAAGAAGGCTCCCGAGCAAGCCAGAGCGTACTTCCACCACCAACACTCGGCCTATCCAGGACAGCAGAGCTATCCGGGACAGCAGAGCCAACAGCCATTGACCCCTGTACAGCCACCGATTCCACAGCGATCCGTACCAGCTCCAGCAATGGCTTCTGCGGCGCCCATTGATTATCCCCGTCCCGACTTTGCTCGCAGTGCGCTGCATTGGGAGAGCCTGAATGGTCCTTGGGATTTCCTGTACGACGATGACGATGCCGGAGCAATCTATGCTTGGCAGAACACTGGTCTCCCCAGTCATGCTCCATCTGGCCAAGCGAAACCCAACTCCAACAGGACCATCCAAGTTCCCTTCGTCTTCCAATGCCCCGCTTCTGGCATCAACGAGCGAGGTGTCCACCAAGTCCTCTGGTACGAACGCCGGATCGAAGACCTCCGCAGCTCGGAGGAGAAGTCAGAGGGCTACCGCTTGTTGCTTCGCTTTGGAGCCGTTGACTATCACGCCAAAGTCTGGCTCGACGGGCTGTTCGTGGGCGAGCACAGTGGTGGTCATGTTCCGTTCGATCTGGATTTGACCGATGCAATGCAGCTCAGCGCTCGTAGCCCCAGCCGGTTGACTATCAGGGTATTTGACTCTGCTTTTGACCTTGCTCAGCCTCGAGGCAAACAGTACTGGGGTCCTGAGTAAGTCCACTTCATTCATGCTATTGGGCAGATGCTAATCCATGACAGACCCGAGTCTATCTTCTATACCCCATCTTCTGGCATCTGGCAGTCCGTCTGGCTCGAAAGTGTGCCATCAGCTAGGATTGTGGATGGCAGCTACGGCACCATTCTTCGATCGCATGACATCGAAAAGGGTGTCCTCGATGCCCGCGTCTGCACTTCTGGTCGTCGTGTGGGACAGCCGCTCACAATCGAAGTCCAGACTAGCATTGGAGGAGTCGTAGTTGGCACTGGAAGAAAAGAGCTCTCCCGAGATGAAGACTTTGTCCGCCTCAATGAAGTCAACATGCGACTGTCAAAGGAACACTTTGACATGCTTCCTCAAGAATTCAAGCAGACAGCTCCACCAGATGATCCTCGATGCTGGCGAAATGGCATCGCTCTCTGGTCGCCGGAGTGCCCCTTCCTTTACGACGTCACCATCCGTCTCTTTGGCCAGGGAGAGCGCATGCTCGACGAAGTCCGAACAACCACCGGTATGCGTTCTTTGAACTGGCACGCCGGAGATGGCACGTTCAGACTCAATGGTCGTCCGTACTTCCAAGCTCTGCTCTTGGATCAGGGATACTGGCCGGAGACGCTCATGACGCCACCTTCTCCAGATGCTTTGAGAAAGGATATCGTACTCTCCAAAGCCATGGGCATCAACGGTTGCCGCAAGCACCAGAAAGTTGAAGATCCAATCTTCATGTACTGGGCCGACCGTCTTGGCTTCCTTGTATGGGGTGAAATGGCAAGCCCATACCACTTTAGCGTTGAGATGATGAAACGCTTCGACAAAGAATGGATGGAGATGGTCCGTCGTGATGTCAACCATCCTTCGATCATCACGTGGACTCCAATTAACGAGAGCTGGGGATATGACAACCTCGGCGGGGACAAGCGCCAGCGTGATCATGTTCGATCGCTTTACTGGACCACAGAGACATATGATCCCACGAGGCCGATCAATGACAACTGCGGATGGGAGCATGTCATTACCGACATTTCCTCCTTCCACGAATACGCGGACGCTCCGGGCATGACGGACCGCTGCCGCTCTCTCGAAAAGATTTTCAACACCGGAAGACCAATGTGGCTCGGTCCTATCTACGGCCCTTCTGGAGTCGAAGACGAGGGCTCTAAGCACCAGCGAGGCGCTCCTGTCATGTGTACCGAGTTTGGAGGTGTCAACATTGCCAAGTCGAACGACGATTCTAGGAAGGGCAACTGGGGCTACACCACCGCATCCGACGCTCAAGACTTGTTGAAGCGCATCGAAAACCTTGTCATGGGCACCATCAGGGAAGGTCACATCTCCGGCGTTGTCTGGACGCAGTTCAGCGATATCGAACAAGAACAGAATGGTCTATACACATATGATCGTCAAGAAAAATTGCCGGCGAGGGAGATGAAGGCTCTTCTGGATCGGGCGCAGCAGACTTACTTTGAGAAGCTGAGGAGCCGCTGAGTGCGGTGCAGCTCCAGGGGGACGGTAAGGAATAGACGCTCTCTGTGGCAGGCCCATAAGCGCGGAAATGCAGATGGTCATAGGGTATCAAAAGTATGAATCTCACAAAATCAAGTCGGGCGGATTCTAGACCGATCGAGAAAATTGAATCATCGTGAATTGACGGCCGTTTCAGCGTAGGGCTACGAAAGGGGCCAATCCACGACGCCAATTCTCTTAACGTCTTACCGGGAGTATTCCTGATATACATTCTGCGTTCCCGAAAGCGACGGCGAGGTTTCTCGAGGAAGTATGTACAATCGCACGAGCTGATAAGAAACAATTCCAATTTTCTTCCTTATTCGAAAAGTAGAACTATACAAGTCTATGTCTCCCTCTTAGACTAAAGGGGCTCTAAACTGCGCCTTTCACGTAACTTAACTTGCTTGACCGGGGCCCTGGCTAGCGCCCCTGATTAGCTTATAGCTAATTTGGGACTAGTAGTTCTGTACTAACCCTCTTTCATATCTAATAATTAACGTGCGCCTTCTGTTTAAAGACAACTCGGACGGCTTTTGTCTCTTTACGAGCGTCGTTGCTCCAAACGTATGTCCTCTCCTCTTCATCCTCCTCCCCTACACTATCCGACCGATACATACGGTGCTCGATAGTGGTGTAGAAGAGCACTGAGAATCACGTGCGTAAAGGAATTTGAGCAGCCGCGGCTGGTCGTTCTTGGCAGCCCACGGCAGCATATTACGACTCATTCACGATAAACGGTCTTATCTACGATAACGCGACTATAACGCGACGACAACGCGGACTTATCCATTCTGGCCGGCTACTCCCATCGTTCAGTTCTTTTGGCTCGCGCTCTCTCGCTTTCAATTCAGGTTGAAGTCGCCTCAAGAATTTGCCTGTGTAGCGTCGCTGTCAGCGTCAGTATCAGCATCAGCATCAGCATCAGCATTAAAAACAGCATCAGCATGGGACGTCGGAAGGTTGCGATTCAATTCATGTCCGACCTCCATCAGGAGCAGCACGAATATGGCTTCACTGCAGTCCGAACGGCGCCGACATTGATTCTGGGTGGTGACATCGGTCGATTTCGCGATTATGAGCGATACCGAGGCCTGCTCTCGCGTCTCTGTGCCCAATTTGAACTTGTGCTTCTGATTGCCGGAAACCACGAATTCTATGGCACTACTCGCGCCAAAGGCCTAGAGGCTGCTACAAAATTGACACAGGACCCGTCAATGGGCGGCAGGCTTCGATTCCTCAACCGCGATCGCGTTGATCTACACACAAACATCACCATTTTGGGTTGCACTCTGCATTCGCGCATTGCCCCTGGGTATACTCGTCTCACCAATGATTTCAAGCGGATTTCCGAATGGTCGGTCGAAGCGCACAACGAGGAGCATGAGAGGGATCTGCAATGGCTTCAGGCTTCCTTGCGCAAACTTCGGGTTGAGGAGCCCAAACGTCAAGTCATTGTGGTCACCCATTATGCTCCAATGTTTGAGCGAGTGTGCCATCCTCAAAACGAACTCAACGACGTGAGTCAGTGCTTCAGTAGCACCGCGTTGGAGTATCTGCGGCAGTCTGAAGTCCTCGGGTCGGTATCCCACTGGATCTTCGGCCATACGCACTGGAACGTCAATATTAAGTCGGGCAACTTGCACGTGGTCAGCAACCAGATGCATAACGATAACAGGAATTTAAGTTGGTGGCAACGGAAACGACTCTATGTACCATTCAAACCGCAAGTGCGATTGGTACTCAAAGTCCCAAGCTAGCCAGGCTCTAATCCAAAGGCTCATATGCCGTCTCATTGTTATTGCTGGCTCGAGCCTGCTCCTTCAGTCGGCATCAGCATCCATTGAGACCCATTAGCAACCAATATTCCTTAGACAGTCCTCCTGTAATATCTTCCATTCACATGGACGGTTTCATTAAGTGGCAGGGAAAGAAGCGAGTTCTCAGGATCCCTTGTTGCAGGTCGGCGGCTTGAACTTGGGATGGCTACAGATGCCGAGGTCGACGTGTGCTCAAGCACTCGAATATTGTAAAGCAGTGCATTCTGCACTGAATTGGGGACGACAGCCATCGGAATTGAGTTAAGGTCGACGTCGGAAGCGAGCGCTTCGCATGCCTTCAGATCAATCCCGAGCCTGGAGAATCAGTGTTAAAGATGGGGATAGCGCTTACGCGCCATGCCGACGAGCGTTCTGTCAATTTGGTTGTTCAAGGTGCTCAAGGTGTCGTTATATCTACTTTCCAAGAACAGCAAGTCCGCGGCGTCTGAAAACTTCGCGCGTGTAGCTGCGGCTCGAAGTTTGCCTTTGTAAAGGAAGATTGGGTGCATAATATTGGTTTTCCTGGATGAAAGCCTTTCACCAGTCACCACGATCGGAACTGACTTCATTGAGGTCATGGAAGCTGCGATTGGGAAATGTTAGTAAACGACTACAACGACCCAAAACGACCTGGAGTCTGTCTAACTTACTTGGAAACACCTCGACGAGGACATCTTTATTATACATGAACTGTGCCAAGTCCGGTCGACTATTGCCTGAGGAGCGAAAGCTCTCGACTTTGCTCAGCGCCGATATAACGTTTTCTTTTGTGCAATTGACAAGACAATCGATGTCTTTACTCTCTCGCGGGCCACCGAGCGTACCAATCGCGTAGCCGCCAAAAATCCCATGGTCCACGTCCGAATCCTCGAGTGCTTGCGTTAAAGCAATAGCAGCGTCGCTAAGCTTAGACATAGTCGGCATGGTAGTTTCAATGAAATATTTCTTCGTTTTGTCGTATCTTCCTCCTGGAACGTAACCTAAGACGGAAAACCTTTTTGCTAACGTTTATATAGGATATTGAGCTTTGTGTTCGGAGCCAAGATCAAGATCGTGCGACTGAGACGTTGCAAGCAGAGGAGCGAATGTACCAGCGATTACCTGACATTGAAGAGCCGGACTTTTACCATCCGTATAAACAAGGAGCAGTCCAATTCCACGTCAATTTTCTGGAGGAAGAACTCGAGATCGAAGAACTCGAGATCCATATCGTCACGGATCATGCGTTCGGTCTGGACGTCGCGGATTCAAGCGACTCTGTTTGCGGGCTTACAGGATCCACTGCTCACCCGGAAGTCCTAGGCCTCGTCCACAACGTCGAAGACAGCATCGTGTCCTCAGTCAGATGGCCGACCTTGAGAGCCTTCTTACAAGGTTGGCCCACACAAGCGTCGGTCGCCGCGGGCGTCAATGATACCAACGTGGAAGTCGTGTCTCTTATGCAAGCTGAGCGGTTGATCGACACCAAAGACGTGGATGAGGTATGGCTGAAGCAGCATTTCGGCAATTCGAAGCAATACCATCAAGCTGCAATCCTACTAAGCGGCAAGCGAGGGCGAGCAATTAGCAGTTGCTGGGATCGATAGGAAGTAGTCACATTTACTATAGGGAAACGTGATGAGCGTGTCCCCTTAAGAGGCACCTGTGTGAAAATGGGACTGAAGTTCTGATAATTTGATTAAGCGCAAAGATAGCAATTGAGCTTATGAAATCGCCTTATAAACCTCGAAGTTGGCGTGCGCAAAGCTTGTAGAACACATGTCATTACTAGGGAGCTAATTAGAAGCCTTCTCTCGGATTCCTCTACCTTATCGATCAAATCGATCTAGTCGCCCGAGAAGTCATCTCAAGCTTAACAAGGCTACGGAGACGAACTCTCGGCAGTGGTCTAGCTCGACTATAGGGAAGGCAATACCTACTAAGAGGTCGGATCTCGACTATCTGTATCATTACATAGCAAAGGCTTACTCACAGCGATATTATGATTGCTACTAGAGCAATCAAGGCTTGTCTGCCTAGCCAACTACTGGAGGGGATAGATTATGTATATTAGTCGCCTATAAACGTGCAACCTGCCTCTTACTACAGCTAACCCTCGATTGCTATCCTTCTAGAGCACAGAAATGGCTACAGACGCGCCGGAATAGAGAGTCTGAATCGTCGGTGTCTTGGGGCTTCTAATCAGGCCAAAATTATACACCCTTAAGCGTGGTAAGTGGCTCACGATGCCGCTGGCCCTCTAAACCAGCTACAGAAACTGCTTAAAGCTCCCCCTCCTACGGTAATTGCAGCGGCGCGCGAGTCTAGACCGTCGAATACATTAAGGACCAGCTTCGCCTTACCTGAGCTGCCTCGAACCAACTACTTGCCGAGGCAGTGCGTAGTGTTTCTTAACCGCCGACTCTTCTGGTGCGTGGCTACAGTAACGACTTTCTGGGGCAGACATCGCTAAACCTCGAATCGAGGTTCAGGAGTCTGGATATAGAGTCTCTAAGCGGGGCTGGGAACAACTCCATGTACAACGGCTTCTATCGACATTCTGGCTCCACCTTTATGGGAAGGAGAGGGCTGTGGAGTGAAGTTGAAGCTGGTAGCATAAGCTCGGAGTTACGATAGCGCATTTCTGGAGAGCGAGTCTGGAACGGGAAAGACGATAATGGATTGCCGACTCTGATTGTGTATCGCCGCCCCCAAGATAGCTTTGCGTTCCAAAGCAATGAGAACGAGATCTAGGATTTGTCTGTGACTGAGTTGAGCATTCCGATCAGCTCGACTAAGTCTATCCCGTATCCGATCGATTCGAGCGGGGATACCTTCTACGGCATTGCAGGGCAGTGTATCTTAGACGTCGACGCTCGCTCCATGCGCGACCATAATGGCATGCACCTGGACGTGCCCGCCGGAAGCCGCAAGATCTACAGACGTCTCGCCGTAGAAGTCGACCGCTCGAGCATTGCTTCCAAGATCTAGGAGCAGCCTAACGGTATCGACGTGACCAACCGCTGCTGCCTTGTGAAGAGGCGTCTCGCCAATGAAATCCTGTGCGTTGACGTCCGCTCCATGCGCATGGAGTATTTGCACCAGTGTGGAATCTCCGTAAGCCGCTGCTTCATGCGTGGGCGTTCTGCCGAGCCGATTCCGACGATTCAGCCTCGCTCCATGTCGGATAAGAATTTCAGCACATTCTCGATTCCCTGCCCTTGCAGCGACGTGGAGCGGTGTATCTCGCGCAATGTCGACATGATTCAAATCGACTTCTCGCTGACAAAGGATTTCAAGGCAGTCAGGGTGGCCGTTCTCAGCTGCCCAGTACGCCGCATTCCTGCTCTCGAGACATCGAACGTTGATTTTGGCACCGACATCGAGTAATTTGGCAAGACAAGCCTGGCTGTTGGCTTTCGCAGCCACGAGGAGCGGAACATGATCAGAATCAGTTCGCCATCGTGGCCCATTGGCACTGGCTCCATCTTTCAAACAAATCTGCGCGACAAGATCCGGGCGATTTGCTCTGACTGCTTCAACAAGCATCTCTGATCTTGGTCTGTACTTGTCTGGGACAGCCAAAATTACCGTCTGCGTGGCACGGTCTCGGTAGCATCCCCGTCTCTCTTCTGCCGGCGCTGCAATCTGCTCCACGGCATCACCGCCTCGATCTGTCGCTTGGTGCGCGACATAACGATGAGGATTGAGAGGCCGTTGAAAGCATATTCTGGGCATCATTCGCACCCCGCGCCAAGTGTACCATTGTATGCACGGCATGGTACACTTGACCTGGTAGCGCTCGCCACTGTGAGCGACCAGCATGTTTCTTCGGTCGCTTGAAATGATTGTCAACAGAAGGAGCTTGATCATGCAAGCAAGCTTTTGTTGGCAGTGTTTTGGGCGGGTCTGGACAACCTTGGACTGTATTGAGTCCTAACGCAGCTGGGAATGCTTCGTGTTTCCGCGACCAAGCGCTTGGCGCCTGAAACAAGAGCACGATGGTGTTACAAGATGACAAGCTTGGATATGGGAGCAAGCATGCATTTGTATTGCGGACTGCGACCGCCTCGGAAGCTTTTGGGTAGCACAAGGCTATGCCGAACCACATTCCAATCTGCTAATTTGCACGTAGTCATGCAAGGCCAGAAGATTGGAATGAGTGTGTGGCACCAAGTCTTCATATTCACAGCTCAGCACAGAGACGCATATTGCGATCGCGACCTCGTGCACTGAGGCCATGAGCCATCAAACGTTGCTGTGGGTCAACCAACCAAACTGTAAAAAGCCATTCAGTATGACGTGAAGTATGGGAACTTCATTATGATGGAGATGTCCGCATCCTCTCCATCTCCTCGGGCTTTGGTGCCGTGTCAATGACGGTTCCACAGCTTTTGCACTTCCTCGCAGCCTCGTCTGCCTTGAACTTGTTCACGGCATCTTTGATCTGTGTTCCCAGATCCGTGCAATGAAAAGCGTCCTCTTTCACCACATCGCCACAGTTGTCGCAATACCAGCGCAGTCTGTCCAGACTACCCTCCGGTCGTGGCTGCTCAATGACCAAGCCGACGGTATCCGCAAACCGCACAGGATTGTGTGGGGTATTGGCAGGCAGCAAGAACAACTCCCCCTCATTGATGTATACATCCACAAACTCGTCTTTGCCATTGACCTCTTGCACTGTCTTCAGCAGCATTCGACCTTGGTATTGGTAGAAGAACTCGGGTGTCTCGTTGATGTGGTAGTCGGTGCGAGCGTTTGGACCGCCGACCACCATGACCATCATGGGCTCGCTGTAGACGCAGTAGTTGTTGATCGGTGGCTTGAGCAGATGGGAGTTCTCAGAGAGCCATTTCGGGAGGTTTAATGGGAAGCCTGTGGGCGGAGCCTTGGAGGTCGTGGCAAGAGTCGCTGTTCGCATGGCGAATGGAGATATTCTGGCTGCGGCAAGCGACTGCGAAAAGACTGCGCGTGCTTGAGGTAATTGGCGGGCGGCCGTATAAAGAAGCCGTGTGCTGCTCATGTAGGCGCAATCTGGCGGATCGTGGCGTGATTGTGATTTACCACGGAACAAGTGGTGAATCGAGCTGCAAGTGATGGTAATCCCAGCGATGTGAGATTAAGAAATCAATTGACTTCCAAGTGTCGGTCGGGGGGAGTCGTCGTGAGGTTTGAGTTCGGCGATGACGGCGAAGACAGATACGCGCATAGAAAGAGTCGGCTTATCTCCTCCTTATTGCCGGAGAGTCGGAAAAAAGTACGGAAGGGTACCCGTAGGGCACGTATAAATGTATTAATATATCGGTATAGTACGTAGTACACGTATAGATATAATAGATAAGGGAATATTAACTAGGAAACTAAGCGGAAACTAAGACTTCTAAGCGAAAACTAAGTAAAACTAAGTAGAAACTAAGGCTTCTAGAAGGAAACTAAGTAAAACTAAGCTAAAACTAAGTAAAACTAAGGCTTCTAGAAGGAAACTAAGCTAAAACTAAGACTTCTAAGCGAAAACTAAGCGGAAACTAAGACTTCTAAGCGA